CACACCTTCACTTCCAGATTCTTGGAAAAGGTAGCTTTCAGTCTGATTCCTTAGACCTGATGTATCACAGCAGAAGGGTCATGTTTTACAAAGAAGGGGTTTCTCGTTTTGGTGTGTGGGTTATTGCTGCTTTTTTCTTCACATGTTGCTAGTGGAGGCTGCCCAGATCTCTTGCAGCAATTGTCAGGTCCTTCAAGGAGCAAAATGGGAATCCTGGTACTAAATCATAGTTAAACAGGACACTGAGAGATTTTTAAGGCAAAGGTGTGGGAAAGGAAAAGTAGTCCATTTCTTACAACAATATTGTTGTGGGTTTTTTGGATAGGCACATGTGTGTCACATGATACAGCATGCTGTATTTACATAGCATAGGTATGTGTTTGTCACCAAGTGCTTGTGTTTGTAGGATGATTTCCTCAGCACGGTGTCAGTCAACCACTGACACCATAAGTATGTAAATATTGTTCCTTCTTCTGAAGTGGAGCAACAGTGGCATTTTTTATTCAGTTTAGCTTGTTTCTGTATAGCTGACCCACTGTGTGAACATGAAGTGAACTGACCAGGGGTCGGTTGGTCTGGAGATGTTTCTGTGCAGGTCACTGTGTTATTGAGGTGGTGTTACAAGGGAGTGCTGCTACAGCTCCTTTTGAGAGCTTAGCCCAGGCTGTCTGGTGAAGGCTGTGGGATTATTTGAAATAGTTTGGTGACCCTAATCTTGTTTCTATTCAATGACCTTTTAATAGAAGGACCAAAGCATTGCTCTTAATGTGCTAATATTTCTTTAGTGTAGCAATGAAGGGTTATTTTAAACGCTGGCTGTAAGCGCATTTCTGTAGCAGCTCTGGCCCAGGGTCATGTGTGCTGTGTTGATGGCATGGCTGTGCTGCTCCCAGATCTCTGGCAGCAGACACTGCATCTTGCAGGTTTCTGAACTTGGCTGCTTTACAAAAACTGCTTCCTGTTTGTCTCTTCCTCTTCCTGCTGCTTTTTTCTGTTGCCAGTTTCTCAGCTATGCAGTGTGCTGTTTAAACAAACCCATTAGTTACACATGGGTTCTATATTTTTGTATAGCTGTAACTTTCCTTCAGTGACAGTCTGCATCTTTGCTGTGTAAGAAATGCAGTGTTTGCCCAGAGCAGTCATGCTTCACACGAGTGCACTTGGAGTTGCTTTTCAATAAGGAAAAAAAGTCAAATGCAAGAAGTACATATTTGCATGATCATGGGGGTAGGGGTGGGGTGGGGACACTGTAGTGAGAACACCAAACTGATCAGCTGTATCTTGCTCATGTTACCTGGTATAACTCAGTGAACCTTATCTGCGTGATCTGTAAAAAGTGGAAACTGTGTGGGTGTCTCTGAGAATTCCCCAAGTTATGTATGAGTCTTTGCTCTCCTGGGGAGGGATTGATTTAACTCTTCATTTAGAGAGGACTTTGCAGGCTGTATAACAAACACATCACTATTCAGGTTTTACTTACAGAAATCATTCTGTAAAAGTATTCTTCCTATTGCATGTTGAAAAATTGTGTTTCTAAATTGTGTTTCTAATCTAAAATCTATGATTTTGATGTTAGGTAGCAAATAGCCTCAGTTAAGATTGTGGCATTGCAGCTTTGTTTTCCCTTTTCTTTTGACACATTAGTGTTGTCTTTGCCCGACCACTTGAATCTATTATAAAAATAGAACAAATTGAGGCAGTTGGTAACTCTTTCAGTTGTCAAACTTTCATTAAAGCTGAGAAAGCAGCCAGTGTTTCTTGGTCTGTATACCACTAAATAAGACAGATAATTTATTTTTTTTTACTGCGGTTACAATGATTGAATATAATTTTAATCCAAAGTAAGGGATGCTAATGTAATGCTCCCCTCTATTTTTTAAGTAGTGCTAAAAGAAAAACAAGCCAAACTCCCAAATTCCAAATGGAAAACTGATTATGGAGCAAATATATCTGTACCTGTACAAATGGGTTTGAAAGTCATTCCTCATGATTTAGTATAAGTGTATGACCTGGAAGTCCAGAACACCCAAGTCGGTTTTAGGGGTCAGTTTCCAGGACTATAATGTTCTTTGAATTGAAAAAGTATTTGCTATGGATCTCTCACTTCTGGTCTACTTTAAAGCTTACTGCATTCATGTCAATACCCCATTTGAAAGGAATAATGTGAAGTGTCTTTACACATGAAGCCAACATGTCTACCTCTAGATTATAAGTAGCTCTGGACAGTGACAGTGATTGTGCTGTGCATTCCATGGTGTCTGTCGTGATAGAGTCTTGACTAATGCCTGAAACTTCCAGTCTAATTTAATTTATAAAGTAGGAAGATGATAATGGCTTCAGGATCTGAACCTATCTGCTGAGCCAATGTCAGAGAAATACAGAATGCAATCTTCAGCAATGTGTTAAAAAAAAATCAGTTGTGTAATTCTCTGAGAACAGAGCAATTGGAGGTCACAGATTTAACACTGGATTTTGTATTTGATCTTAGTGGGAGTCACTTTCATGTAGTGTGAGTTTTTTGTGGGTGGAGATGTTTGTGCAGAAGATAAACTACACATTTCTGATGTGATGCAATTGGAGCAAAGTTCTTCCTAAAAGTTAAAGTAAACAAATGAGCCATCTTTTCCTATTCCCTGATACAAAAGATGGAAAATTTTAGTGTATGCAATCTTTTTGGTATTGTGCAGAGGTTGGAATTGTTTGCTGGCTTTGTGTAGAACATTTAAACCTGCAGAATGAGCACTCCTTCAGAGTAATTTACACTTGACAAACAAGCAGTACAGGTATTTAAAGTACCTGAATGTGAAATTGTAATTGTCTGGTAGGGGTGGAAAGTAGGTGTAATAGTTTCCATCATAATGCTTTGACCTTCTGGTTGAGAACCAGTTCCATGCATAGATGGTAACAAAGTGAAAGCAAACATGTTATTCACAGTAGGAAATTTCTGTTAGGATATAAATGCTAGGAAGACCTTTCTATGTTCCTGACATGGAAAGTATAGGGCAATGCTTTCTCCACACAGCACTTAAACACAAGATTAAGTGCATGAATTATTTTGGCTTCTTTTTCTTTCCTTCTGGTTAATATTTTACATTGCAGTTTGTAAATTCACATAGATAATACTGTATCAGGGTAGACCAGTGGTTCCTTTAGCCATTATTAATTGATATTAGCTGTTTAAGATCTTCCCTTTCTTTTCTGTTTGCCAGTGTTAAATTTTGGGTTTCTTGGTAACATTTTGGTCAAATTAGACAAACTTCTTCCACGTTCCTGAGTTGAAACATAAACCAAAACAGCCCTACCTGGCTGCCCTCTATCTATTGCAAGATGACCATTACAGCTGTGGGAATAAGCAGCTTTAGAAACAGAAAAATTGGGTTTTGCAGAACGAATGCCAGATAACTGAGATGTGTGAGAAAATCTCTTTCTCAAGTAAAGTAGCTGAAGGAAGCAGTTCTGGAGTCTTGACTAAAGAGTTTGAAAAAGTTACTTAATTAAGTATTTCAGGAGAATGTGCCTTTTTTCCCCCATGTAACACTGTAACATTCTCATTTTAAACATGCCTTGGATTTAGCTTTTAATTGAAATACAGCAGCTTTTTGTAATAATGAATTCAGGTGCAAAAACCAGTTGTTTAAAAAGCAGTGTACGCTTTTATTCCCCACCCAATTTAAATAAAAAAGGTAAAATCTGGTAATGGAAAAATATATTAGGTCTTCTAAGTAGCTAAGCTTGTCAGTTCTCTGCTGAGTCAAAATTGACCCCTTCATTTTTAATGGACTTTTAATTTCACAAAGAAACTACTTTTCTTAGCTTGGTTTTCTCTGATAACCTTGGATCTTAACAGTTTGCTGTATACCATGGTTCAGAGCTTGGTGAACTGTATTTTGTTTTGCTACAAGTCCTGAATTAGCATGCTCAGATGATCCTACCCTGGAGCAGCTTCTGTTCTGCTTTAGTTCTTCTTTTAAGGTGTGACTCCAGAAGGGGGAGGGCTGTTCTCAAGCTTTCCCACAATAAATAACAATACAAGTAATTTACATATACAACCAGAGTCAGTCCTCTTCTCTTTGTCTTTCTACGCCCTGGCCTCACAGACCTTTATGTTCCCAATGATTTTTCTTTCCTTTGTGACTCTCTTCACTGGCTGCTCCAAGCAGCAGAAATTTATGGTGTGTAAAATTCATGGGTCTGGTATCATATCCTTTTATATTTTATATATATATATTTGTTTCTGCCCTCATAGCAGTACACTTAGCATTTTAAATTTCTCATCATATTAGTTGGGTATTTGAAAGTGTAATATTATTTTTGTAAATTTTGTGGAAATTGATAGTTGTTAAAAATTTTATTTAATTCAAATCTAAGTGTTGTATTTCATAGCATCCCTCATGCAGTGACCTGTTGGGTTGGAATTAGAGTTGGAATATCCCATTTCTATGGCTGTACCCTGAGATGGTGTTTAATCTTTTTTTAGTGTTTGCCATTTTTTTTTCTGTTTAAGCCCTTTAGCTTAAAACATACATTAAATTTTCTAGACTTAAAATCTGACAGCCAAAAACTTAGATAACATCTTCTGATGTCTTAAGTAGATTGTGAAGCACAGCACTGGTGTTACATTTTAACCTTTCAGCTGCTTGTGCGGGACTGAGGGTGAAGTCATTATGGATAAATTCTTTATCAGGACTGGAGCATAGGAATACATATTGTATAAATGGTGTGTATTATCATGCATTGCACAGTAATTTATTCTGTGTGCTTCTTATCAGATTGCCAGGTTTTCTTGCAATGCCTTCTTTAAAATGGTTTCTTGTAGAACAAGTTTTATGAAACAGAAGTCCTGTAGGTTTTTATCTTGTGTTCACTGGACTGTTATTAAAAGCCAGAAGAAAAAAATCGGAAGGCTTACTAGTGTTTTTGCCCTGCTGATATTTTTGTATTGTATTTTAAAATCAAGTTGACTTCATTAATTTGACACTTTTTTTAAAAATCTTTTATAGTGTGCCGGTCAAATAAAAGCCCCTGGGTCTGTCTGACGTGTTCGAGTGTCCATTGTGGAAGGTGGGTACACTGTTAGTGTGCAAATCTTTTAATCAGACCTTTATCTTTCTCCTTTGTTGCTTGACTCTGAGGCAGTTCATTCAAAAATTCCCTGAAATAAACCTTTCATTATCTCATTTAACATTGTATGTTTATGCTTAATGTGGTTCTTCGCTACTTTATGAGAGTCCAGAGATTGCATTCAAGATATGGGGGGTTTTATTTCACTGGTTTTTAAGGTAAAGTAAAATTTAAAGTAAAGTAAAATGTCTAAGTAAATTAAAGTAAATGTGATTGCTCAGTTCAAAAAGTGTGTGGAGAACTGATAATTTAGTAGGTTATTGTAAAGTTCTGTTCTGGGGAAGATGTTTCTTTTGTCATAAAATAAACACAATAAGAATTGCAAAAGCCACAAGTTGGTACAGCTTATTTTGAGAGAAACAGCAACTATTCAGCTGGGACTGAAAATAGCTTAAATGTACTGTGTATAGTTTAGGACCTAAAATTATTGTCATTGCATGTAAGAAATAGCTGCCATCAGAATTCCTTCAGGCTTCACCTTGATGTTCGTATTAGTTGAAGTACACCAGATAAATTGTAGAGGAATTATACAGTCAATGCTGTTATTTATATGTCAGGATAATTGTAGAAAATGTGCTGCTACATAAATGTTTGAGATGCGCACATTAGTGGAATGCAGCTAGTGTTGACACTTAGACAGTATCTGAGATGTGAACATGTTTTCATCTGTTGGGTAACATCTGTGCTGGTATGCTGTTATTCTGGGAAAGCACCATTAAACTTAGTGACTTTGTCTTTTAATGTGGATTAAATGAGCTTCAGATTTTCTTTGTTTGATCTGGGTAACACTAAGTGCCATAGTTTTAATAATGTGTCTTATTCAGAGTTTTGCCTTTTTTCCCACTATTTATTTATTTAATAAATTTATACTTGGTGAGAGCCAAGAGAGGAGGAGATACTTCATGGCATGCAATAAATAATTGGAATATTTTAATTGTTAAAGATTATTTCTGTCCACAAATGGCCTTTCTTATGTGCAGTTGGTAAACATTGAGTCAGTTATTTATGCAGTTTGTTTTGTCTTTCCAAACTGTTCCCATCCTTAGAATGGAAAATAATTGAATGAGAAGATAAAATTTACCTAGGGCTCTTGCATTTATAATTACTTTTTTTTTTAATTAAAGGTGCTTAATTTCCTATATCTCAAACTTTGAGCATGAAAATGCTTATTGTGTCAGCAAAAGAACTGCAGGATTTTAGATTTCTTATTCCCTTATGTAACCACAAGCTCCAGAGCCCTTCAAGTTCATGAACTCGATGACTGTAACATTAAATCATGCTGCAGAATGGGAAAGCTGAAAATGGGGGTCAGCACTCTGTTAAAGGGATCCCAAACACAGGTGCTGGGGGAAAAGGGTAGAGCTGCAAGAAGAGAAAAAGCAGTACAGGTATGGGAACAGGGAGTTAAGGATTTTCTCAGTTGTGGAAGTGCGTTAGTCTGTTGAGAGCACAGATCCTGGGATTTGGAACACAGGAGAGAGTAAAAGGGGAAAACATTGGAAAATTCAGCCAGTGGTTTCACACAAGTGAATTGTCTTTTTTAATGCCGATGTAAATAATGGATGACTTTTCTTCCCTATTTTTTTAATGAATTTTTTAATTAATTAGATGTTTAGAAGTATAAACTTCTTTCTTTTACATTTATTTTAGATATGTGAATGGCCATGCAAAAAAGCATTATGAAGATGCACAGATTCCTATGACCAATCATAAGAAAACAGAAAAACAGGAGAAAGTTCAGCATACTGTTTGTATGGATTGCAGTAGTTACAGTACATACTGGTAAGGATTTAAACACCATAATTTCACAACTTTTTATATACTAGAAGGTGAAAAACATCAGACTCTTGTGCAGCATTATATTACACACATTTTTCATCATTTCATCTTTTGATTTCCAGACCTGTTTTTGGAACACTGCTTTTTCCTGTGTATTGTAGCACTGGCTGTAACTCACACATGTCAAATGTTTTAAACTGAAGAAACTTCTTAAAATAAGTGCTATGGGGTTTGGAGTTGCTTCTGTTTGCTTTGGGGTGTCTGGAGACCCAAACCTCTTAATTGCAAAAGCTGTTTGGTTGTCCTTACTCTTTGCAATGAGCTGGTGAGCCTTTCACATATCCTTTGTCAGGATTCAGAAAGTAAACTATTACACTGTTCCTGCCCACGAGATTGGAATTAGAATTGTGTCTGTGTGTGTACCTTCTGTGAGTCTGGGAAAGTGATGGATTCTATTGGGAAGCAGCATCATGTCTCTGGCAAGAGTAAGGAAAAGAATGAGAAATGTTTCTTTAAGCAGCACAATGGCCTGGGCTGATTCCTTCAGTGGGGTTCTTGCAGTGTGATAAGCACTGTTCAGGGGAACTTAATATCGATGCTGCTAATGTTGGATACCCCACTGTCCTTGTTCCCCACAGGGCAAAGAGTGAGGAGTCAGTGGCAAGCACTGCTTTTTGCCTCAAAAAAGCATCTTCTTCCCCCTTAAGCAAACCTGTTGACAGGTGCTTCCCCATTTGCAGCTGCTCCATGGTTTCCCATGTGTGTTGTTACTTGTGCGGTGTGGCAGTGCAGAATTTGAGGAGTGGAGATCTCTGAGAAATCCCTGCTATGGTCTTGTAAAATTACTGGATATATGACTTCTCTAATGGGCATTTTGTTCAAATAGTTGGGTGTCTTTTGGGTAGTTCATTAGGGAAAAAAAATCTGTTTGATGAAGTTTGGGTACCCAGTTTTATGAGGAATGCTTCTGTAAGAAATATTTTTATCCCCTGCAAGTAAAACCCCAGTTATGTGATTTCACCTGAAGAAATGTTGTTTGAAGCGACTAAAAAACTGCTCAGATGGTGCAAGCAGCTGTAGACATTTCAGCCTAGAAGAAATGTTTGAGTAGCTTTGTGATGTAGGGGAATTTTGCTTTTATTTGCATTTTATTTTAATGACCAGAATTTTTACCTGCTTCTTTGTGAATACATGAGAAAATAGTCAAGTTTTCTAAGGGATACATATGCACAGGTTACCAGCATTGCAACAGCTGTGGGAAGCTAGTTTCACTCTCCCAATTATTACTGGTAGCAGCTGAGTTCTATGTTGTGGCTTTTTGTTTTGTTTGAATTATGCCCTGTCTTCCAGTCATTCTGAAGGTAATAATCTGTGAATGAATTTTAGCAGGGTATTTAAAGTCTTTGATTATATCTCCATTATGACAAATAGTGTTCCCAGCTTGCTGAGCACCCTGCTTATCCCAAACCTCGTGTGGGCACTGCAGAATACCAGCAGCCAGACTGGGGGCTGTGGGGTCTGTTACTGACCCCAGGTGTGCTAGGAAGGGCAGGCAGACCTGCACCTGGGGTAGTGTGTGTTTGTGGGAGCACAGGAGGGAAGCAGTTCAGCTTGTGATGTCTTGTCTGCTGTAGTTGAAGGCTGAGTCATCTAGGGATGAACTGGAAAATAATTGTAGCCAGCTTTTCCCTTGGGGAGTTCCTGTTCTGGGTAATTCACCAGCAAATTATAACTCCTGTGCTAATGTGAAGATGAACAAGTTTCAAAAGCAGTTTATCTCTGCTTTCAATTAGGATACTTCAGTTTTTTTCCCACATGATAATCAGGGAAAGATACTTGAATTTGTTACTGCACCCAATTGAAATGAGCACAGAAGTTTAAAGATAAAGCAGAAGATATCCAGATCAGCTTTTCCCCCTTTATTTTGGACAGTACTGTGGAGGCTGCTGTCAAATAGTGCTGCCAGTTAAAACAAATAGCCGGGTAAATTTGAGACATAATTAGCTATTGTGGAGAGTGAATAGGCTTTCAATAGCTTTGAAAAGGCTATTTGTGAGCTGCAGTGTAGATGTGAATCCAGTAGACAGTGCTAAGTTTATGCCATGGTGGTTCTTTTAAGTGAACTTTTATGTAAAGATGAATATTTTATGCTACTGGTGTGGGCTGCCTCAGTAAACCATTCTAAGACTTAATTGAATTTTATTTCTTCTGTAAAAATAATGCAGATATTTTGATGCAGTGCTGGCTTTTATGTTTTTATTTGCAGTTCTGTTTACTGCACAAAGTTGAGTAGGATACTCTTACTTCATTTTTATCCTATGGATCCTGATTTACTGTGTTCCTTGGCTTGCATGATAGTAGCAGTGAACAGGCCTGGCCTTTCTAAGAAGGCAGCATTTGATCCTTTGCCTTCCTTTGGCTGTGCCATAACCTGTCATGCAGTCTTTCCCAGAGTGTTCTGTTGTTTGCTTACTCAGTCCTCCTATTCAGCTGTTCAGTCTTACCAGTGGAGAAGTTGAGAGAATTCGTTAATATTTTATTTATTATGAGAGTACAACTCTCTTCTTGATTCTTTGGTCACTTTTGAGACAATGGATGCAATACTAAACCCTCAGACTAAATTACTTAACTGCTGAGAAAGAATCCTGAGTCCCACTTTATGGAGATAATCAGCCTTTAAGTTAGTTCTAAGGTAGTACACACAAAGAGTTTGCAAGAAATACAGATCTTTTTTTGTCTTCAAACTGTCATAGGGTGCTTTCTCATTCTCTGTTAGGTTTTTTGTGCACAAGAAGTAAAATGATATGTGTAAGAACCCCACTTTCCTGAAAGATGACTCTTGTAAATTGCTTTTCTCTGTGCTAGTGCACAGACAGTTGGCACAGAAGAAGAAAGGCTCCCCTGTTTATGTATTTGCATAATATGTTTCCTGTGTTCATTTAATCCCAGACACAGTTTGCAGGTCAGATTTCTCACCCATTACCCTCCTTGTTATCCCTTAAAGGGGCATAGTCATGTCAGGGCTGTGTGTGTTCCTGGCTGGTGGAAAAATAAACAACTGTCAAGGACTTAGAAAAATTATTTTTTTAGTCTATGTGAAGATGATTCTCCTTAAAAAACTCTTACTGTGCTTGTGCCATGAGCGTTGGAAAATGAGATTGCTTAGTACTATTATTTTGCATTCTACAATCAGTAAAAATAAGAAGAGTAAAAAGCTTTTTATCCAGAAAGTAAAACTTGAGCTCTTTGTTTACTCAAATAAGTGTTTACTCATATAAGGTGCTGGCATAACTAAGAAAACCTGGGTTTTCTTAATTTTTCCAATCCTTCAAACTGTTCAAATCTAGTCAGGGCTTTAAAACACAGCATGAAGTTGTGTCCCTTCTAAGCACTGAAACAGCACTAAGTACTCATGTTCCCAGAGCAGTGCATGCATTCACTGTCCCAATGCCATTTTAGAAGCAAATGAGGCCAGGCCTTGGAGGTAGCAGAGGTACTAAAAATAGAGTGTAGAGAGGAAAATACTGTGCGAAGCCATATAAGGGACCCTCTGCAAGGTATAGAACTTGTTCTGTGTTGTTGCTGTTAAAGCATATTTTAGAGCTGCTGTATCCAAAAGAGGTGTTTGTTACTTTGTGAAAATCCTGAGGATCACAAATTAAGCAGCTGTTTTTGAATGCCAGCTTCACATATAGGATGTCATTTCTCAGCAGTTTACCCTTAAGGTGTGTGGACTTAGCAAATTTAAGTTACTAAAACATCAACTACTTCTAAATCTGTTTATTTGGTTTATCCAAAGTAGATTGGAGGTATTATTTGTAATAGTAGTGCTGAATCCTCAGTGTTGCAAGAGTGGTGGTTTAAAAAACCTACCCACTAAAAAGAGAAATAGAAGTTTGTCTTGATTCTAAGTGAAACTTAGAATTACTTTTCCAGTGTTGCAAGCAATACATTTACTGATGTATTTGGTTTTATTCTTCCATCTTGTGACAAGTGCTAAACTGGTATGTAAAAATAAGGTTAATATGATCTTCAGGGCATGACAGCAGTGAAATCATTTTTCAGCAGTAAGTTCTCATAGAGGCTTTCAGTGGGCTTGTATCTGCTTCCATCCCCTGTTTTCTGAGCCGTAGCTGTTCCAGCATCAGTAGCAGCGTGGCTGTGCTGGTGCAGTCCGTGCTCTCGAGTCCCACGCTGTGTATTCTGCTGGCTGGGCTCGTGTGTTCTCAGCACTGGCCTGGGAGCCCACTCTTCTGTGGCAAATGCAGGAGCCCCTCATCAGGTCTTTGTAGGTGGCAGGAAAAGCTGACAAGGGCTAAGACCTGGCTGAAAGATAAGCACATTAACAGACTTCTTCCCCCTCCCAAACTAACTTGACCTGTGGCCATCTTTAAAAACGTTTAAAAAAAACCCCAAACAACTGCTAATCTTAGTAATTTCTAGATCTTGTGTAAGTACCCATAACTGCTGTGTGCATTGCTTGGATGTCTTGAGAGTCACGTTCATTTCTCTTCTTGGGGGCAAAAATCAGAGGTCCTGAATACACTAATCTTAGGGACTCCATTCAGTGACAAGGACCTTTACTTTCTCAACTCTATAGCCTTTCTGAGAATGCAGAGTTTGAAGTAACACTGGCAATACTGCAGATTTATGCAACAGAGTGCTGTGAATTCCAGTTGTGCTTGAAGTCAGTAGCTTCATTAAATTAGAAAGCAAATGTGGATCTTCTCCAGCAGAGGAATAACCTGAGGTGATGATGATGTATTTTGCATTTGAGTCACTCTTGTGCCAAAGGGAAAAGAGAGACATAGCTACAGTTCTGATATTAAACATATCCAAACTTAGTTTTCCTCACAGGACATGTTCACTTGCCTGCCAAAATTTGAAGCTGCAATTTGACACTTCACAGTATGTACAGAAACTGATGAGTGATGGAATGATATTTGTGGCTAAGCGTGAGGTGCGAGCTGCCACAGACTTCTGGCCTGACTTTGGAAAATTCAAGTGATCTCTTAGTCCATCTTCCCTGGTGTTTTTTCAGTAGCACAGACTTTTATGTTTTGTATGTATCTGTTCAGCACTTCAGGTTTCAGTGATGACTTTACAACATTAAAATAGTTTAAGAAGTAATAAAAGCTTTGTATTCTATTTACCAGAGGTCAGTTGGTCTTTTCTGATGATTCTGTGGATAGACTACTGAGTCTGCTTTTGGTTACACTGTTTCAGTTTGAACTGGAATTCTGCCTTGGGCCAGGCAGTATATCATGCTTTTGATTTCTAATAAACAACTAAACTAGAAGAAAATCCATGTAATAAGATGGTTCCTGTACTCTCTTCTGCTGGAGGGGGGTTCTCGGAGGAAAAATCAGTGTGAAGTACTGTGCTCCCCAGTTCTCATAATCTTTCACTGGATCCCTTTGGGGCTTGAGTGGTTTGATCTGCTTCACTGACATGCTTTGCATGTTCTGAAAGATGTTTTTCTTGCAGTTATCGCTGTGATGATTTTGTAGTCAATGATACCAAGCTGGGCCTGGTACAGAAGGTCAGGGAGCACCTACAGAACTTGGAGAAGTAAGTAGTTTGTTTGCATCCAGACTGCATTGGGCAGACTTGTAATAGTGCATCATTTAAGGTGGTATTCGTTTCATATGTGTATATAATTATATGTGTCTTAATTCTTCTATGTGTTTGACACTGTGTTTAAAAACCTTTTAATCACTGAGAATCAGAGGTGCAGAATAAATGGATTTGGTTGATGATGATCATATGTCTTGTTTCTTATACAGTGAATCTTGCAGAAGCAGTATATTATGATGCAGGAATTTCTACCTAAATGATAATTCCTGTCTTTCCCAATATAAATGAGACAGATTTTTCAGAATTAAACAAATGGTGTTGTCAGAGCTTTGCAAAAAAAGCAGAATTAGCTTTTTTTATCAGAAATTCAAGAAGCGCAGTCTTCATTTTAATTGGTACAATTTGATTTGCTAGCAAAAAGATTAAGAAGTCTTATGATCTTTGAACTGCAAAGAGACATTTTTTCCTTTGCCTCTATCTGGTGCTGTCCTACTGAAAAGCAGATAATCTCATCTGGGTGGTGAATGTGCTGTGGCCAGTCCTAGATAGCAAAGAGTGCTTGCACAGTTGGCCTGAAAAATCTTACCTAGTGCCAAGCAGAAATATTGTGTGCATTCAGTGCTTCCAAATACATCAGAATGCCCCTGAGTTCACACAGGACTCCTGCTAAGGAATTGCTGTGATTAGGGGAAATGTCTAGATCTTCCCTGAGTCAAGTGTTTATTGATTACTTGGTAGGTTATATTAATATTTCCATTATTTTCCATCCTCTTTTGATGGCCTTGTCAGGTACATAATGAGATGTAAAGATGTTTAAGCATAAGGAGAAGTAAATTGGAAACATCCAAGTGATATTACTTCTTGGGAGGTAAAAGATACAGTGCAGGCTTCCATTCTGTCTGATGGTGGCTTTTGGACACTTGGAGGGCTTTTTAATGAAAAAGAAAGAAAAAGGCAAAAATCTGCCAACCAAACCCTGAAACAAGCTATGATTTCATGATCAAATTAGAGAGAAATCATCAACTGGTTTAATTGAGGGGCCATTAATTGCCATTGCTGTGTGAAAGAATAAGCAATTATTTTTGTAACTTAGTATTACACAAATCTTACAATTTTTTGTGTTTTAAGAGACGTCAACTATAATACACAAGCACTAAAATTCTGTATATTCTTGATTTTTAGTAACTTCATCTTGATTTTTTTTTTTTTAATTGTATTCTTAAAGGCTTAGATTCTCCTGACAGAAGTATTTAATTTCTTAGACCTAGGAAAAGGTTAATATTTTAGATGACAATTAGCTGCTACTAAGACCACTCTCCAAGGCACACATCCCTGGGCAGAACATCCTGCATTAACTCCCTGCTGGGCCAGGGGGCTGTGCCCCAAGGGAGTGCACGTGCAGCCAGTTTCAGACTGCAGCAATGGGGAGCCTGTTTGCTGTCAGTGACAATTGGTGACATGTAGAATCACTCTGTTAAACATGAGTTGATTTTCTCTGGTTCATTCCACACAATATGTTGTTTTTGTGGTGAATAACCGCTTTCGATTGCTTTCCAGCAGTTCAGCCTTTACATCAGACAGACATAGGAAAAGAAAACTATTGGAAAACTCATCTCTGAACAGCAAGTTATTGAAAGTAAATGTAAGTACAACAGATCTGGTACAGTGAGTTTAAAGGGTTTTTGTAAACCTGCTGAGGTTTATAGTTGGCCTAGACCCAAATTTTGCTTGGTGTACTTTAGCACCTTCTGGCCACACCTAAAAGAGCCCCTTCACACACAAGCATGGCTGATACTCTGCTGCATTTCTGTTGATGTACACTGAGCTTTCCTGGGCTTTAGAAGGGTTTCATGTCAAGATGGAGCTTTGCTTTTCTGAACAGGCAAGGGGCTTTTGTCTTTTTTTGGTTTTTTTTATTCTCCCAGGTACAGAAGGCAAAGGAAGAGGTGCACCCTCTTGAGGGAGGTTGAGTAATTATTAAGAAAAAGTAAAAAAATGTTATCAGTTTTTTAAAAGAGCTTAATAAAACTTGCTTTCAAGAGGAACTATGGACTATTTTTAAGCTTTTTTTCTCCTCATTTCATTTTCCTGCTATTTTAACTTTAGACCTGCAGGATAGCACCCAGGAGAGGAGGATCCAGCCCTGGCTAGATGGAAGGGCTGTATTGTTTTTTCCAAATGAAGAAACAGTTTCTTCCAAACAAAGTCAGATGTCTTTTTTTGCACAGATTGGATTAAGGGAGTTTGGGAGTTTCTTATTTCATAATTTTGTCCCAGAATTTGAGGGTGGAGAGGGGAGATACTGACCCAGCTGTATTCAGCTGATTCATTTTCACCCTTGGGAAAATGGGAGAGAGATGGAGCAGAGCTCTTGGGCTGTGGGATAGCAGTGTCACCAAAGGGAGCTGGAGCTCCTTCAGCCATAGGAACAACTGCCTGAGAGGGTGTGAATGGGAGTAAGAGCTTGGGGTGGAGCAAAGCAATTGGTTGCTGTTTGGCAAAGTCTGGAGGGGTTTAGTTACTTTAGAAAATGCACTACTATAGTCAGTTTAGGGTTGTCTGAATGTGCTGCCTGTGCTTCCTGTACTGTCCAGATCTTGCAGAGATTGAGGAAGCCTGGGAGGAATAGTGAGCCTTTCTTGCTATGGCAGTACACAGCAGTATTGTCTGGAAAACACAAAGCCAGTACAAACCAGAAGAAAAATTCCAGGCAGTGTTTAGATAAGGACAAGACAGAATTAGAAAGCATGAACTAAATGCTTATTTTATTCTGCCTACTCTTTGCTGTTTTGTCAGTTTTATTAATACTTCAATATTGCCTCTAACAGCAGATTATCTTTTTGGAATGCTGAATCTTATTTCAAACTGCAGGGGCAATGCTGTGTGCATTAGTGCTGTGCTGTGGCACTAGGGGCAAGAGTGAGAAAAGAATCTGCTCAGGACACTGTGGTGTTTGCACATTGAGATTCTAAAAGATAGCCCAGCTTTTAAATTCTGTTAGAACAATGAAGAATGCCCAGAAATTTGATGAACTTCCAGTGTGGTATTTTGTGGACAGTGGATTGTGCAGAGTCTAGAATCATAAATACAACATCATCCACATTTTTCTTCCCTTTTGTCCCCACCCACCTGGAGATAATTTGACAAAAAGAAAGCTCATCTGTGGGTTCATTGTTCTAGGCTGTAAATGGTGTGTATTTTGCTTCTCTTTTTTTCAACTCTGTACCTTTTCTTTGCACAGTCTAACTTGACTGTTTATTTCCCAAATAAATGGGCTTTTCAGAAACCCTTCTGGCCACCACAGAACCCCACTGAGACTCTGACAAGTGCTAGTGACTTAAAAACTGGAGGTGGCCACACTGTGCATATTAGACATGGGAAAAGATGGATGAGGATTGGTACTTTCATTTTTATTTTTCAAAGGCACTGTAGGGAAATTGCTGTCCAGTTCTCACTGAACACTATTGGAGTGTATTTAACATATATACACACAAATCCTTGGCAATAAGAGCCTGTGATTAACTCTGTGTTGTCTGTTCTAGATTTATTTGCACACAAAAAGGCATAATACAGCTTTCTCTTGACCAGAATGAGTGAAAAAAACATTTTCATGTCAAGATGCAGCTTCAGGGCAGTTTGAGCTGCTGAGGTGGTTGCTTTGGGTTTGCAGCTGCACTCAGTGTAGTTGGTTATTGTTCAGCTCCAATTTTGTGTGCTGATCCAACACAAAATGATGTGTGATGACCCTGGAAGGGGGGAAGTGATAAATCTTTGTTTAACCTAACTGTTCTCATTCTAGGGAAGCACCACTACCCTTTGTGCCACAGGCCTTCGGAACTTGGGGAACACTTGTTTCATGAACGCAATCCTTCAGTCACTCAGGTACCTTCTGCAGCTCTCCCACCCCTCTCAAGGGGCTTGTGTGCTGGTTGGGCAGGTGAATTTGGCATGTTCTGGACCGAAGTGTACCTGAATTTGTAGGAGTGGTGTGCATGGGTTGATGAAGTTGTGTTTCATGGTGTGAGGCACATCCTGTGGTGCAGCATTCCAGAGGAAACCTGCCATGTCCTGGGCAGAACAGGAGAGTGCCCCTTCACTGCCAAGGCCAGTGAAATACTTTAACTTCTTCAGCAAATGCAAGTCTGGATTGTTAGGAAATGATACCTCAGTCTGGCAGGATATCTCTTGGTCAAAGCAGAGCCAAAATGTAATTAATTATATTAGGAAGCTGGGATGACAGTGATATTTGCAGATCTACTTAGTTGCTGACAGAAGGCATTTGCTACAGTGTTTCTTGTCTCTTGAACTGTTTGTGATTGTCATCCTGTATCACTGCATGAAGTGGTGTTAATGCATTTCAAAGAACAAGTTCCAGAATACATACCATCCTTTTTCTCCACCCTTTAAGGATTTCATTTTTATTTCCTCTTTCCCAGTAACATTCAGCAGTTTTGCTGTTACTTCAAAGAGTTGCCTGCAGTGGAGCTGAGGAATGGGAAGACGGCAGGGAGACGAACTTACCACACCAGGAGCCAGGGAGATAACAATGTGTAAGCTGTGTGTGCCTTGTGAGCTCTGAGCTGTGCAGGAAACAGCAAGTTTGGGCTGCTGGGGCCACTGGGCACTTTTGGTATTGCACAATTCACTGGGGAAAGAGGCACAGAAGAACAGTTGTCTACAAAGAAAGAAACTCTGTCACTTGCAGCTTGTTACAGGTCTGGTGCTGCAGGGAGAGGCAGTCAGGTAGTGCTGGATCATGACATGTTAAATCATGTTAAGGAGTCCTCTTGATATGTGCTGCAGACATTATGCTACTGAATTCCAGCTAAAATAGGGTCATGGGGATGTGACTGCAAGTCAACCTACTGTGACTATTACTACAAAAAATTCAGGAGTACGTGATTGATGATGTGTAGGTTGTTTGAGCAGTGTTAAAGGGGTGATATTAGCAGAGTCTGCACAAAAATGGCAAAGAGTGCATAGTGTTCACATGAGTCCTGAACATCTGAAATACATTTTTTCTGAAGCTGTGTGTCTTCACCATTATGAGTAGGATTTGGGACATAAAATCTTTGAAGCTACTGGAAAGGATATTAACCCAGTCATTAGTCTTAACCCAGCTAATTTCTGATACTTGTACCATTGAACAAGTAAACCTCTAAGGGCTGTAACACAAACCCACATTAAACAGCTCTTACTTTCTTTACAGTTCACTTGTGGAAGAATTCAGAAAGACACTCTGTGCTTTATGGCAAGGAAACCAAACTGCATTTAGTCCAGAGTCTTTATTTTATGTTGTTTGGAAAATAATGCCAAATTTTAGGTAAGTTTTTTTTTAAAATAACATTATTCTTGATTGCAACCACATATTGCTGGTGTCCTACTCTAAAATGGGCTGCTTTCACAGGATACACTCTGTGCAGCTTTCCATATGCTTACAGATGTGCTTTGAAAAGGATCTTTGCTTTGATCAATGGTTTTCTGTTCACCAGTAGTACTCACTTTTTCCTTCTGCCCTTCTACCACATGTAGCAGTGTCAGAGAGGACAGAGATCTCAAATGAGAAATGGTGGTAGTTGTACCTTGGAGCCAGTGCTCCAGAAGAATGAAGCTATTGACTGGTAGGTAAGTGCCAAGTGCAGGGTGTTGACAGAACCAAGGCTTGGCTGCAATAAGAACATTATGTAGTCCAAATTAAAAAATGTATAGCACCTACAGGCCTAAATGCAAACATACTGACTGAAACTTCCTTGATTCTCTCAAAATACAGTTGTCATCAACTGGACATATAAGGGCTCTAAGAGAAAAATCCTGTGCATAATAAACATTTTGGGCCCATAATAACAAAACAGATGATAGAGGGAAAAAGAAAGTTACTCAGGTAAACAAACCCAAGTACAGTTCCTCTCCAAGGTCTCCCTGTCCTGGCCCCCAAACCTCTTTCAAAGGAGGACTGAAACCTGTTAGGATATATTTTGATGAGGGTAAGTTGCTGTTGTAGTTTAACATAGTTTGTTTTTTAGTTGAGGAAAAACTCCATCAGGTATGGAAGTAATTCCCTATAGAAACATTAACAGCTTCCTTCCAACCTGACAAAACCAATCAGCTAGCTGATTTTAGATATTGACACCATGTTAAAGCATTTAAAAAAGCTAAGTGCACCTCTGTGAAATCAGCACAAACAACATAATCCCATTCAGAAGTGCAGGAAAAGCTGAAATCAACACCGTGAGCCTCTGTGGCTGGTGCCTGGCAGAGATCATGTGGCCAACAACAAAAAGCCACTTCCTAATGCAAAGCCCAAATAAAATTAACTCTTTCAGTGCTATAAAATTCCATTTAAAAACAAACCTGCCAGCACCACTTCTCCCAAATAAAAATAAAAGCACATAAAAAGAACAACATAAAGACAGCCAACATTAATAAAAAAAAGTCAGAGCCCAAACAAGAAAAAAAATTTAAAAATTCATTAGTCTTAAGCTAAAATCTCTTATAAATCTATGATGAATATATAATTAATACATCAGACTATTTTTTCCTATAAGTCATAAAATACATTGGAGAGATGTAGCATTTTAACCATATCCATGAGCAGAAGTACCAACACTAAAGCCAAGGAGATGTTGAAGTAGCTGTGATTTGCTGAAAAGCTTAAATAGAGAGAGAAAAACAAAAGATATGAAAAACCTTGCCCCAGGGATAGAAGAGGAAGACCTCTGTTTCCCAAAAATAGATGAAGAAAACTTTTGTACTAGAACAATTCATCTTTAAACTTGTACCCCAGTAAACTGAAATAACCCATGGTAGTATTTGTGAAAAAAACTACCAAACATAGGAGAGATTTCATGACTGTAAATTTCCAGGCAGCTTCTATTTGTGAAAATTAAAACCACAAAAGAACTGTTTCTTGTGAAAAAGTCTCCATGACATGGCAAGAAAGACTCCTCTCCCTAAGTAAACTGAAAAAAGATTATTTTAAAAGTAATAACTGACTGAAAAGACAAAATTTTGTCTCTTTATGTTGTCAGAGAGAAAAGAGAAAGAGTTGGAGGGAGGAGAAGTGTTCTGAAGGTTGATTCTGATTTCTTATTTTTCTTTTAGTTCTGTTAATAAAGTTTTCTTTATACCCTTTAAAGTTGAGCCTACTTTGCTCTCTTCCTAATCCTTACCTCACAGCAAAAAATGAATAAATAATTCTAGTGAGTGTACTGGCATTTGGTCAGGGCTAAACTCAACTCCATTAATTGGTGCATTAACCAAAAAACTCAGATTGGCAAACTAAAACCACTACCACATTCTCAGATTGTAAAGATGTTCTCTTACCTGTTACATCTCCAGCAGTGCTCAAAAGATGCTGTGAACACATCTGCTCAAAAAATAACCCAAATGACACAAATCTGTTTATTCTGTTCTTCACACTGCCAGTTATGTTTCATTTGGTTTATGAGAATCAAGGAAGTTTAATACCAGTAGTTGCAAGTAGTGACCAAAACATTACAGGCAGACATCATCCTTTATGTCTTTGGCCAGTTTCCCTGTTCTTGTTAGAGCAAGTGAGGAACCTGTTCCTTGAAGTTCCTCAAGCAAGTTGTCAGCACTGTATCACAGCTTTTAAAAGAAAAAGTGCTGTTTGTTTGGGTTCTCCCTCTTCCCTTTTTATTCCAAGTTTTCTGAGAGCATGTCCACAATTAATGGATAAGAGAACTTATAAAATCAAATGGAGAACAGTCAGCTGCTTTTAGCAGATCCCCACTTCCACACGGTCCAGGGAGAAAATCTGAATTTGCTCAGAGCTTAGTTGAACCTTGTAAAAGCTAACGATGGTGAAATTCCAGTTGTGTCTCTTGTGCTCCCTCAGAGATGGGGAGGAGAAGGCAGATGGATGGATGTGTGGAAGAAAGATGGAGCAAGCAGTCTGCTAGCAGCACACCAGCCACTTTGGGCTGTGCTTATGGAGCCTGAAGTAGTGGGGCAGGGGAGGGGCAGCTGGAAATAGGTTCAGGTGTTTCAGTCCAACAAGATTTTAGTTGTTAAACTGGAGGACTGAGTGCTGCTCTCCCTAAGGAGGGTTACAGAAGAAGCTGCTGCTGCCTCACACTGCAGTAGAGAGGAGAGAATGCCATTTGTACTTCCTACAGGCACAACTGCAGGGCCTCTGGGCTCTCCTGATGCTGTGCAAGTCCTGCTCCCTGCTTGCTGTTGTGCTGCATGCCAGGGCAGTTCTGCTGCCTCATGCCAAGTTGCAAGATGTGCTTTGCTGATTTACTGCTGTATAAATAGTTGCTCTATTTTCCTGATAACTGATCGTCTTTATATCCTATCCTCTTGTCACTGGGAAAGAGTGTTAGGGGTGGGCTTGAATTGAATTGCTTTAGGTGGATGGATATCAGGTTTGTTACACAGACTGTCACAGTAACTCTGCTTTTTGCTGAAGGGCTTTGACATAATTTATTTAGACAGTGCATTGTCCATACCATAGTATCCTTTTAGAGATCTGTATCTATAATTATGCTTCTTAACAAATCCAACTAATTTTCTATCTGTAGTCAGCATACTTAGAGGCAAGTATAAATACATGCTCCAGGAGCACAGCCAACAATGTGTAACAATTCCAGAGGTTTATTTGTTGCAGAGCAAGTGTGCCAAGCTCTTTTATGAGGAATTTCATGTAGAAAAGGTGTCTGAAGCAAAGACTTTCCAAACATTTAATCTTCAGGTGTTTAATGTGGTTGCTTATGTGGTTACTGAAGAAATCTGTATTCAGTAAACTAAGCAAATCCTGTGGTACCTTAGCAACTTTAAAGACATGCACAATTAACATGCAGCTTTGAAGCAGAGTTCAGTTCTACTACTTTGTTTTAACAAATGTACAATTATAATTTGTAACTTTGGGACAGTAAGTCCTATTTTTGGCTGTACAGGACTGTGGCCTGCTCAAGCACAGCAGTGTTTCTGTGTGCTGGGTTTTCTGTTGTGAAAGGCAGGCAGTACTGATCATGTGTCTATACACAGATTCCTCAATTTATTTGAAAGCTGCTGGTTTGAAAGAAAGTATTACTGTAATTCTACAAGGTGAAAATTGAAATTTTTATTCTGTTATCTCTTAGCAATACTCTCCTAGGACACATCTGTGTTCCTCACTAAGAGCATCAGCCTCACATTGCATATTTCTGTTGCAGTGAGTCTGTTTGCATTTCTCCCCACCTCTGGGTACTCTGCCATGACCCTTACAGGATTTTCCCTCCCTGAGCACTCGCATTAAAAACCCATTGTATTTCTCTCCCAGCCATTCCTACCTGACAGCTACTGCCAGTACTTAGGTGGGGTAGTGAGGTGGAAAAGGGAAGGCCTAATAAAACAGCTTGTGAGAATGTACAGGAGGTGGAGGGGAAGCCAGCTCTTGCTGTGTAGGGGTTTCTGTAGCTTAGGCCTCCAATGACCTGCACATATTTGTGTTTGTGTTGCACAAAGCTTTCAGTGTTTCACTATGTATCCTGTCCTGTCTTTGTCTTGCTTAATGGCAAGTAAACAGCAGTTGTTTGTTGAATTTGATGCATGATTTAGCTTAAATAACTTTAAAAGGCATGTTTTACCCTTATGGCTTCTCTGTTCTTTTTGGTAAGGTTTGTTAGTGGTGAAATAATAATGGTGACTGAGCAGCATTGCTGCTGATGGCACAGCACGTGAGACTGCAGCCCTGTCCTACCGAATCCAAATGCTCAAAAGATGCTCTGAATACCTCACCATTACCTCACTCTCCCAGAAAATGAGTTATGCAGGGGAGGTGTGCAACTCCCAGCATGGCTGTAGATCTCATCCTAGAAGAAAAGGCGCTCTTGTCCTAATTATTTCAGAATTCATATTGATGCTGAAAGATGCATGTGGAAAACAAGCCTAGAGACTAAATTCCTGCCTTTGTTGAGGAGGGGACTAAACAGACAAACACTTGTACCTGCTAAAAGTGAGTGGGATCAGTGACTGAATGAGAACCACTCAGAAATACTGACTCTGCATCCCACATGAACAATACATTTTGTGGTGTCTTTCTTTTGAATCTTACCAGGTCTGAGATTACAATATATTGACCCTAATCTGTGGCCGATTCAAAGTAGGGACAAATGGTGCCCTGTGTGAATGAGATTCAGAGGAGTTCTGCTGAGACACAAATCAAACACAGTCAGTGCCAAAGGAGACAGAGGAGAAGCCACTGCTGCCATCCATTGTGTATTTCAGTTTAGAGGGACACTCCTGAGGTGCCCCTGGCACAGGCAGGGCTGGTGAAGCCAGGTAACAACATGACAGCTCCATTAGGCCCAGTGTGTGAGCACATGGCTGCTGCTCCCTGCTGTTTTCTCTTCCTGTCTGAATTGTATATTCTTAAAGGTTTCTCCATTCTCACAAGAGGCATGCAGGGAGTGTGAGCTGCAAAGGACCAAAATCATTTAATTTGTCAGGACCTTGCCGTGCCTTTCCAGAGGCTACCTGGAAAACTTTCTGGTACCAAGTGCATATGGAAAGTCTACTCAGTATGATTAAACAAAGGGGTTTTTTCCTGTGATTCTGGTGCTTGTTTTGTGTTGTCTCTAAAGCAATTTTGTTGTTTCCTTTTTTCTTAAGGGGATACCAGCAACAGGATGCCCATGAGTTCATGCGTTACCTTTTGGACCATCTACACCTGGAACTCCAGGGTGGCTTCAACGGTGTTCCACGTTCAGTAATCTTGCAAGAAAATTCTAACCTGTCTGCAAGCAACAAATGTTGCATGTAATGAGAAGTGTTTTTTAATTTCTTCAAAGCCTTCATGTCTTTGCATGAGTCTGCATGTGATGGCTCTGAAACTTCAGATTCAGGGTTCCTTGTTTTAAGTTTTCTTCAGTGCTTTTAACTTTATGCAGTGCAAAAATGATGGCCATAGATTTTGATGTTTAAATTGTCAGCAGACCCTCCTGGAGGAGGTCTGAGTAGTGCAGTTAGAGCTCGAAGTCAGCTTTCCTGCAGATGATATCATGTATCACTTGGCAGTTACAGTTAGTGCTTTTTTTTCTGCATAATTTTGATTTTCACACTACTGTGTACCTTGAAACAGGTGTAATTTGGGTGTTTCACTCTTTTCTGTAGTTCTCAAAGTACTATTTTTTTCTGACCTCTGTCCTGTCTGTGTTTTCTCTCAGACTGAAACTCTCACAAGAGAGAAAACCTTTTATTTGCTTCAGGAAGGAAAGTTGTCAGATCAGCCTGCACACTTGGTTGTTAAGTTCTTGATTCCCTACAGACCTGACTTTGAGTTTTCCCTTCTGTACTGATTAGGACAGAGTATGCAGGCCTGAGATGCAGGGTTTTATTGATGCTTTGTTGGGGAAAGCCTGGAGTTCAGACTGTTCCTTTTTACTGCATTTATATTGTGTTGCTGATGCTTAAAAATCCCCCAGAAGAATCTTAAAATGTGTGTAGAATTGACATGTATTTGAAATCTAAACCGATTTTGTTTTGTCAGTATTTTGGATATCAAAATCCAAGGACAAGTTAACCTTCGTTCACCTTTCTACTGTAAATTTGTCTTGAGAAGGGCTGTTCAAACAAACAGTGAGGCAGGTTAAGCTGGCCTTCTGTTGAGGGCATTTTAATGCTTCCAGTAAAGTAATAAATAGGCTGTCAATGCTCTCTTCTTGGGCACCAGTCCATTTGAGCAGCTATTTCTACCTGCTCAGGGAGCATTCAGATGAGCTGTAAAGATGTAGGTGGAGTGCAGGCAAGGAACACAGGTTTCTGCAAGCCTTAGTGTTGTATAATGTAACTTAAAATTTGTGTTTTATTTTTAATTTGACTACGAGAAGCAGGTCTATTACATAATCTGCTAAGATAATTCAGTAGGAGACTAATAAAAGCTTAGAGAACAATGCTGGTCTTGCACATTGTTTATCATGTCTTGAAGCTGTTGTTGGCAGTGAAGTGCAGAAATGCGCTTAAAGAAGTCAAAAGCACAATGTTAGAAAGGGTGTAGAGTTAAAACAAAAATAGGCTTGACCTACCTAAGAAGAAAGAATTTTTATTTCAGATAACGTCTTAATTACAGGTTTAAAATCCTGGACCTGTGTGAGCATCAGGTCCAGCTCCACTATAGAAATGCACCCAAGTGCATCACAACACTGACAGTTTGAGCACCTGCCTGGAGTCCCCTGGGTCACCCTTTCTTTAGGTCCAGGATAAAGCAGTGTAGGCACTGTGTGTGGATGTGTCCCTGGGCAGCTGCAGTGCCTGGAGCACCCAGTCCCTGTTCTATGTGCTTGGCCTGGTAGTGGGAAGTGTGAAACCAAACAGGGGACACAGGTGGTGTGAATTCAGCTCAGGCTTTCCAGCTGACTGTACTTCTCTGATGTGGTTTGTCTAGAAATGGAGCGTCTACTGTTGTCACTGCCATTTTTGGAGGCATTCTTCAAAATGAAGTCAACTGCCTAATATGTGGGACTGAATCTAGAAAGTTTGACCCATTCCTAGGTAAGGTGCTGTCTCTTGTGTTCTAAATACTGTAGAACTATAACAAAAAACTACTACATAAAAAAAAGTGTGACTTAGAGCAGAAAACTAAATCTGAAGCTTCATAGATTTAGAGGTCAGATAACAGAATTTCAGCCTAAAAAGACCAGGCATTGTTCTATTCAGACCTAATTTTGTTTTTTAAATCGTTGCTTTTCTAGACCTTTCGCTAGATATTCCAAGTCAGTTCAGAAATAAACGTACTAAAAACCAAGAGAGTGGACCAATGTGCACGCTACGAGGTAAGAGTGCCTGGCTAATGAAATCACAGCAGGCCTAAGAGGCTTTTCTTTCTAGTCACAGCATTTCTAATGTAGTTCACTCTTCCCAGCCACTGATCTGCATTGTTGCCAATGGGTGTTTGTCTGTCCACAGAAGTCCTTATGCCTGTGCCCACAGTGAGGGTTCTGCATTTAAGTCACATCAATGCAGTCCAGCAGGTTGGGCAGCAGTGGCATTACTGACCTTGGTTTTTACAGGATGTTATTTGTTATTTGAAATTTGTGAACAGACTTGCTGAAAATCATGAAATACTCAACAAAACCCTGTTCTTGAGTCTGTTCACTTTGTATCTAAAGCCAAACAAGCTTTAAAAGTTGAATATTCTATGTTTGAAAGTCGTTGGTCTTTGTTTGAAAGCAGTTATGCTGAATGTTGGATGGAATTTTATTTGGAAGATGGAGATTTTGTGAATGCCTGTTACTTTCTTTCAAACTACTTCTGGCTGCTTTCAGGAACAGGGAAGGCTGCGTGTTACAACATGTTATTCTGTCAAAAAATTATTACACAGCTATCCATCCAGCACAGGTGGATATAAGTAGAATGGTTGCAGCAGATGAGGGCACCTATATTGCTGTGTTTGTTGTATTTCATGTTACAAAAATCACATGATGTATCTGCTTTTTCTAGATTGTCTTCGCAGTTTTACAGACCTGGAAGAACTTGATGAGACAGAGCTGTACATGTGTCACAAATGCAAAAAGAAACAGAAGTCCACCAAAAAATTCTGGATTCAGAAACTACCAAAGGTTTGTGTAAGAAATAAGTCTGACAAAAAAGGAAATAATGGTTCAACCAAGACCTCTTCCTGCCCATGGCAGTGTCCAGCATTGAGGTCAGCCCCCTCCTCTAACACACCTTTTGTGACTGTTCCCTGTAGGTGCTATGCTTACACTTGAAACGCTTTCACTGGACAGCTTATCTGAGAAACAAGGTTGATACGTATGTTGAGTTTCCCTTGCGAGGCCTAGACATGAAATGCTACTTGTTAGAGGTAAGAAGACCTACTGATGCCTCCTGCAGGAATTTGTTCCATGACATTATGTCTTTATTACAAATTACAGTGGGTGCTACTGAGATTTGAAGAGTTTTTTGGTTTTTTTTCCTACCACAGCCTGAAAACAGTGGCCCAGAGAGCTGCCTGTATGACCTTGTGGCTGTGGTTGTGCATCATGGCTCAGGGTGAGTACGTGGAGCCAGCCTGTCCTGGCACACACCTTCTCCCACTCAGGTCCATGCAGAGTTAATGAAGGGGTTCTCTCCCTAGGGCACGTATTTTAATTGGGGAAATAAACTGTAGTTTATAAACTGGCAGGGAGCAAAGTTGAGTTAATTTCAACAGATACAATAGAGCCAGGCTTGTGACTCTTCCTGGCAGCCTTTGGTGGTTAATGACTGCATGTGTGAGATGAAATGAAAATAGTCTAGTGCCTCTACAAATGAACAGCCCTGAACCAAGAGGAGGAGTTAGGGGGGCCTTCCAGAAATTAATGCCTCATTTTGAAATTCTTACTACAAAACAGTACTATTTTTTCCTCTTTTATTCATGTTGGAAGGCACAATTCCATTTATGCTAAAGAAGTGTGTGAGCATGCTTGGAACACCTGCAGCCCAAAGATGTGTATGGTGAAAGAGATCATCACCACCATCTTTTCTGCTACAGCAGTGAAGGCTCACAGGCACGACCCAGAGCTGGCACAGGGCATGTTTTGAAGTAAAGTTACTGGGAGTCTTTTAACTTTTCCCAGCCCTGGACAGATCTATTGAGAGTAACAATAGAAGGGATAAGACAAAGTGTTCTTGATAAACTTTAATTTGGAGAACTTTTGAGTCCCACAGCTCAAAAAGAAGCATCCTCTGTGCAGGGCTGTGAGTACCTTCCTCCCTCAGGCTGCTGGCAGTCCCTTAGCTGCAGGAGAAGGTGCCTCAGGGAGGTGTGTCCCTGACTGTTGTCCCTCTGCCTGCCCCACAGTGTTGGCTCTGGCCACTACACAGCGTACGCAGCGCACGAGGGCCGCTGGTTCCACTTCAACGACAGTACTGTAACCCTGACTGACGAGGAGACTGTGGGCAAGGCCAAGGCCTACATCCTCTTCTACGTGGAGCGCCAAGCTAAGCCTGGAGCAGAGAAACTTTAATACCTCCTTTCCATTCTTACTTATCAAGTCCACTGGACAAACATTTCCATTTTTCCATAAATACTTGATCCAAGACTTATTAATTTCATTGTGCACTTTGCAATTTCCTCTTGTGGGTTTTTGTTTTGTTGTGTCAATGGTAGCATTTGACTTACTGAACTTGGACACAAACTAACTTTTTTTTAGTTATACCAGAAAACCTCAGCAGATTTTGATTTGCTGCTTTAGTTGTGATAACTCAGTTTTTATATATATAGTTTCATTAAATAGTTATTTGACTTTTTTATATTAATGTTTTCAGTTCTCACTTTCTAAAGGCACATTTACATCAAAAAACCTGTCCTCCTTACAAGCAAGATAAATGTGCTTTTGATCATGAAGAGCAATACAACGTCATGCTGTTTTCAGTTCTGTTATGTAGATATGATTTAATCTCTTTAAATCAAGGAGTTGTTTTTGCACATACTATTCTCCCTCGTGCAAGAAACTTAAACAGTGACTCTGACCAATCATCCTTTGTCTGAAGAAGAGAGGTGATGTGGCATCATTAAATAGACCAGGTAATTGCTGCTATCTTGGTGTGTATTCAGGCTGGTGACTTCCAGGAATCATTGTAAATAAACACTTGGTTCGATTCTATCAGTACTGCAATTTAATTCAAGTACTGCTCAGATACGCTCTGGCCCCTGCCCTCTGCTTTTTAGAAGAAATTAAAATTTAAAGAAATTTAAAACAATTATCTTAAAATTACCTGTCTAAACAACACTGAGTTTTATGGTTTCTCAGGTGAACCTGAATTGCATTAGACATCTCTTGGTTTAGACTGTCATCCTTAAATTTGATCATGAACACTTAGGTGCTTAAAAAATGGGGAGATTTCCTGGCAGTAGAATCCCAAGTAGCACCCCTTTAGTTCCTGCTGGGAATCTGAAGTACAGCCCCAAGGGCTGGGGTTTGTGAGAACAGGCATAGGTCTAAATGCAGCTCTGCTCCATGGCTACAGTTCAGGTGGAAGCAGGAGGAGACAGATGGTGTTGCAGGTGCTTTGCATGGAATTGTTCTGTCAGTTCAAATGCAGACTCAAGGGAGGATGCTCAGTCTCTCCCAGCAGAGCCCTCAGAGGGCAGGTGCTGAGCCAGGGAGGAGCAGGCTCAGGGAGCTCCTGTAGCATTTACACACTGGCCCAGGTGGCATTTTTGTTCAGTCTCTAGGTGAACGCTGGAGGCACGGTGCATGGTACCTGGCTGTCATGGAGAAAGACTAATATAGTATAGTCCCAAACCAGTTTTAGCTCTACTGCTGATAAGCTGCTGGAAGTCAGCTACTATGATGGGAAAGGCAGACAGGAAAACCAGTACTGAAAAAGCCAGGAATCTGACAGAAAAACCTGAGATTGGAGAAATGTTGCAGTTCAGATCTGTTCTACCCCTCTATCCTTTCTAGCTGGCTCCCTTGTGCCAAACAAGGAGCTGGTACTCCTGAAAAGTACCACCAGCAGTTTGAGTCCCACCAAACAGCAGCTCTTAGTTCTGTTAACAGAAAATGCAGTTGTCTGAAAACACACAAGAACTCCAGCTGAGTCCTATTTTAGTTAATGCTGCTGAAGGACACAGAAAAGGGGCTGGAGCGGAGCCCAGAGCAGTCTGGGGCACAGGGAGTGCACAGCCTTGCCTTGGGATCCTGCTGGCTGTAACACACCAGGGGAAGGACAAATCACAGTCAGGCACTTGATACAGGGCCATTCCTGAGAGCTTTGTCACAGCATCTTAAACCAGGAAAGGGAGAAATTGGCTTCATCTGAAACTGCTGAAATAGTTCAGCCTAACTTAATGGGTTTTGAATATGTACACAGGTTAAGACTATAGAGTAATTTGATATAGTAACATATTTGTAAGGATGTTATCTTAAGTTGAACAGTAAATAGAACTTGTCATTGCTTTAAACTGTAGATAGTTTGTCACCTTCCTTTCCTTACAGACAGAGCCTTTCTTCTAATCAATGCAAACAGGTTGCTGATAGACAAGAAGAAAACAGGGCAGGTAAAGCATTGTACCACATTCCTGCCCTTCCTGCTGCTCACAGGGAGCTGCACAGATGCCACCTCTAGCTGTGTTTTCTATGCATGCTGCTTGGACTGGATTTCTTTAGAATTTATCTTTGAGAATGCCAAGCTTAAAATACACAACTCTCTCTGGGTCAGCAGCAGTTTAATAACTTACAGTAGTCAGGTGTATGCAGTGTTCTTGCAAAACAGTGATGTAAATGTGCCTTTCTGTATTTTTAGAGATTTAAATTTGTAATCTTCAGCAACATTCACTTATTTTAATCAACTTCTACTTGTCAGCAATTGTTTGGGTCAGAGTTCTGTTCTCACTTGAGCATTTTCTTTCAGTTCCATTTGCTGTGTCCCACGCAGCTCCTGGGCAGCGGTGTCTCCAGCAGGGCCATGTGGGGCCAGCCTGGGAACATGAAGCAATCACAGCAGGCTGTCCTTGCAGCAGGTGCTGCTCAGGACTCAGCCATATGCTTTGCTGGAACAAGTACATTGTAAATCCTTTCCTAATTTAACTCTCTCCCGCTGCAAACCCAGATGGACAGTATGAACAGTTTGTTGTGGCAACACAAGTATTTCTCTTCCTGGTGGAGAACTTTGCTTATCCACTGTATTCTATTCAGTGTGGTGTCAAAAAAAAAAAACAAAACAAAAAAACCCCTGAGCACTGAACCAATAACATATACTGCACCTGGCCTAGTATTACTTTTTTAACCTAGCTTGTATATCCTATATTTATCTACTAGCTTGTGAGGGGGGGAATATCTCTTTCATTTAAGCCAAATGTTTCTTTTCTACTTACTGCTCATCATAGTACACACTAGCTGGCAAGAATTTTTTTCTTGCTTCAGATTGCTCTGCAAGCAGCAACTGCTCTCTACAGTTCAGAGACTTGCATCTTTTTCACCATAATGTGTCCAATCAAAGGTTGTCCTTTTGTTAGTTATTGTTTAGCCACATATACAACTGGAGCCAAGATTTATGTCAATCAAAACTGCAAAATGTCCAGCTCCTAAAGGTCAGCAAGAGAGAAGAATTGAAAAGCTTGAGACAGGCAGGGACAGTGGACTTGTATCAAAAGCAGGAGGCCATTTATGAAGATTTTACTAAATCAATGGGAAGTTCCCCAGCAATGTTTCATTACTGATGTGTCTGTGTCTTACTGATGAGGTAATGGGCACCTTGACAGCTGATTCCAACGTGCTTTAGGATATTCTCAAGTACTGTAGTGCCATAGTTGTAATTGTTTACCATTAAAATCTTGTGTGTAATTTTCAGTGAGGATTACTGACTGTGCTCATCTTGTGTGTTTCTGGAGCATTTCCAGGATGAATGTGAATTATATCTGATCACACAGTGTGTTTATGGAAAATGTGCCATTAAAAATGTCTCCTTTCCTTAGAAAATGAAACTTCTCTTGTCCTTCTACAGGCTTGCAGAACACAATACATTGGTAATACATTGGTGTATGTCCTCTGAACACAAATGGCAGCATACTGTACCTTGCTCTAGGAAAAATGAAATAAAGCAATTGCAGTGTTCCCAACTCTGTAACACCTCTACCAAACTTTGCACCAAACTCCAGAGAGGACCTGCCATTCCATTTTAAATGCCTTGTCACCCAACTGTTGTTAATTTTTATGTCATATTTTTGTGTGTCCCCTCTGTCTGGCAAGAGTCCATCTTTGTCATTCAGCTTTGCTAGATGGTTGATCTGTTGTCAATTTGGGAGGTTTTTCTAATTAATATTTTTAAAAATAGTATTCCTATAACTCTGAGAAGTCTCAACTGTTTAAATCTGCTCAAAAATGAAGGTAAGTTTGTGAGAGCTGAAACTGCTAATACAAGAATGAAGAACACCTGCAGACACACCTTTTAAACTGCCATTTTCCAGTGAACTGCATTACCTGGTATGTGAAATCTTCTTGTCCCTTTTTGTGGCACTGACCAGAGCCGTGTCTGAGGGGGAGGGGAGGGGGAACAGCAATCTTTTTATTTCAAAGAAAAGATTAAATGACAAAGGATATTAAAAGCAAGAAGACTGGCAATTGTTAAACATAGCTTATTTTATATAGTAGAAAGTTACGAACTAAAGAATGAAGCAGAAAGAATTGCCATTTCTTTGTGTATGCCAGCTGTGTTCAGACACACACATTTATTCAAGCACTTCCTCAAGCTATGACTGTTGCAGACTACAAACAAATTTCAGACCTTGTTTTTCAGAGTTGAATTTTAAACTGCATTCTCGGGGTAAAAAGGAAGAGGTAAAATTGAGTCCCACTCCACCTTGTCCTGTATTAAAACACTCCTAATTGAATTGCCATAGGTACATAAAGTCTTCCAGTTACTATTTGTATGCAGGCCACTTGAAAAACTCCCCCAGTGCTGTTTGCTGAAACTTTTTATGGATTTGTTGAATTAATTTATTCTCTTGTATTAACACCAGGTAGAAGGTGACTAAAAAATACCTTCTCAAACATTTTTGGTTCACAAGCAGGAAAGTTAAAGGGAGGCTTATTGCTTTTAATTCCAACCTGCCCTTGCTGTAGCTTTATTTTTCTTCTAGGAACAACTTTCTGCTACACTTTCTCCAGTTACTGTACAAACAGGTACTTTTACCTGGAAAATGACTTTCCCGTCTCCTTTTTGCACCAAAGGGTGGAAAAAAGGTTTCTGTGGTAATGGAACTAAACCTACAAAACTGGAACAGCCAAACTTGTAAACTCAAGCCAATAGAAGACAGCTCTTAATAGCACAAGCCCCCAAGGAACTAAACATAGCCTTGCTGTTCCCATGCGTGCCTGCCCCTGTGTCATTGCTTCCCTCCTGCAGAAGGTGGGGACACAGCCAGCTTTGTTTACAGAATCACAGCTCAGCCTCACATAACTGTGGGCAGGAAACTGCCCCTAACTGGGGCTTGTAAACTGAACTGCAGACTCTCTGTGTGCTTCAAGGCACCCAGATAATGGTTCAGCTCCTTCTAAAAAACTGTTTATGAAAGTTCCATTATCTGTGTAATAGTCCTTGAACATGAATCAAATGTGCAGACTCAGAAAAATCAATGAACCAGTAGCGAGTAGAAGTGGTGTACACTCTAAAACCGAAGTTACTGCTCAGAAAGCCAAATCTCTGGAATGGGAAACACTCATAAAAATACACCTGGCAACTGTAGCTACAGCCCCACCCACCCCAGGAACTCAGTACAAAATCTTTGCTAAATTTCAGGAGAGTCTACAAGGGAAAAAAAAAATTCCTTTTAAGGAAGCATTTCATGTCAAGTTGTACATGCCCATTCCATTCCCCTGGACAAAGGAAGCACAAGCTGCATACATGGTTCTTTTCCTTTCCCTGTTCTGAGCTTCTGCACCAGTTGTTAGCCAAAAATAAACCCCATTCCACAACCATATATGTGCAACAGCCTCCTGGTGAGTGTGAGCCCCCTCCAGCACTGCTGTTTCTCCACGAGGCCAAGAGACTGCCACTGCTGCCGGGCAATGCACATAACCCAGCTCAACCGGGAATGCCTTTTACATCTCTTCTCTTTTCTGGACAAAAACAGTAGGAAAAATCTAGCAAAAACATGTCACAAGTTGCTAGAAGTGTTTCAAGATCCTTTACTGTGGTCTTTGTTGAACTTTCATTCTCCTGTGGAACTAAAGAAGGATAATTTTCTCCTGGGACCTGCTTTAAAACACTTATCCATCTGCTGGTATTCAGAGAGAGTCAAGGTGTGTAACATTGAGGACTGGATGAAAAACAGTTTCCAGAAAGACTTCTGTAAGAGGCATGAGAACACTGTCAGTGATTTTTTACTAGACGTTTGCAACAGGTATGTTCTGTGGGTGTGAGTGTGCAGTAACTGCCTTGGGATGAGTGAAGTTGGAGTTATTTCAAATACTCCATAGTCCCTGCCTAAAATGGAGCATGAAGTACATGACTGCTTTGCCTTTATAACTTTAGGGTAATGTAAGTTCATTTTACATTTACAGTGGCAATAGTGTATATTTCATGTGCATTTCCCTTAAGTCTATGTTTTCCTTCTTTTTTCCTAAGAATTATTTATTAATACGGGAAAGTGCACTGCTGCCTCCCACACTGCTGCTCTGCTGAACTGCAACGTTCTAGCAGTGTCTGGGGGGTGCCTGGAGCAGAGCCCTGATTTCAAACAGTGAACACACCTCATTACAACCAAGTTCAATTAACATGTTACTAAGTGTCAGTTTTAGTTCAGTCTAAGAAATAAATATTGCCATTATACTGGAGTTTAAACTCTTAGCTGCAGTGAGAAATGCCACCACGGAAAAACAACTCTGGGTGCACAGTTTTTCCTTCGCAGGCGTGCTGCAGAGCAGTGACAGGAGGAGGCTCACAGGGTAGAGCCAGTCCCACTGTGTGTGTAACACCAGGGCTGGCTTGGCTCCCTGACGTGGTGCACCTGTGCCCTCAGCTTTGGAACTCCTGAAAAAAGCCAACAAATGATGGGATAGTGACAGGACACAATGTCTTGGTGAGAGCCAGCACCAGTGTGCACCAATCTCAAAACAAGGACTGAAAACCAGCTTCAAACCAGGGATTAAATTTCAAGTGCCAGATTTCTGATGTTCTAGAACAACTGATAAAAATCTGGCTTAATTAAGAAGGAATCAGCATACACTTGTGCCTAGAAAGTATAATACAAGGTCCTGCCCCTTTTTGCTGCAACCCATTGAAAACATTCCCAGTCAAAATTCCTAGCACTGTGTACAAAGAAAAATGCAAATTAAATATCTAGCTTTTCTTCCTGAGCTTGAAGTAGTTTTATTCTGTTAGAGCCTTTCTTGACTGCTGCCAGCTTCTTCCTCCAACTGCTCCTAATAAGAAAAGATTAAAAGGAAAAAAAAATCTGTCTAGAGGTCTCACAAGGGCAATGTTAACACAGACCTGTGTGTGATGCTCTGTGTAGATAAACAGGTGGATGCTGAAGTGCTACTGCCTGGAGAGGGGGCTGAGCCAGGAGCCTGACACAGCACAGCTTCACAGGCTGCTGCACAGGGCCCTGCTGAGCACAGCAGCTGCTCCAGGACAGCTCCTGTACAGCATCAACACCCCACTGGAGACAGGCCTTTCCTGTACTTCCCCAGGCATACTCAAGCAGCAAGAAAAAGGTTTTTTTCATTTGTTGCAACATTGTTTATAACAACACAGTTACCAGTTTCAGTAACTCATAGGAAAGTTTGAGAGCTGTGTGGGGTTTGAACATTAACACTCTTTGGGAAGCAGCTGGCACCTATTCAGTAAATCCAAGGAGATAAAATGTATCTGTGATTCCTGAAAATGAAGAGTGGGAGTGTCTTACTTGCTCATGCTTAGCATGTCTGCACAGCAGTCTCTTCTCTCAATTGACCTCCACTTCATCCTGAAACAAATCTCTACTGGTTCTCCACTGTCTGTGCCTGGAGAAGCACAGCACCGTCCAACTCCTTAAGAAAAAATGGTGCAGCAGCAGCAGCTTCAATAGGCCTCCACACGCCCCTGTGCCAGCTGAACTAGAGATGTTGTTACCAACAGAAAAAGCAAAGGAGGTAAAGCTTTGCCTTTAGTTAAGCTTAACGTTAAGATCTATGTGGGTGCTCACCTACTTGTGCCTCCTTGCCCCTCCTGATGAAGAGAAGGCATTCTTCCAGCCTTTGTATTTATTCTTGATGCTATTTGCTTCTGCAAGCTCTGTGATTTATTTCCCCCATCTCACTGTCACCATCCTGCTTTCAGATGTCCAAATCTGCTGTCTCTGACCCTCTCTGGATGTGGCCACGTTACAGATGACTGCATTTTGCAGCTTCTCAAGCACTGCCCAAACCTGAAGAGCCTCAAACTGGAGAACTGTGTGCGGATCACTGACCACACCCTGCAGGCAGTGACCCTCCACGGGGCATCACTGCAAACACTCCACGTGGATTTCTGCCGCAACGTAACACAAGCTGGGCTAGAGAGAGTCAGGGAAAAGTGTCCTTCAATAATGCTGAGAGCAGAGAAAAGTGCTAACATGATCCCAGACAGTAAGCCAGAGAAAAAGCTGATGCTTCAAAAAGCATCAAGAAAATTGGTTCAGCTTTAAATACAGCAAAATAATCAGTGTGGGTATTTTACCTGAGATAGCAGTGAACTGTGGCTACTTCCATGGGTTCTGGTCAAGTCCAAACAAATGGCTGTTTTGTAAAGGGTCTGCTGGGAAAAGGCATGCATCTCCCTCTGGATGGGCTTCAGGAAAAAAACATTTGCTCTCTGTTGTTCTTTGAAACTGGAAAACCCTGCATTGCTGACACAAAATGTCAGACCTGCTGAAAACTGCATTTCTGGTACCCTCCTGCTGCAGATACACCTCACTCAGAAGAGGGAAACAGCAGTGTGTTTTTTGAGGCCAAATAATTTGATGGAGTCCATACATTTTAGGAACTTTTACGAAAGTTTAACAGTAGTTTGACATGGTGCAGTAAGCTTGATGGCAAGGTTCACTGACTGCATGGAAGAAACACGGAGTGAACTGAGGCAAAATGAGTCACACGGGGACCTGAGAAGCCAAACATTAAGGAAGAGCCTCCCACTGGATCACAAGGTTCAGACTGGACCCTGCAGTTTCAAAACTCCTTATATAATGGGCAAGGGCATAAAGCCACAGCAGAGAGAGCCTGAGTCACTGTAGGATATTGACACATTTTGGGGCAAGAATGATTAACAAACATCTGTTAAAGGATATATCCAGTCAGTCATTCCATCCACTAAGGAGGAGAACCACTCCCTGAAAGATCTTCCTAGCAAAAGCAGAGTACTGACCACCAGCACTTCATCAGTGATTAACAGTGGCAGCTAATTTACCAGTTTTTTTTTATTTAATGAGGGAAGCATGGATTCAAGGCACACAAACCAGTTTGACCCTCTGCACGATGTACTTACATAATATAAGATGCACCAAGTTATTTTTTAAAGCTGATGTTAAAGGCAGTGCAATATGAACAAGTGGTAGTTCAGAGAGCTAACCCACAAGAAAAGACAGTGACTAACAGCCTGTAGCTAAATTAGGAACACACTGCAGACCAGCTCTATATAAACACCCATTTCTCACTGCAAAGTACAAAACCAGTAGCTATTTTCATCCCAAAGCACGAGGCTGTCCCTTTCCTGCAGACTGCTCTGCTACCTGGAATCAAACTTTTTTTTTTTACATGCTTTTGATGCTATGCCACCATCTACAAAATTTGACACCAAAGAGGACTCCACAGGTCTCAACATCACTAAATATACTTCTCCTTCTGATCCTGGTTAATTGATCCACAGATATCTTTGGTACTCTCTGATTTGGCTGAGCTAAGAAATAAATTACAGCAACTTAGTCAAACAATGCTGCAATTCCAGAGAAATACTTGACCAGTATGAGCATCTGTAAGAAACACTCACCCAGAAAACCAATTATGAAAATCAAATATTGCATCTTCATTACTTAGAGATATTTAACAGCATGACATTGTAAAACTGGTATTTCATTAACTCCTTCTTAAAGTTTAATTAGGGCCCTTACACACCACAAGGTAAGGAAGAAAACTGGAGTGGACAAGGAACACCAGCAGTCATCACCCAGCACAAACAACTGCAAAAGGACATTGCTGAGCTGAACTAATTTACTGTGATGTGGAAATAGGGAAGCTGACACAACTCGTACCGTGGATACACAACTGCAGTTCCACACACTGCTGACAAGCCAAAACCAGGTATGAATTTACACAGTCACTGCAGCAAGCAAAGACCTCCTTGTGCCACCAGTTCTCCCAGCACTCTGTGGTGAAAGACACATCACTGTACGAATAACAGGAACAGATTTTCAAGTAGCTACAAGATAGGAAAGCACATTTGCATCTATCTAGATATTACTCAAGTCTTTTGTCAGTTTTCTACCAGGACTGAGGGGGTGGGGGGATTGGCAGGGTATTTTGTGGGGTTTGTAGTTTGTTTTTAAATTTTCTTTTATAGAGCTAAAAAGGGTCTTCTCAAACATTTTCCACTTGATTTCTTTGCCTACTTGTATAACAGTGCTCTAACTCATTACTTTGTTCTTCCCCTCCTGAATGGGGATATTTGTTCATGACATGGTAAAATATGAACACAATTTTACTGACATGTTTTTTCAGCATCAATAATGAATTTTCTTACTTCACAATCCAATTTGGAAATTGAGTATAGAAAATGATAGACATTTTACTTAGGGTATTATGGAAGGATGGAAACATGTCTACAGTTTTCTTTAGTTCCAAGCCATTAAAGTACCATCAAGCACAAACCTTTAATCAACATCTCCTCTGATTTTACTGAAAACTGCCTCCAAAAAGATCTTCATTTTCCATAAAGTCAACTGCACTGTCCACATAAAACTGCCATTTTTAGACACAGTTCTATTGCTTTCTGTGCTGATTGAACAGGCTGACAAATCAGTGCCACTAAGACACATCTATGAGGTGTAGAAGACAATAATACAGGACTTAATACAGCAGTTTCCCTATTCATTTAAATACTGTATTTTTTACCTATTAAACCTACACATTTAGGCCAAGGTGTGACTAAACATCCTCACAACACAGTGATGGGACACCAACATCTCAATCCAATTTGAAACCTAATGCACAATGAAGCAGGAAACCAAATCTACACTATTTCAGAGCCCTGAGACCCTCCTTCCCCCAACTCCTGATCCCCCTCAAATGTTTCCCTGCAGTGTGGTCTTTGATTATTGCTAGGCTTTTGCCTTTTTTCATAGCCAGCAAATAGTCCTAAATGACAGAACTTCACCAGGTAAAACCCAGATTTGCAAGTTTTTACAGCTTACCAAGCCCCCTCTCTGAGCACTGGCAGCAATACAGCAGCACAGTCTTGGACACCCAGGGAATTTCCCAACCAGTCCTTGCTAATGTACAACAGACACATCAGAAAAAAAACCAGGAATTTCTACCCAATACTCCAGACTCAGATGGACCAGTCTTGCTCCCGGTGAGGTTACACTAATAAACATTTCCACCAGCCCTCAGTCACCACAGGATCTTCCCAAGGAGCTGAGGGAGGAAGAGGCTGGGGGAAATGGGAGCAGAGCAGCTCTGACTCCATCTGGGGACAGCCTCTCCCCTTTTCCTCCCCCAGGTACATCCTGCTCTGAACAACAAGCAGCATTTCTAGCTTGACATCAGTGATGTCATTCATAGAGACAATGGGCCATTATCTACTGCCCACCACCTTCCTACGGCACAGAGCAGAGATCTCCTTGTGCAGTGTACTGATGTCCTAATCAAACAGGAACATCAATCACCATGTAAGCCAAACCATGCTGATCACAGAGCTGCAACAAAACTGAGACCAAAGGCAGAACTAAAAATGTGAATAAAATCCACAGCCTCAACTACTACGCTGTCCTTTCCATTTTAATTTTTGTGTACTCTGAGCAGGAATCAACTACATCAGTGTGTCCTTTAAAAAATATTATTTTGCTCAAAATATTTAAAGTTTTCTGAATCAAGGTGGCAGCATGCTGTTACTGTCAACAACTACTCTGGAGGAGCAAAATGTTTAAACAAAAAGCAAGAAGGAACCAAGCACAGCATGAACTTGTACAGCAGCATGAGGAATGAACAGCAGAACACCTGAGCAGGGCCTCAGGCCAGGAGAAGGCAGAGCACAGGGCTACACAGCAGAGTCCAGCAGAGTAAACATTTAAAGATGCTTCAAATGTCACACCCTGTCTCAACACTGTAACACTATCATTTCCTGAGACAAAATATAAAAGTATGAAACCTGAGTAAACCAACCACAGTTCACAAATGCATACAAGCAACAGAGTCTTGAATTTGCTTTATTTTTCTCTGCAGAAGGAACCCTGCACAGGCAATTCAAATTAAAACAAAATAAATATGTGAATATTCATGTAAAACTGTCCTGGCTAATGAACAATTATACACAATGTACAACTCTTCATGTTCACTGGGAGGGCTTACAAATTACTATTCCCAACAAAAATGCACCAAAATGTCTCCATGCAAACTTATCAAAGTGACCAAAAAAGGAGAAAAAACTTACCGATCATATTTTTTTGTTTTGTTTTTCCTTTTTTCTTTTTTACAATCACAAAAAATAAAAACATCTAATTTTTTTGTTACATTTAGAGTAACTAAAATGTGGCCACCATCTATTAAGATCTGGTTTTTTATGCTCCTAAAACATCTATGGTTACTGTAAAATTATGTCAACGATGAATTGGACTTAGGGCACTATATGTAGTAAAAGGAAGATGATTTTGTTCACAGAATGTTAATAATCTGTGTCTGAGCCCTCTGCATTGTCCACATTCCGGGAGAGCATGTAATTGTCCATGTCTATAGACCTGCAATTATTGATTGCATAGCGCAAACGCTCTGCCATGATTAGTTGACTGGAGTAAGGTGGGAGCCTCAGTTGAAAGAAACAAGTCTGTGAGGTAGGCAAGCTGTCGTAAGGCTGTGGAAATGGATAAAAGGTTGGACACTGGTAAGTTGTGAATGAAGTTTAAAATGCAAAATAACCACATTTCATTGCTCCTTGCCTCTATCGTTTTCACATTCTATCTCAAATCCTTTTAAGAAGCAATCTGACCTCCCTTGTTCACAGCATTTGTTCCATCCTTAAGTATGTCCAAAACCACTGTAGCACCTATTTGCACCTACTCTGCAAAAAACTCAACCCACTGCTGAATTCAGCCTTTTGAAAGTTGATCACACTGCTGTTTAGATACTAAACAACGTTCAAACTACATACCACAGTGTGCCTTCTGAGAGGCAATCTGAGAGACACTTAACCAAAGATAACAAAAGAAACCTGTTAGCTGAGATTTTGTCAAGTTTTTGGTTTGTGTTGTTCACAGAGAATGTGCTTTCACTGCACAAAACCCCAAAGTAATTCCAAATGAATACACCCTGCTTATAAAACAATACACTGTAAACTCATTGCAGTGGTTTTAAAACATTAAGAGTTCACTAGTGGTCGTATGTTGACACTCACACAAAATTATTGTGAGTGTCACAAAATAATAATTTCTTAGAAAGAAAATTGCTAAATATAAAGAGACTGGAACAGGTACAGTAGACAAAGGTTTCTTTCTTGTCTTGATCTCCAATCACCAACTGTACCATTTAAATTAAGATGAAATTCATGCAGCCCCTGTCCTCCAGAATTAAAATATCTGAGTTTATTAACTCAGAGCATATACCAACCCATACTTCTTCTGTAAATTTACCATTATGGAAATTGTCTCCTAGTGCCAAAGCACAGACTATACTAGAAAGGAAATAATAACAACAACAACAATAATAATAATAATGTCATTGTCTTACCCTATCAACCTTCATTATTTGGAATCGCTGAGAGATATCAGCTGTGTTGGCTGGCAATCGAGATCTTCCTGACACAAATCTCATGAAAAGGACTCTCTCCTCATTTGAAAATTCTTCCAGGGTGTGCCAGAACCACTGCACCAGCTGATGCTGCTCATCAACTTCTCTGTATCGCACAACCTTCTTCAGAACCTCAACTGATATTTCTGGCATTCCACAGACCATCTGCTCCAACTGCTTGGCAGTCAGAAGGGACAGCAAAGGAACGGGAACAATCCAAGACATTCCTTCCCTGACAGCAGCCACCTATTGGCCAAAAAAAGGAGAGACATTTGAAGTGCAACTGTCCAATCTCTGCCCCTTCCTGGACCATCCAAACACAAAAGTAACTTCTCAGCTGAGAAATGGCATCAAGAGACAGAATTACCAATGTCTGCCAAATACAGCCTCCCACGCATGCAGCCCCTGCAGGGGCTGTATTGTTTCTCAAAATCCTGGAGAATATTGCAGATATTTTAAATTTTAATTGTGCATTAAAGAACACGTTCTGATCAAAACCAGAACTATTTAAAAAAATTATAAGTTGGCAGCACAAATAATGACATCTAAATCAAGCAACTGTGTTAATACAAAGAATTTTTGTCATGTTCCAGTCAGATGTGTGGTGAGAATGCTGTACTTGTTCTGCAAGACTTGGGATTTGGTACCTTTTTCTAATGGTACCCTCTCTTTGGTACCTGCTTTCTAATGCAGGTAATATCACACAGGCATCTTTAACTTATAATTAGAATACTGCTTCCACAAAGGTCCCTTATACAAATGACAAAATATACAGAACTATGCAAGTAAGTAATGAACACTCCCCAAAACATACCGTGAAATATTTGCAGGATTTGTGTTATAATAAAAGAGGAACAGTTTCAAGCTAAACAAATGTTTGTCAATAATATTTACTTTAGTCAATCTCTGTGTTGTTCACATGGGCAGGTTTTTTCCCAAGTGGGGCTGCTCAAATGGAAGACTAGCTCTGTTTTCTAATGTGCTTTTGCCAACTGAGCAATTACTGAGAAAAAACAAGACTAAGTTTTAAAAAAGGGCCAAAACAGTTTGTGAGGAAGAAAAAACACAGAGACCCAGAAAGATGCAGAAAGCCAAGCTTTTCTTACCACTGAATGAAGTGTAATGGGAATAGGCACTAATCACCCCGTCACAACAACTGGTCATAAACAGACACATCAGAGAAAATAACACAACTGTTCATAGCGGTTCTTACCTGCCGGTCCATTTCATGGAGTCTGTACTCAATTGCCCTCTCCACATACTCTTTCCTGTTTGAAAAGGTAAGTGGGATACTGTTCCCTCCAGGGATTATGGGAACCATTTTACCATCAGCACTTTGGCCAACAAAAGAATCTAAAGGAATCATCTGTTATGCAAAACAGGAGAAGCATAAGTCACTCCAGTGATCCAAGTACAGCATTTTACTACAAGTTACCTAGAACTACATATAGTAAGATCAAAAACTATTCTAAATGCACACAAAGTGCTTGTTATCCCAAGAATGGAGATTGAAATTATAGAAATACTAATGTGAATGTCAATCTGATTAAGTAACTGCTTTCAGAATAAATCTGAAAGTGCTGACTTTCTTATCGTACCTCATGGAAATTTTCTTCGGTAATCCCACTGTCTTCAATGTGAAGAATGCTGTTGAGGGTCTGCACATAGAGCAGATCTACCTCCTCCAAATCCTCCAAGATGAGTGGGATACAACAAAGTTGCTTCCAGACCATTGGAGCCAAATGAAGATCTAATGGCTTTTTTGTACGAATAGCTACACCCATGAGAATGCCCAAGAACTTAAACTGCATCAGATGTTCATCTAAACATGCTGAAGGGTTAAAGAGAAACCTGAAAGGACAAAGAAGCAGTGAAGAGTATTATTTCTATGCTACTTCATTAGAAGTAAAAGGGAAAATACTTCACAGCACAGTAACTGCCAGAACATTTAGAAGCAAGGGCTGTCCAAATAAGATTATTGTTATCTTTAGCTGTTAAAACATTGGAGGCTGAGGGAGGCAGAACTCCTGAGCACAAAGCCTGGCATCTTGATGTTACTCTGAATTCTGTCATCAGCAATCCAGCAAGCCCATGTTAAAGCCATGCCCTGGCTCCACAATGAAGTGGCAACACACCCTGAAGGAAAAAATATACTAGAGACAATCATAAAGTCTCATCACTTGGTACAACACAGTCAAGAGAAGATCAGGATTTTCACCCACAACCATCTGCAATAAAAGTAAGAACTGGACAACTTACCTATCCCTATTGTAGCCTACTTCAGCTGTAGCATTTGGGGAAGGAATAACCAGGTCTACTATTCCAGTTTCCAGTTCCTTAAAAATTAATAACAAAACAACAAAAAAGCCTTCTTAGAAAGACAGAAAGCAAACTTATGACAGAACTATTAAGACAGTATAGCATTACAAGACAGAATATTTCACTAGAGTGATGACTACTCCTTACAAATTAATATGAAACCCTGTGAGAAAGTAAACATGGCAGGATGATTTTAACTAGTAAAGACATGTTTATTTCAAGACCTGTCTTTATGTCAGGCTACAGGGTTTTTTTTCCAGCCACCGCACTTTGATACATTCCTGTTACATGTTTCCAAAATATTCACAGATGTACCTGACACATTTCTGTAATGGTGTCATCAAACACTCCACCTGCATCATCAGCTCCTTCTCCAACCAGTTTCACTTTCCAGGCACGGGAGGGTAAGCGAAGGTCTGATGCATTCAGCTTTACCACTTGCCTTGCTATCTGGACAAAAATGGGCTTGCACTTCCGACCCCTTTGGGGGAAAGAGACACAGCCACAAATGTAACTCACAATCATGTAAAGGCTCTGAGTCATTTGATCAGCAAAGCTGTCCAGAGAGAGCTCAGAATGCCAAAGCAGAAGGCAATGTATGAATCTCAGTATGCACACAAGGTGTAGCCTGAGGCCTGGGAGAGCAGCACTGACCTGGTGGAGATCCTTTTCACAGTGATCTGGGGCCCGTAGTTCTTGCCCTGCACCATGGTTTTGCCTATGGAGCGCACCATGGGCAGGGTGTACACCCGTGGTGCCAGCAAGGGCCTCAGCTGTCCCTGCACTATCCCCCACGTGCCAGCATTGTAATGAGATGTACTGTTCTGCAATAAAGCAAGAATGAGAATAAATGTATCAATAAAGGACATGATTCCATTCTTTACAGAATAAAACCCTAACTGGCACTTCAATGTTTCAGAAAACAGGTCAGCGCTTTCTGGTCTTAGCTTTGAGCTAGAAAGCTTTTGGAAACCAGAACATTGACTAGTCTGTGCTAGCATAAGTGAAAATGTAAAGCAATACATTCATAAAATTTACTTTATTCCAGAATTATTTATTTTTATTTTTTTTACCAAAAACTTACAGAGCTTATTACTAAGGTGCATCTAGATCTGGTCAGAAACTCTCTAGCAGAACAACACAGCCAAGCAAGTTTTTTCAAATGGAATTTTACCTGGTTATTGGGGCTGAGGTTCAGTAATCGCCATGAAGAGTACATGAGGTCAGAAAAATGGTACAGCAGTCTCAGCCTGGCTCTCACTGTATGAATGCTCACTTCTTTCAGTGCCCCATACTGAGGTGGAATGGCATCAGGTAAACCAAGCTGCAAAGGCACCGAAACACCTGCCACAGAAAGAGAAACCAAGCACTGTTTGAGAAAGGGGAGCTGGATTGCTTTGGCTGGGATGAAGCTGATTTTCCTCACAGTAGCTTCCACAGTGCTCAGCTGCCTACTGGGGTTAAGCCACAACAGAAGCCAAACTGACAGTAAGATAATCTGGATATCGAACAAAGAAGGGTATGGATATAAAACAAAACCAATTTTGTCCTGAATATTTAGAAACTCGTTGCACTTGCAGCCCAGGAAGTATCAGGACCAGACAAAAGCTCAGTTGCTTACCTGGAGCTCGAGGGGGGACGGGTGGAGCTGTCCAGGCTGCGCTGTGGCAGCGGCCAGCCGAGATCTGCCGCACGTTCTTCCCCTGCAGCACCGTCACCAGTGTGGGCTCCCTCACGTGGTTGGTGTGGCCCAGCCCCAGCTGCCAAAAGGCAACAATCAACAACTCATGACATTTCAACAACTCTCCAAGAAAGAATTCAGAGGAGATGGTAAAAATTGTGATAAAAAACATCTGCCATATATATATATATAAAATATATATATTTTTACCTTTTGTTTTTGACAAAATACTGCACCTTCACCCAACAAGTGTAACAGACCCAGGTGTCAAAGAGACCTGAAAACAGCTGGAGACCTCTTGAAAAATCTTTCCCAGACAGAGGATCTGATCCATGCTGCTAAGTCCTGTATTGCAGTCTCATACACAGACAACAAAGCTCCTACATCTCTCCTCTGTGCTATTTAAACAGCATTTTTGTTCTACAATGTAAATCCTGGTTTACGACAAGAGTTTGTGTAAAGAGAACGTTTACTGAAGCTGTTGTTACTTTTCACTGAGTTTCATATCATATCCTAATTTCATATTCTGTGAGTTAAAAATTTCATGTCACAAAAGTATATTTTTTTCTCCACTTCATATAAAACCAGTATTTTGAACCACAAGGAAAATAATATAAACAGCTTTCATTATTAATTTTTACACTACATTTTTACACTATTTTTTCTCTTCTAAAAATACAAAGTACCATATTAAAAAAACCCAAATAAAAATAATTTTAAAAAACCACCTCAAAGAAGTTCCTCAAAAAATTAGTCCAAAAACTTTGCTCAACCAGCCTTCTCAAAAACTCAATCCTAGAACACCACAGGATGAAGTTTGCCCAAACTTCCTGAAACACCAGTAGCTAATACATCAAGAGACTCTTCCTTGAATTTGTAGTTTGCAGTTGAAAAATCTGAGTTATCTATCTGGTGTAGGTGGGGAATTTCTCATTTACTAAATTATTTTCTGACTTAAAAAAAAAAATCACTCCTTTAAAAAGGTTCATTTATATTTTCATTATGAAAAGCATCTAAAGAGCTCAAAAATCAAAAATTGACACCAAACATAAATTTTATTATGTTAAGAAGACTGATGACAGCTTAAGAACTAGGAGAAAATCTGCAATTTTTTAAAAAAGCTTGGATTAGAGTAATTTGGGTTGGATCTTTTGAGTACTTTTCCAAACTGATACCATGGAAGAAGGCAGAGAGTAAACAAGAAAATAATGTGAATCACCTAAAACATGATGATGCTGAGGGGTGAAGGAGGGAAGGAAAATCAAAGCTTTCTTTTCCACCCAAGGGAAGCCACGGGAGCAGAGCTGTGAAGGGCAGGGAGAGGCTCCCAGGGGTCAGGAGCAGAGAACAGGGCATACCTGGCCTTCGGAGTTGCTGCCCCAGGCGTAGACATCCCCGGTGGAGGACAGGGCCAGCGTGTGCTCGGCACCCACCGCGATGTCCTCGATGAAGACCCCGGCCAGCAGCGGCACCTGCTGCGGGCGGTTGTGGTTGCGGGCACGGCCCTCGGGCAGCCCGATCAGGCGATCTGCAAGGGCAAGCAGCACTCAGGGGTTTATCACAGGCACAAGCAGGGGAGGGGCAGACAGCTGTTCTGTACAGTCCTGGGGCTGGGACACAAAGGGAACCCTTTAGGTACAAAAGGTGTAGGTATTCCCTGCAAACTAGTAGTGCCTCCAGTGCTCATTTTACACTGCTAAAGCTGTTCCGTGGCCATGGTCCGTCTGAAACAAGAGCAAATTCTGCTAAACCAAGGCCTCTAGATCTAAATGCTCTAGATCTACATCTAGAGCATGATCTAAATGATCTAGATCATGTTTATAACAAACATGAGTTAACTGACTTCAGAAATTTCTGCACATTTCATTCAGTGCCCATGGAAATCCTCCTCCCCAGATTGTTAAATGTATGTAAGCATGTGCACTTAACTAGACAATGTAAACACTGAAGTAACCTAACATTTTTAGGTGTGCAAAATTCAATGAAGTTTTAGGAAAATGCTTTTCAGAAAGCATATTAGTAAAATTAAAGGCTGTGCTGAGATTAAACTAGAACTATCTACAAATCTGGATTTCAGGTGTATGTTAAAATTGCATTGTTCAAATTTCAAAATTTAGATTAGGGCAGCATGTTTCTAAAAATTAGCATTAGGCAGTCTTAGAAATATGTCTTAACAGTCTTCCTTTTCACCTGCAATATACAAACCTAAACATGGAAATGTCCAAAGAGCAGTTTGTCTTACCTTGGCCAAAAGTGTACACGTGACCATCTTTTGTCAGTGCAACAGAGAACTGAGTTCCACAGGCAACTTTTTTTATTCCAATTCCACAAAGAATATCCACTTTCTATTGGGTAAAGTGAAAGGAAAACCAGCTATAGTATTACAAGGATATAAACAGAAAGCAAACACAAATTTAATCTGTAACTCCTGCTTCCAAAAAATATTTTTTTTTATTCCCACTGAGCAGCACACACATTGTACAATTATTTTAATTAGCACTTGGAAATTAATACAGGAAACAAACACTTTTTTTTTTTTTTTTCAATGGAATGAACACCTTATTCTATGTAGGATGATTCAAAATACCCTTTTTTTTTTCTGGGAGTGAGGGGGAGTGGCATGGGAAGAAGTAGATGGGTGTGTAAACAACCTTCTCCCCAGTTTCCAAAAGAAGAAATCTCTCTTCTCTAAGATAAGCCTCAGATTTTCACTATTTGTACTGCTCTTGGGACACAGCCACTATGATGCACACAAAATTCTTGAGAGTAGCAGGCTCAGCATAATGTGTCATCAGAATTATGTGCGCCAGATTGTGTAACAACAGCATGGAATTAATAACATTAATAACATCTGGAAATCTCACTCTCAACACTGTGCAACACCTTTAACAGCACTGAAAGTTTATACAAAGAATCATTTCAACATCCTAACCTGTGGTGAGGACTTTGCAGTGGAATTTCCCAAACCAAGTTTACCATAATCTCCATCTCCAAAAGCCCAAACCATTGAGCCATCTGTTGACACAGCCACGGTGTGATTGAGGCCACAGGCCACCTGAGTGAGAGAAATTATGTTATTACCACTTCTTTTGCTGACTTGTTAACTTAAACATACCAACTACCTCTAAGAAGAAAAACTGTGTTTTAAAAATGAACTATCCCTGTAAAAATACTAAAACTTCCATTGCTTATTAGTGTCTTAAAGACACTTGAGACTGAAAAAATATAGCAGTATTTTTTCAACACTTCCTTTCTCTCAGCTCATAGAACCAAAGGATAGTATTACAGCACACATGTTCCCTGCTTAAAAATCCAGAAAATCTCATGAACTCATGCTTAAAAATGCCCAAATCTTGAAATGTTAAAATGTTAAGAACATTTTAACACAAAGAAGATCAAAAGAGTCAGGAAAGTAATTAATTAAAAACTCAGGCATAGTCCAATTCTTCCATCAAAATCAAGGTTAAAAACCACAAATGAACACATAAATATGTTAAAAACATAAGCTTTAAACTAAGATACATTGCTAATCTTAGATAAACCATGCCTGGCCAATCTGGTAACCTTCCAGCGCCGTCACTCTTTCTGGAAGTTTCTTGTTGGAAGTATTTCCAAGCCCCAATCGACCATAATCACCATTTCCAAATGTAAAAAGTTTGCCATCTGCTGTTACCACAGCTGAGTGTTTGAAGCCACATGACATCTGGAAGTAAAATAAGCATTATTTTTACACCCATTTTAGATCTGGGTAGAAGTTTATTACATGTACATATGCAATACCTTTCTTGTCCCTAAACTATATTCCTTTACAAAGAGCTAAAATACAGACATTTTAGTATTAACGATTTCTCCAGTAACTCAACTCTTAACTCTTTTCAATGACAATATTATGGAGGGGGACTAGAGGATATTTGCATGAAGAATTTGCTGTGTGATTATCTAATTTTTTTATAAAAACACCTGCAGTCAAAATGGCAAAAGCAAATATGGTTTTGTGCATTCTTAGTACTTAAGAAGGGGTCTTGGTGACCAGTTTTGTAGGTGAAAGTTACCTGACAAGGACAAAGGGAAAGTTATAAATCATGTCAGCATTTTGATCATCTTTAAACCAGCCCTTTCTTCCATGCTTTCTATTTTAAGTCCTCCCCAGTACTGTCAATTAATATCTGTGGTATTGACATCCTTTAACTGGAAATGACCACCTTGGCTCATAAAACCCAGAGAAGTAAAAAGTAGCCTGTTTTCACGTAGCTCTACAGCACTGGTTTCCCCAGGCCTGCAGCTGGAAGGAGACAGAAATATTTTGAAACCTGCACAACTTCTTCTCCCTGTAGAGCCTCGATCTGCCTGGGCCTGCGCTGCCTGTCGCTGTTCCCGTGGCCCAGCTTGCCATAGTCCCCATCTCCCCAGCTGAAGACTTCCCCGCTTTCTGTTAAAGCCATGGAATGTCCATCAGACCCACAGGAGGTCACCAGCTGTGTCACAACAAAGCCTGGCAAAGACAAGTGAGAAAAAAAAGCTTAGCATCACTCATAACAGACTCTTACATTTATCCATGGGTGCCTTGTGCCAATTAGGTCTGGGGAAAGGAACAAACTGCAGTAAGGCTTTTTTTTATAGTAATTAATTTACTTTTATTTTCAACAAAACCTTTGTTTTCTTATTGAGAACTTGGACATCTGTCCTGCCATTAGTTTTGAAATTAAATGTTCCTAATTTGAGTAGGCAGTTTTCCCTGAAGCCTTCTTAAAATTAAGGAATTTTACCATACTGCTATTTAAATCTTAAGGAAATATGAAGATCTTCTTTATTTGTTCCATTTTTTAATTAAAAACTACAATATTCTAAGAGGTAAATCTGCAGAAAAGAATCAGCATAAACAATTATACTATCTACCAAAATGCTTATTTGTGCTCCTATCACTGGATTCCTCTTAAACCCAACAGTTTTACCTTGCAGTGCTGAAATGACAGTTAAGACATGAAGATCATCAGAATTTCCTTGTCCCAGTCGCCCATAGCTCCCTTCACCACAAGCCAAAACTGTGCCATTGGCTTGGATGACAAAAGTACAATTCTGACCACAAACCACCTAGGCCAGAAAGACATGAAGGAATGTTAATAAATTACATAAATTATATAGCATTTATAAACTATATGCTAAATGCAGCAATACTTGTAATACTGTAATACTTGCATTACAGTGTAATTTGTTTTCTTAGCAATTATATCAAGACAATAGTCTATCAAGTCAGTGTTATTTCAGGAAGCAAAACCACCACGTGTACCATGTGAAAGTTGTGCAGGTATTTTCAAATCATGCTCATATAAAATAATTCTGTGTTGTCAGATTTCAGTGGCTTCTGGGCTTGACTTTGGTAAATAATTTAAGATCTCCTTTCTAATGAAACCCATGTTTTGAGATACTTAAGAGTTAATTCAAACAGCAAGTTGAAAAGACATTTAGAGAGGGATTTTGACAAACTGTACAAACAATAGATGGCAAATGAAGAACTCATGACTGGTTCTAAGCAATCACCTGCTGGGCCTGGGAGAATGAAGGTGCTGCCACTGGGATCATGACATTTCTGCCAGCCTCTGCCAGCTGCCCATGTCGTCCTGCTCCCCACAGGTACACGTCACATTTGCCTCCCAAATGCCAATCCTAGGCATGAAACAAGGCTTTAGAACAAGAGCACTTTCAACAGCCTGCCACATTTCAAAAGAAAACCCCTCCAAAACACCCCAAACTCTCTGAACCATCAATTTCACTGACCTCTGGCCTTGATGTTGCCCAAGACATGATCTGTTCATCCATGCCATTGATCCACTTACTGTTATCCTACACAGCAAAAGCCACATTTAGCTCAAGAGATGCTCATTGTTTTTGTTATACCATGCATATTTTCTTAAGAACACGGTTTAAATTATTCTAAACAGTTCAGCAATAAGAGCAAATGTGTGCAGACTAGCAATGGCACTGTTACCCACGACTTGCAATCCGAATCAATGAAAGAAAAACTAAATTCATTATGAAGTAATCTTTTCCTACTTACTGATGCATAGGGCTTTTTGAAGTTTCAATTGCAAACACTGGATTGAAATGTAATAAGCTTGCTCATAAAAAATTCTTATTCAAAAATTTCTGTTTTGGTTTATATAACAAGTCATGAAGAAAATTGACACTAAGAAAATAATTTGGTGTGGGAATGTGACGAAATGTTACTCTTAAAATAGTACTACAAAGTTCTACATTTCTTCCTATCACATATGGAAATTACTGTCATAGTTTTGGGTTGTTTGTATTTTAATATACAACTGACTTGCACTCAGTACACACACACAGAGCGCAATCTTAACAGTATATTCTAACCAGTTAATTAAAAAATAAACTTACACTTCTTGCTGGTGCTTACATTACTAAATATAAATGTTTACAGTTCAGAGATGTTCACTGCATCATACCATGTGCTCAGTATCAGAACACTTAGCTGTTGAGACAATAAACCAACTTTTACCATCAGGAGAGTAAGCTCATCCTCTGGAACAGGCTCCAGGTCTGGGACGGTGAAGGACTCAGGGAACTGAGCTCCCTTGGCCAGGGCTTCAGCAGCTTTTATGGTAGTGGAGAAGCACTCGAGCCAGGCCCATTCCGTGGGGTTCCAGGCAGAGGGGTCAGGGAGGCAGCTCTGGTGGTGAGGGGGCACGGGGGGGCTGCAGAGCAGCTGGTCCAGGTGCAGCCCCACGGCCAGCGATGCCAAGCACTGCATGTAGGGGCTGTGAACCAGCTGGTCCCCACACACCACATGGGGCTGCAGGGCAGCAGGGAGAGAAAGGGAACACCCAGTTAGAAACACACAACAATCCTTAAAAGGTAATCCTGTAGAACAATTCCTTCCTCCATGCTTAACTGAAGTTTTTCTAATATTTTAAATATTTTCAAATTAGGAGACTACTAGCTCTGAGAATAGTGAAAGATATTGCAAATAGGACGTAGGAAAGTCTTCTGGGTTCTCTTGTGAAAGACTGAAACCAGCTGAGATCTGAAGAGTAAACTCCTATCAACCACAAATGCTAAACATTTGCATTACTCCTACCTTTTCATAGGCGTACTGCTCCTGCAGCATGACGGGCAGGCGCTCCAGGAACGCGCGCATGCACGGAGCCATGTTCAAGCCCAGAACTCCCTGCTGCTTCAGCGCAGTCCTGCACGTTGCCAGCACGTGATTGGAAGAGATCCACTCTGAGGTGCAGTTCACCACCAACACATCCTGTTCAACAGCAGTTACGTGACACGTTAGAAATTAAAATTTCACCAAGAAGGATCGCTCAGCTCCATTGATTTATCACCAACCATCTTGGTTTCCACAGAAGCCAGAAAAAAGACAGATTCAAACATTTCTGTCTCACCTTTGATCTGTTAGAGCAGGCAGCTACTCCAACCTCAGGGATCCACACTGCAGTCTGGATAGCTCCAGACCCTATCACAACACTCTGCAATACTGAACCATCCTAGGAAAGAAGGGGTTGGAGTCAGGTGCAGAAACAGCTACAGTTCTGTTCCAGCACATACAATATTCCTAAGGGCTGATACTCTCAGAAGCTTTCAATAACTATTTAAAAACAATCTGCTTAACCTAAAAGCAGAAACCTCTCATTTTCATAATATTAAGGAGATAATACAACTAAGGATTTACAAGTGTTTAATAATCCACATTATCTGGCTCTTTAAAGAGTCCTCAACATAAGAGAATATTGTTCTTAACTATAAAGAAAGTGGCTGGTTCTGCAAAGCTTAACTAACATGACCAAACCTACAGAGTCAATCAATACTGAACCATAAAGTACTTCAGTGTTAAGTACAATTTCAATTTATATTTTTTTATTTATGAAGTTATAACATTATTTTACATCACACTTTCTCTAATGTATCTAACACATGGTGGGGTGGAAGCTAGTCTGATACCTTGACCATTTCAGATACCAAGAATGAGAATCAAGCCACACCAAAGACCATCTTACCCGTAAAGACCAGATATTCATGAGGCCTCCAAGGCCCCCAGACACCAGTACCAGCCCATCAGGACTGAAAGCCACAGTGCGGACAGGAGTGATATGTCCTCTCAGCTGGAACACACACTTCACTTCCACTGCCTTCCTGTATCCATCCTGCAAGCAATTGCACACTTAGGGAACACTGCACTACTTCCAGGAAATGGAGCAGCATGACAGTGCCTGTATTCTGCAATAAATACTGATCACCCACACAAATGGTCAAGTTCTACTAAATTTAAAATCCCCCAGGACCATGACAGTATTTTATAGATATCTCGATAACATTATCAGCTTTCCTCCCCTTACAGAATGCCATCAACATCAAAGACTAGATTGCAATTTATGTAGGTGAAAATAATCACCTTCACTCTTTGTCTACAAAAAACTTTGAACCCCCACTAAATTTTAGGGTAAATGGATCAACTTTGAAAGAAAAGAAAACAGATCAAAATACAATCATTAGCCTTAATCTTAAATAAATTTTTCAATTTCCTGTTCTGAAAATGGCAACACACAAATGCAATGTAAATATTTTTAGCAACTTTCTTCTCTCAGGAAACACTGAGATTCAAGTAAGTTGCTCACATTCTTCTCCTCTCTCAACTTCACAATGAGCAAAGGGAATTTCTTACACACCAAGTTCCCTCCTTTTACCTTGGCACTTGTTTCTTGCTCCCACCATCCTTCTGAGCAAGCTGAGCTGGACTGCAATGTGATTACTATGTCCTGGGGTACAGTCCAGACACACACCAAACCATTCTGGCATCCCCTAAAGCATGTCAGGTGACATCAGAAAAACAAAATGAAGACATTAACTAACAAAATATCAATGATCTGATATTAACTTATATACCAGTAGTCTTCACCACTTGCCTATAAAACTGCATTGCATCATTTTATCTAAAGTAGAAAAGCCTGTTCCCAATGGGTAAATACATTTTTTTCCTATTCCTCACACCCTGTAGCTTTTCCATTTCTACTGACAACATATTCCCAGAAAAAATACTTGGTTGAATTAAAAAAATTCCAAGCAGGACCAGCACCCACAGGTCATGGAGAAAACAGCTGGTTACACAACCAGGGTTACTCTTTTTATTTGAATTCTGGAACCTCATGAATCTCACGGCAACTGACTTAAAGAAGGAATATTATTTTTAAAAAAACAAACCCTTTTCTTTGCTATAACACTAGAGACTGACAGAAAAGACCTGCAGAACAACAACAAAACAGTGACTTACGTAGCTAACAGAAGGTGTGCCTTGGGTCCTTTCCCTGGCAGAGCACACCAGGCAATGGCATTCACCAGGGCTGGGTGGGACAGGGAATGCAGGCGCCTCCAGCAGCCTCCCAGACACCCCCAGAGCTTCACTGTTTCCTCTTTGGCACAGGTCAGGAGAATCTTACCAGCTGGATCCCACTTCATACTAACAACCATATCCTGTTGGTTTTAAAAAAATGAAAAGTTGGCATGAAGTAACAGAGTAGTGAGGAGGAAATTTAACTCTCAGAGTAAATTTTTGATTACTGATGTATTTAGTAATTTTAATTTAGTAATTTGAATTTTAAATTTAAAAAATTATATTTAATAATTTAATTACTAATAACAAAAAATATTCTCATATAAATCACAGATAGCAAGTTGCAATTATAAAGTCATTGTGATACATTCCAGAAGTATCCAATTAAAAAGACTTTAAGAAGTTTGCTGAAAGAAACTAAATGGGAAACATAGAAAAAGATGTTTTCTTTTCACTGCAAACCCTTCTTGATTATTTTTCCCCAGATGTAGCTTTGAGTCTGAGGTAAGAAAGGAAGACAGCCCACAGTAGGAAGTACAGATTTATTGCCACAGTGTGCTTCCTTCTGAGATTGCCCTGCTTCACACAACCAGAGCAGCTCTTAGAAGCATTCAAGATGCTCTTACTACACCTACATTTGAGGAATTCTGCTCTTAGCCTAACAAATAATTCATGGACTATTACTGACTCATTAGTACAAACTGGCCAAGCAAATGTTCTAAACCTTTGCAACTGCATATTTAGAAAAACACCTTTTGCTTTGCACAGGAAGCTAAACCAAAACATTTGACATGAACAAAATCAAAATTTATTATAAGCACCTTTACCAAGTCAAATAATTAGCCTTTTAAATCCAGTCAATGCACAACTGTGTGCTTAATTCATTATTTATCCTTTTTTTTTATATATATTTGTTAGACTGCTCCTTTAGAGTACATTATGTTAATACATGTATCAGAAATAGGTATGAATTTTTAAAATAATCTGCACTTGCCTTTATAAATAGCTTTCAAATAGAGAGAACAGCTTAAACAGCTTTTACCTACAGAAATTCTCCATTAGTTTAAGAAAGACCAGCTCTACCTTATGTGCATCGATGAGAACAACTCCTCCTTTCTCAGCTGGTTCCTTTGTTCCTAGGAGCAATTTTCCATCTGAATAGCCAACAGCAAATGGTCTGTCTTCACTGAACCAGGCCAGGCATGTGACAGACACTGCATGAGCAGACAACACAAACATTCATTGAACTAAACTCAACTTCACTCCTACCAACGAAGTTCTTGCAGTGCAGTTGTCTAAATTATGAAGTGCATAACAATGTCCACCACCACCAAGGTCATGTAACATATTCTTGTCTGAAAATTTTCTTGAATTCATACGGTAAAGGTAAAACTGTCACTGTAATGATAATTGCTGAGATTATTTTGCACTCGTTTTCTCATTCTTCTTTTTATGAAAATAACTGAATTTATATTCCTGGCATAGTGAAAAATGCCTGGCATAACATGTCAAAGAAAAAGAGCAGACTGAATTTCATTTCTGTATCTAAGACAGGCTTCTAAAAATGCTCTGAAAACATCCGCTTTCCTTAGCAAGAAGATACTGCTTCACCTGAGGCTGCAAAAAAATATCTGTAGGCTTCCTGAAGAAGCAATATGCAAAACCACACAACACTACCAAAGATGTGCTACTTGATGTCCTCTGGGACTGGAACTATAAAGGAAAAATGGCAATAATTGAGAAATTCAAATGATCCTGTGCATGCTATCTGCAGACAGAGCAGACACTGCAGGGGATCTCTACTGACTGTCCACAATGGCAAGGAATGGCAGGATTTTACCAGGTTGCTATAAACTGTTTGCCTCTGCTGTGGAGGAATCAGGGTGCAGACAGAGATCCCACAGACTCTTCTGCTCCCATCAACCAGAAATCCCATGAACAATAACCAAAAATGATTATATACTTCCTTCATAAAAAGTGGGAGTGTGTTCCAATTTTAATTTCAAATGCTGATGCAGTCTCTTACCATCCTTTCTGTAGCAGTGTTCCAGTTCCAGCCGGTGCATGGCTGAAATGTCCACAACTTCAATAAGAGCCAGGGATCCATCCATGCGCCCAATTAACAACAATTCTGGAGCATCTCCAGTCCATGCTGCAGCTGGCCCTTCTTCTGGCCAGGCTAGAGCAGATACCCAGTGAGGCTGAAGATCTAACAAGCCTTTTCCTCCTAGGAGATTAAAAAGTCTGTTAAAACTACTTCATCTCCAAAGAAAAGAAAACAATAATACTTTTCATGGGAAAAAAAATATCAGGAGATCTTATTGAGAGCTAGGACATACTATAAATTCACCTAAGTTACAAGAATATAAAGCAATGGTTCACTAATCTACACAGACACAAAATCTAGGTAACAAATCTCAATTATCATTCAAGTTAGGTAGTTTTGTTAAGGAAGGAAACAATTCTTCACTACCCAGTAAATTTACACTTTTCTTGGGGACTGTCTATTACCAGGGGCACAGTAACCGGGGACTTTACTGAGTGCAAGGCAACAGAATGAAGCTTCCATTATTACAAATTACAGGGATTGAAAGTCTTCTTCTCAAAGATGTGTATCACACATCCACTCGGGGTTAGTGCCTCTCTCAGACTAAACAGGTTCACAAGACACTGTGGGAGATGGGAGGCATTTAAATGGGACAGTTAAACACTGGGGTAAACCAACATGCAGTGAGTGACTTGGCAGCTCCCCTAGAAATATGCTGGACCAGGAAATGACCACAGGCAGCTCAGGACATACCATTGACTTGCCAGATGTTCACCATCTTTTCTGTAGCTCCAGCCAGGTACTTGCCACTGATGCTCCAACAAACAAGAGATAAACTAAGGTCACTGGGTGACCCCAGAGCTTCTTCAGAGTCACCTTCTCTGTAATAGAATAAAATAATGAAATTAAGAGGGCATTTCCTTTAAGCAGACAGGAAAACCTAGAACTCATAAAGTATCTGAGCTATAACCTGGAATCCTGCCCACACAGCAGATTCACATAATACATATTTCTGCTCACAATACTACATTCTCTCTAAAACCACTTCAAAATACAGTATGAGATACTGATTATTTCCAAGAAATTTCAAGTTAGGTTTCAAATGAAAACTCTTCACCTACTTATTTCTCAAATTTAACATCTTCAGCAAAGGCAAGATTTTCTGGGAAGAATAAAATGAAGCAATAATTTGGACAAGAAATGAAAGAGACACATCCTTCTAGCAATTCTACTTTAAACTCTTCCTCCTGTTGCCATCTTGTTACACTGCTCTAAAACTCCATTTTAAAGTCTGCTTTGCCTAACTGTAACAGGGTCACAGATACCTTTAATCATCCTCAGGATCATACACAACAACCACATTTTTTACTGCTTTTAGTACAAGAACAATGAAGGTTATATCATTTGTTATATCATTCTGGTTGTTCCTTTTAAGGCCACATCTAACAGCAGCAAGCAAACAAGAACTAAGCCAACCACTAAACAATTGTCACAAAACAACCTAGTAACTCGCTATTGCTTCTTCATTTTCCAAGTTCAACTCACCTATGCTTCACTACAGAATTAGATTTTGATCTTTTCTTTTGCTTTCCTTTTTGTACACACCCAAAAAAACAAAAAAGTACTTCCAAGACAATGTAGAATTAAATTTAGATGCTGTATCTCAGAAGTCAAAATTCTTTTTTCACACTTGAATCAAATGACCAGACTTGCAATAATCATGCTATATATGCTGGAGCTGTCCACTGGAACCCATTGAAGGGATATTCACTTTTCTGCTGTATCATAATCCCATACCATTTTTATTTTACCCATGTCTCCTTTTATCTATTAATTAAGGATGTTTTTAAACAGCATTGACATGATCTCTTTATGGAGACTCTTACCATGTTGACACTTAAGTTCTGTTTTCAGTTTTAAGCTATTTAATTTATTTTGCACGCCCTAAACATATCAACAGAATATAAATGAGATTTTAAGTGCAGGAGATAATGAGAACAGCCAAACCTGCAGTATCTTGCACAGTTACAATTTAAATTAAGTATCTGGCTGTTGTAAAAGAATCAACTTACAGCTTGTTGAGCACACAGGTCTGTTGCAATGAATATTGCTTCTTTGTCACATTCCACACTCTGATGGTGCCATCATTCCCACTGGTTGCCAAAAGTCCCTTTTTATTGCACCAAACACATGTCATGACCTACAAATACCAAAATAATCATGGCAAAACTGGAATTTAAAACTTGGGTATGTTTGCTCACTAATATTAAGCAAACACTAACCAATGAGACAGTGATTGAAATACCCTGTAACAACCAAACTAGATTAACTTTTCTACTTTTACAGCATTATTTACTGCAATAAAGCAAGCTTGATAGGGAGGCCCCATGCTCCACAGGCTGCTATTTCACAGAACACTGCACAAATATGTTAACTACTATGAAAGAAAAATTAATGCAAATTAACATCTAAGGAAATATTCACATTCTGCTGATTTTATATACCACGAGAACATTTTCATGACCCCTTTAACTAAAGCCTCCAAGAAGCTGAACTTTTTTCTGCATCAGAGGTGCAATAACTTACATCAAGCAATAACTATTTCTCAAAATTCACGTGGGAAACCATTTCAGAGAGCGTAACTGTAAACTGATGCTGTTTTCCTTTTTCTGTGTTCTCCAAAGCGCGCAGGGAAGCGGGTGCAGTGGGGGAGCCTCGCTTACCCTGTTCTGGTGAGCCTCAAGCTTGATGAAGGAGCACTTGCGCAGGTCTCCACCCATGTCAGCGAGGGTCTGCGGCGTGCTCTGGTTGTCGCGGTCGTGCGCGGCCAGCGTGCGCACCAGCTGCTGCGCTGCCCACTGCCGGTGCTGCGACGACAGGCGCGACGACAAGCAGCACGCTGCCAGCGCGTTCGCCAGCTCCAGAGGGCCTACAGCAGAGGGATCATAGCAAGGATGGGCATACAAATGGGCAATTAAACCTGCTTAGACAAAACAGTGAGATGATGCCTAGATGAGTACACACGTGAACACAGCAACAGCCAGCATTTCCAGAAAGAGATTAACGAGCATCTTAGCAGAACGTTACAATCATTTCAACTATAGTAAAAACACTCTTCTGATACTAAGAACAAAATAACCCCAGTTCAATTTTCACGAAAAGAACCTTAAGAATAGAATTCCAAATAGCCTTATTCTCACTATATGAAAATGGCTGGTCAAAGAGCAAGTGCTTTCTAAACAGCAAAAGGCTCCTCTGACAGAGACCTGCCACTGTCACTGCCCTGTTCCTCCTTCTCTAGCCCAGCACCAGCCTGGGGCGAAGCACAGCTGTTAATTTGTGGCTCACTGACCCCTCAGAGGAGAGGCAGCCCCAATTTTACCTCAGACACAGGACAGCACTTGGGAAGTGGCAATCAGCTGTTACCTTCCCTAATTTCATCAGGAGGCACAACCAGGCTCAATGTCTCAGCTCTATGGCTTTGCATACACACACATTCAGACTATATTTTGAAGTAGTGAAAGATGCAATTGCAGAATAAGATCATATTTCTAAGTAAAATGTGTGTCATAAACTGTAACATTCCTTTGATCAAAACAAGTTTTGTACATTTTTAAAAGTGTATCTACTTATACATTACTCTAGCAAGCCTCTCCCTTACATACAAACGAGGAACTGAAGATCTAATTAATATTTAAAAACAAAGCTGCATCATACCTTTCTTTTCAATTTCAGCTTTATCATAGTTTGGCCTCAGTTTGGCCCCTTTGTCAGCCAACAGTGCTACAAGTGCTTGAGTAACTACAAAATTTGGAGATGTGACAAGTTTGTTTTCTTCTGCAATTCCTCTTAAAAAACTTGGCAAAAATTTTCTCTGAATTGGATCATCGACTGTTGTCAAATTCACACCAGTTGCTGCAGATATCAAATTCTGAAAAGAAATAATTGGTGATAAATAATCAGAACAAATGGAGCTACCAAATTTAGAGACACTTTCAGTTGCACAAATTGTGCATAGTTTTACAGATTTTTCTTTTTTTTTCTGTTTTCTACATAGAATTGACTCAATTAAAAAACTGAAACCTTGACAGAAAAACCCTACGAACAGAAAAAGCATATCCATTTTCCCCACTTGAAAAGAGTAGTCAGCAAAGACACATACAGTTATTTGGTTTTTACAAACAATCAAACCCTGTGCAAAGCAATAAAAAGGGACTCTAAGGAGATCCTCAAACTGAGGGCAGTCTCACCCCAGCTGAGAAGACAAAAGCACAAATAATCGAAGTAGTCTCCAGTGTTGCAGTGTTCTCAATTTGTTCCACTTCTCCCCATACTGTTGGTTTGTCCCAAGATGCATCCTCCCATTCAGTTGTCCATCTTGTTGTAAACCTTTCCCTTGTTCCCCAATGTTCCCTGTTCCTCCTGTTCCTCCTCCCACCAAGCTGTCAATCCCACCTTATCCCAGCCCCTCTGCCCTGGGAACCCCACAGGTTTGTTTGAATTGTCCCCTCTCCCTGTGTCTCCCCATTGGGTTATATACTACAAACCCCACCTTATGCTCCTCCTGTTGCTTAAAAATTTTGTACCCTCCCCTAGAACCTCTTCCATATAAAACTCCCTGCTCACCCACTTTGTGTCTTTCACCCCTGGACCCTCCTCGTGAATAAACCACCTTGGAAATCATACAAAAGACCTCTCCCTCATCCTTGCCTGTGCCTGCCAAGCCCCAAAGTGCTGTAATGCTGCACCCTGCAGCAGCTGCATCTCTGATATTGACTTTGGAGAGCAGCCCACCCCGCGACACGGTGTCAGGAGTTAGCTGGGGCAATCTGGCACTGTGTCACTCCAGGTACTGAAGTCCTACCTGAGTACATAACTGCACCAGCAGCTTTGCAGCACTGGGAGTGTTAGATGCCAAGCAGCCAACTGCAGTGCTCAGATAGGCAAGGCAAGAGATGGGCTTGCTGGTTTTGCTGTGGATGCCCCTGGATCTCTCTGTGGAGCTGGACACTGTGGATGGGCTCGTGGACAGGCCTGCCCTCCCCGCTGCTGCCAGGCACATCAAACGAACCAAAGTGCGGATGTCTGTCAAGCCCAGGGATTCAAGACCAGCTGCCAGGCTACAACTGGAACCACTGTGGAAATGGATATAAAAGCCCTTGGTTCAAAAGAACAAAATCGACAGAACTTTTTCTTTTAGCAGTATTATTTAAGTACGGACACGAGAATGGTTTCCCCAATTAGTTTGAAATTGCATGCTTATCCAACAGAACCAGGTAACTGGTTACAAAAGGAAAGTGTTGGAATCCAAAATAAAAGCCTCTCTGAGCTCCTCAGAGAGAGAAAAGAATTAAAATATATTAAACCATAGATATAAAGTAAAAATGTAAGTTTTAGTTTTAGGTAGGTAAAAACATAGCTTAAGTGCCCTAAGAGTCTCTGTTAGCTAGTGAAAAGCCTTATCACCCAGTTCAAAGTTCAGTGATAATACCCTTCATAGATTCAACTTAGCTCTAGAAATAATGAAAATATAGTTTGCATTCTTGGATAGAACAGATATGATTATTCACGTAAACAGATAATACCCTATACCTAAGATTTAAGTAAAAAGAACACTGCTTTTGCATGTTAGAATTAAGTTCAGATTGGTGTAGGAAGTATTGTTTCAGAAGTGTGTTTTTAGCTGATTGGATGATTTATGAATTTAATCCCCTGTATTGGGGATTGGAAAAAATAATCCAAAGAACAACAGCAGCACCATCATCACCACCAACTGCTTTTGTGGCCCAGGACAGACAGAATGCCACGCTGAGAAGCTGCTGCTTAGAATTCAGGACTTTATGCCAAAAGTTTTAGCAAAGACTTTAACTTTCTGAACTCCTTGACTTTAAAACCGATACATATATACAATATACACTTTTCTAGCAGCTATCAACTGCTCATGTCTCTTTGAGGCTGGGAAAATCCCCTAAAATCCCCACTGAAGTGTCAACAGGAAAGGTCAAAGTGTTTCCAAAGATGTCACAAACCTGACAGACAGAAGTGAGAGTGCTCTCATAACCATTGTTCTTGCCAGGAGCACTTGGGCAGCAGCTGTCACTCTTCTGAGAGCCATGACACGGTCGTGTGGATTTACCAGGGCAGCTGCTTGTTCTCCTAAGGTTATCCTGCCAGAAGAACTTTTTTCTATTGAGCCGTGACAGCCTTGGAAATAATGATGACTTGCATTAGTGTTTAAAGAAAATAAAAGTTAACATATAGTAATAAAAACAGAAGCAAAATCAGCCTAAGTTACACGTTCATTTTTTAGTATTTCATACATACAAATAATAATGACTGAGAGGAAAATACACTCCTGAAATACACTCCATAACCTAATTATTCCTTATTTTCAAGGAGACATGAACACAATCTGACATACTCAGTCTTAGTTCCTCTGATTCCCTTTTCATCAGTGGGGACTATTTTTAACTCCCAACTTCAAACCATTCATTGGGTTCTGCAAAACATGTTACACTGGCATCTACTTTTGACTATGGTCAAAAGTTCTGTAAGCAAAATTCAATCCTTCTGTCAATTCATAATGCCTCACACTCCTCTCTCTAATTTTCCTATAACAAAAGGACAATTCAGTGCTTGTCTCCACTTCCTCATGGTGACAGGCAGGAACTCCTGTCAGGATGTTCCTGCCTTGCCTCTAGAAAAACCCCACTAAAAAGGGGAGAAGGTGGTGATAGTTGTTATCACTGTTGTTGCTGCTGCTGCTGTTAGTATCATTCTTTCTTTAAATGAAATGAATTTCAAATGTACCTATTTGCATTAATGTCTCTTCCATACTGTTGGTGGCTGTCACCATTGCAACTGAAGCACCCAGGGGGTCACTGTCAGGGAACTGAACAGGTTCGGGTACAATGCGTCGATCATTTAACCCAAGAGGCCCAGCCAGCAGTTCAAACTCCTCTTCTCCTGTCAGCTTTTCATCTTCATCCACATCTAACATGTCCCAGTCTTCTAGAATTGGAAAAATATAATTAGACTTGGTTACAAAAGCTCAAATATGGAATAATTTCAGTTCACTAAAAGAACCAAACAGTAGAAGGTATGAAATGTATATACTGTAATCTACAGCACAACAGCATTAAAAATTCATCTTCTGATGTTGACATAGACACAACAAAGTAAATCACAAAAACAAAGTCCTGTTCCTGCCCTCTCTATTCAACTTGATCTTTATATTGCAAAAAAGTTTAATGATTCTCTGAAGATTCTCTGAAGTATCAAACTATCTGCTCTTTAAAAAGGCAGACATTAGGGGTCATCACATACAGCACAAGACAGCTCCAAAACCTGGAGTACAGTGAAAAGTGCAGGCATACAGTTGTGCTTTAAATAATGGTAACAAGTGCTTATTCCAAAGGACTGAATGGTAAAGACAGACGTTAGGAATTTCTGATCTTCATATTTATCAAAAAAGCCTGCATTAGTTCATGAGTTATAACTGAACACCCAGCCTTTTGCTTTGCATTCCCAGGGAACAAAAAAACCTAAACAACAAAGAAAAACTACTTTAACTGCAATTCAACGAGGCATTTCCTTCACTTGCCAATCATTTACACACAAGTCAGCTGATATTTGCTGATCTGTCTGCTCTGTCTCACTCTGCACAGAGTAGAATCAGACCTTTGATACACCTTTGATCTACAGCAGACAGACTTGCCCTAAGTACTGGAGCACTCAATTTAGTTGCAAATAGATAAATATAGTAAATCACACAATTGTGGTCACAGGAGCTACAGAAAGGACCAGAATCACAGCACCACCCGGGAAAGGTTTTCTACACACATTAGAAATAATCTGTTTAAAGGGAAAGCCACCCTCAGGATGCTCTCAGCTTGGACAAAGGGAGGAAAATTAAAAACAAGACTAATGACAGACTTTTGGGACACTAACTTATTGTTACAATAATTAATTTTTCTCACAAGGCAGCTTAAGAAAGATATTTGAACATAAGATTTTGTATGTGCAGTTCTGGATGTAACATCTCCTCACAAGACCTTATCAACCCCAGGTTAGGTGTTTGCCCTTTCAGCTGCTTACATGAAAGACAGGGGAAAGAAGTCATTTTTTTTTTTCCACTGAACGAAATAAATCCCAAAAACTAAAATACTGTATCTAACCAGAAGAGATTTTAAAATACACCTTCGGTTTATTTGCATGAAATTACCTCTTAGAAAAAACAAAACCTTGTGCAACTTAAAAACATACCTTCATAGACACTGTCTTGTTTACCTATTAGATCAGGAGCCTGGCCTTTGTACCTGTATGATAAATTAACACAGAAAATTACTGAGTGACTCTAATATTTTATAAATACACAGAACAATTTTTCATTTGGTTCCCTATTTAGTCTAACTTTACTGTTAGGTCTATATGTATTTATGAATGATTCCAGAAAAGCCTAGTAACAGAGAAACAGTTAAAATAGTTTCTGAAAGTGTGTGTGGAGGGGGAAAGCACTTTGCTGTACTAATGTGCAAAAAAGTCCACAGAAAAAATACTGGAATTGTCAGACAAAATTGATAAAGCATTTTCAAAAGTCACTAAGAAGGAGGCAACATCCCAAGAAATTATTCCCTGTTCTTAATTTAAAAACCAGAAATATCAAATCAACCTTTTTTTTCTAAATATAAATTTGTTGAATACAGAGAATTATTTTAATTAGCAGAAAATCCTGCCAGGAATTCTTATCTCCTAAATAAAATTCTTAAAATACTGATTGGCTGATAACCACGTTTAGTTTCCTTTCTTCATCCACTGCCTTCCATTGCTGTACCTTTCTGAGGCTGATGTTTTAGATTTGCTCTTGAGGGCCAGGTATTTCTCTCTGCAGATGCCACACAGGAGGTAGTAGGGGTTGCCACTGCCACACTCCCCCCCGAACCAGCCATCCACGTAGGAGCCGTTGCTGCGGTAGCCCTGGCGGTTGGCGCTGCGCCCGCAGCCAGGGTGGTTCCTCTTCATGTGCTGGTTGAAGCTGACCACACTGGATTCACACAGCTCACAAACCACCACTTCTTCTCTGTCTTCAGATTCACAGACGTGCTGCACAGCAACATTTTCACATGTTATTAGTACAGAGTAAGTGTCTGCACCCTAAGCATAAAACATGCCAATCCTTAGGTGGGTGTCCCTGCACATTTCTGTCACTAAGTGATATTTATATGGTTGACTTGTACAAAAGCAAAGCAGAAACATACAATTTATGACATAATGAAGACCATCTCAGAACAGGAAAAACATTTGGAAGTAAAGTTTCAGAGGAGACAACTTCCTATTTCATGTTAGATCAACTAAAAAAATTCTTGACAGCGTAACTTTTAATTTGTAACCCTGTCATATTCAACACTGTCTCTATCTGGTTCTCCTCAAACTTGCCTGAAAATAGAGCTAACAAAGGAAAAGAATCCTTTTTTGCTTTCAGACAATCAGATTTTACATTTACAGAGCATTTGTGCCAGCAAATATCACGGTTTATCTCAATATGAAGTCCCTTTTTCATTAATACATTTCTATCCTGAGACAAAAATTTCTTGAGATGTTTCAGCGAAACAAGCATTCTCAAAAATTCAATCGGTATCCTGCAACTTGCTTCCATATCAAAGCTAGGTAGCATCATAATTAGGAGATGAAAAGCTGAGGGTTGATTGTCTAATTTGACATGGATAATCCAAAAATCAACGAAGTGTTGTTATTGTATTTGTATTCCACCTCTACAGTTTTTTTAGTGCTCTATACAACAATTCAGTGAGGACTGTCACCACATCCTTCCCAGAGAATGGAATACAATTAAATTAAGAAAAGCTGATTTAAGTGCAAATTATGTTGCTACAGATTGGATACTATTAGCAGTAGCAGGAGAAGAAACATTTACAACTGTGTTTGTTATCTCACAGCTGAGACATCTGGAACACCTACTTGATTTCTAATTGGTATCATCAGAACAACTATATGAGTTCTGTTCCCATCTTTCAGGGTAGGAAGAAAACTACATGTGGAAGTGCAGAGCAAGAAACACAAGAAATCACTATTCTTAATCTAGAAGTGATGCTACAGAATACAAGATGATTTTAAGCACTGCTGGCACTTAGTAAGATATTTTCAAACAGGCTCTAAGCATACACATATTACTTTAAATTTAAAAATATAAGCATGCAAAAAGCAGTAAGTCAAAGCAGCCCCTGCTGCAGTCACACACACCCAGGTAGGCCAATCCAGTACCTCTGGGATCCACATTCCCAGAATATCATTATCACCAGCCAGGTCTTGCCCAAACATAGCTTCCATTGCTTCATCATCAAGGTCAATCTCCAACTCCTCATCCAAGTTGAAGTCATACAGTGCCCCTGGATCTTGCTGCAAGGAGATCCCTTCCCTGCGGCTCTGGGTCCTGTGGGCCTGCACTGAGCGGTACAGTCCCGCTCAAGGTAGGAAAGAGAGAAAACAGGAAAGCAGGACTTTCATTTTCCATGGCAAAGAGGTGGCTGTACTTCCAATTTCCTTTTTAATTCTTCTGCTAAAATATCTACTTATCACCCATTTACATTGGCACACATATGAGAAGGAATTTTCCAAACATCATGCAAAATCCCAGTCCCCCTCCCATTCATTTCCTGGGTAAGCAAAGCCTTTGGAATTCTTTCAGTCCCTTACCAGCACGTGCCAGCAACGTCCGGGCAGCTAAATCAAATTTGTGCCTCCGTGTGACAGCCGACCGACTTCGAGAGGGAGGGCCACTTGCTGCAGCTGCATTATCCACATGATCCAGATTATCAGGGCTACAGGAATTCAGCATTTACAGGTCAATCAAACCAAGTTTTAAACAACCACATACAATAACTAAGCCATATTTATTAGCATTTTTTCCTTTCTTTAATGGAAGAAAATAAAGGAATATAGAATTCTTCAGTTTCAAGGAGCACATATATACTGTTTTGACAGCAAGAGTTACCTCAAACAAATTAGATGCAATAAAGTCAACACCTATTAGATCTTCCAGAGTGCCTAAGCACAGCAGAAATTTTGAGAAAGCACTCATTTTATACTAGGTTAATTACTAGCTTGAATAGTTAATTAATCAGCTTCAGTTAGTTTTTTCTCCTCTTTCAAAGAAATAAAATCATCTCTGCTGTTGCTGGCTGAGTCAATTTGCCTTTGGCGTCACACATGAATCTGGTAAAACATGAATTTAACGGAATTTTTCTTTATTTCTTGGTCTTTTAGTTAAAATGCAACTATAAGGCCTCTTTTTTTCCAATCTTTTTTTTTTTGTGAAGAAAACATGCTCAGCTACATTCTTCCCCAGTTCTGCACACAAACAGTGCTGGAAAATAAATGCACCATGTACACCTAATTTAATTGCATCTTTGCTTCTGCTCATGCTGTAACAAAATTCTAAAGTTACATTACAAAGTAAGTCTCCATCAGCAACAATGAATTTGTGAGATTCCCAGTTTTAGGAACTGATTACAAGCAACTACAGGAAAATTATTTTACCTCTCACTAAAGCCTTCCTCCATTTCAGTGGCATCAGCAGAAGGGATATCACCTGGAGATTGCAAATAGCAATGGTCCCCAGATTTTCCACCAGTGCCAGAGATGACAGTCCCATGCCGTGACTCCGCAGTCCCCTCTGACTGGGGCTCTTCATCATCTTCGTTTCCAGGGTGCTCGATCATCCACATGGCCAGCACTGTGATGTTCTGTGCATCTGCTTCTCCTCTGGCACCTGAAAGCAGGAAAACCACACTCTGGAACTCTATTTTAGCACAGATGGTTACAAAAGATGCAATCTGGTTTTCCAAATAAATATAGAACTTAAAAATGAAGTATTTTGTTGGAAAACAAGTGTTTCATATGTATCCAGTCTTTCAGTTAAAGTGATACTATAGCTATACATTACCTGTAGCTTCCATAGCTTTTGCAATTTGCCTGAGGGAGAACCCCATTTCTAGCAAGGGAACAGCAATGGCAGGAGGAGGAGGGGAGGTTGAAAGTCGGCTGCTTGGATCAGACAAAGCTTAAAAGACAGAAAATAATAAATGTAAAGCACATAAATCTTTCTCTAGTGTTACTTTATTTCACCTTACTTTGATATATCAGTTTGAGCTAAGTAAATAATTACTCTCAACTTTTCTCTCAATTACTTCCCACAAAGCAAGATACCTTCTGTAGCAAAACCATTCTTCTTTGTAACATAGATTATGCTGACTGACTCTGTTTGATCAAGTAGGATACTGATGATATGCAAAGAACTATTTAAGCAATTTCTATTGTTTTCATTTTGAACTGTATCAAATTATCTATTTGATCTACATTCAAAGGGCTCTAAAGAGGTCAGTTACTGCCCCAAACCCACAGTTTCTTTCTGACTTGCCATAAAAGTGATGCCAAATCAGTAAAGACAAAAATGCACTAACAAACACTGTTGTAAAGACACTATCATGACTAGAAGCAAGTAATTTCATCATTAAATCAAAAGGAAAAAAAAAGAGACATGAAACTGAGCAGACCAGTTGCTATGCAACAAATGAACCACTAAAGCTTCCAACTAATAGTACAGATATAAGAGCAAAAACAAAACCTACTTGTGCATGTATCATAAAATACATCATCTTTTGTTTTCTGTGTGGTATGTGACCTAACAAAAGCTAAAAAATTACTGCACTTTCCAGCAGCACACAGCCAAGGAAACAAGCCCAAATCAGATGAACATTTTGAAGCAGTTACCAATTACACTTCCTTATTGTTTTTGTATCCAACACAGTTTTTAAAAAGTCATTTTGTTTGCTTGATACAGCCTATAGCTATATAAGCTTTCCTAAGATAGTAACTAAAAGATTTTCAACAATGCTTTGCATGTTAGTTTGCCTTAAGAAGAAACTCTGTTGGGTTTCCATCTCTTAGAACACGACTCCTGAGCTCCTGTGACTTTCCTAACTTGTCCCAAATTTCCATTCCACTGACAAGTTTACCTGTGCGATTAGCAGGCCGTGCAGACTGGGAATCTGGAGAGGTCAAACTTTGTCTCCTTCCAACTTCATCTGAAGGAGATGTTGGTAAAGAAGATATTGGAGGAGTCTGAGCACGTCGTGCTGGCAGTACAGTTGTAGTAGGATAACTGGAGAACATTTGCCTTGAAAAAAAGAACAATATACATTTATATTAAACAGTACCGTGCTGAAAAAAGTCTGACACAAGAACATCCAATTGGAGTGCACCTGGAAAATGCTACTTGATGCAATTGAGTTTAGTAAGGGTAAGACACAACACATTTTGAGGCAACAGCTCATTCCTATCAACTATATCTGTACAGTTAAGTTCTAAGCATGACATAAAAACAAAGTCCTCAGAGACCAGGAGTTGTTCTAGGAGAAGATAAATAAGCATTTTTCTCATTTCCATAGAGTGTTTAGAACTCAGGCTGACTAATCAGGTAAGTATTTCATTTTCACTGTCCTAGTATGGAGATATTGTTCTGGATTTTTTGAAAAGATGTCTAAGAAACTTCTATGAATTAATAAACTTAGAAAAGTATTCTATGTAAGGTAAAGTAGATTTCCTTTGACAGCACAAATTGCCTCTGGAAATTCAGTAGTTTATTTTCCATTTCAGTATGTCAGGTTAAGCTGAAACAACATCTTAGCTTTACAGAATGTTACCTACTAACATCTATTCTAGTTTAAGAATGAAACATTTATTAAAATACAGAACTTCAGAGATTTGTAATTTGAACTATACCAAATAAACAAGAGAACTGAAGGACAACTTAAGGAGAACATTTTATCCTTAAAAGTATTCAGGTATTACATTTATATACAATGTACAGCAAAAGCTTAACAGCCTTCTAATAGAAAACACAAACCCTGCAAGGCAAAGTAACATTTCAACTGTGTCCTTCTGCAGAGGTGGTTCTTGGAAGCATTTTCAAAGGCTTACCCAGCTAAAGACAAATATTCTACATAAACCACACAACTGCTTCTCTACACCCACAGAATCATACATGCTGATAGGGTATTTTACCTCAGGAGACTGAGAGGCATAACACCAGGTGATTCTGATGCTGGAACTGTTTCTGTATCAGTTACTGGAGTAGTAGCAGTGGTGGTATCCTCCAGAGAGCTGCTCATGAAAGATGTTGTGCTAGAAGCAGAAGGGCTGGTTGTAACTGGTGTTTGGGCTTGCTGAGACTGATCACCTTCTTCCACTTGTTGCTCTACTTCTGCAACAGTAAAATAAGGATGTTATAGCAACATTAATATAATTGTGTAGATCAAAACAGCAGCCATGGCTAAACTTTCAACTTTCAAAAATACAAAGTAACAAAATATAAAAATAACTATCATTATTTAGAATGCGCAAATCCTTATGACAAGAATATACCGTATTGCTCATTTTGAAAGTATTAAAGACATTAAAAACTCTTATTTCTAGCTGATTCACTTTTTATTAAGGTAAGGAATTAGAAAAAAGGCAACAATCAGTGTTATGTCTATAAAACAGTGAATGAAATTTTGCAAAATGTCCCATTGTCCTGGGGTGACTTTATGATGCTTGTATCCCCAGACTCCTTGTTTATGTTACATATTAAATTCTACACCTTTAAGACTGGCTCTGAAAGCAAAGGGAGGGAAGAAGAAGCTGCAGTTTGTGTTGAGGAAGAGCACTCAACTCCCCTGCATCCACCTCCTGGACTGTGTTGTCTGCAGCACAGACAGTGAGACACAGCTCTCATTTGCTTTTAGTTAGTTTTTTGCTAGCTGAGGCAGGGAAGTTCCCTGGACTGGTTTGTTTTTTTTCCCCTTTTTCTTAAATCTGTTCAAACCAGCTCTGGACTGAAAAAACAGACAAACCCCGGAAGCTCACACCTGCAGTCCACCAGGGCCTGGGCCGTGGCACTTTCCAGGGCAGGAGGGAGAACATGAGCAAGCTGAACAACACCACATAAAAAAAACATTTTCTGGATTTGCCATCTCATCAAACAGTGAGAGGTTTTATTGATTAAAATTATTCAATTTCTGTTATATAAACAGGTTTTTTCCACTTTTCTCCAAGGAAATCTTTTCCTGAACCAGTTGGGGAAGGGGCTGCTTGAATGTTTCCTGGAAGGACCCCATCCAGAAGTTCTCTCCCAAATTTTCCCTAAACCAGAACACTGATTTAAGATTCCCCCAAAGTATAACCACTACAAATTGACAAGACTGTGTCAATTGTCTTATCATTATTACTATTCATGTTATTATTCATTTTAATCTCATTTTGAAAACGTACCTTGTTTAAGTCTGCCACCAAACTGGTCCTCCAGCAGCCCATGAACCACTAATTTGTAGATAATGGCCTGTGCCCGCTCCAGATCCGCCAGCCCCAGCGCTCTCTTGATGGGCGAGCGCGTGACCGCGCGTTTCACCATGTGCCGCATGAGGAACTGCAGCGCTGCGCGCAGCTCCACGTCCTCGTGCACCACCGGGGACCCCGCACAGTCAGAGTTGTGGCCATTCTCTGCCAGCACTTTGGGGATCAACAGCAGCTCAGCGTACTTACTACAACTAAGAAGAACACTAAGTGACTTCATAGCACCAAGATAAAGGTAAGACAGCTGTACAGCTCGGATTTCTGACTGCACTATATCGTGACTTCGTGGGGTGTGTTCATGGTTCTTTTTTCTTCCTTCAGCAGGTTGGTGTTGGGATTCCATACCTAGTGTTGACGGTTCGAAAGAAAAGGAAACAATTTCATTTTCCGACTTAGAGGTTGCGGCACCGTGTCCTTTGTTATCATCAGCACTTTGGCCTAATCGTGTATCTGATCCACCGTCACCCTCCATCTTCTGCTCCACTTCCCCTTTATCCTCAGATTCATGTCTGTGTTTTTTCTCGTGTCTCTTGGTGCTTTGCTTTCCTGTATCTTCATGAATGCCAGTCAGATAGGTAAGGTCCAGCAACACAGTAGCTGTCAGCCCACGAAATCTTGCAACATCAAAAGGCAGTGGTTCACAGGGCTCCAGATTATACAATGGAGTATCACTAGGCGACCAAAAAGTTGGGAAGCTTTAATAAAGATCAGAATGACACAGGAAAAAGCAAGTGAGGGAGAGACAGGAGGAAAGTACAGGAAATAATGTAGGCAAATAGGATGTAAAATATATTTAATAAAACAAACCAATCCTAAAAATTAAATGCAAAGAGGGGAAAATGAGGTTACGATCAGAAAACAGGGAGATATGGTTTCAAAGCAAATGCAACAAAGCATACACAGGTTTTCAACAACAAGCACTGAAACCCAAAAGCTCCACAGAAGCTGTCCATTCTGTGCTGACACAGGCTCTGGATATACTATTTACCAGAAATATGTAGCAGACTTTTATTAGGAAAAGCTATCTGAAAGTAAATATTATCATCATACCTGAATCTTAACAGGTATAAAAGCTTATAAAGAAAACTTTTAAACATTAAGGAAAAGCTTTGATTGACCTCAGCTATTCATCACCACGAGCACACCACTGAGAGCTCAGGACAATTCTGTCTAGTCTCAGGTGCATCAGGACAGATCATCAGGTGAGGACAGTGACCTTTGAAAAGCATGGGTCAGAAAACCTAACAGACACCTTTATCTCTCCATTTACATTCAGTGATATTTTCTGGTACTATTTAGGACTGTTACACTTGACTGATTTCCACTTGAAGCAGGACAAAAATTCACCAGCCTGTATTTCCTTAAACCTTGTATTTCCATACATCCAGCAGATAAATTACTTTTAAATCTTCCTTTTATTATCCCAGAAAGTTTTCCCATCTTACAATGTAAATGTCTACCTAAAAATGAAAGCAAGCTTTAGCCTGGTTTTAATTAAAAAGGTATAAAATAAACCTAATTAAATGCTTTATCAAAAGCTTGCTTATGTTCAAGTGGTGTTCCACATCACTCAAATAAAGCTTTGAATTATTTTAAGAGCACTTTTGTTTTAAGGCTATACTGTCACACAGGCATACTTGAAAGAATTTATATCTGGAACTAAATCAATTGCACGTCAGTATATTTAGTCAAAGTAACAACAACCTTTGCAAAGACAAAACAGATATAATGCTGCCACAGCTGGAAAAGTAAAGTGACCTCAGCTATTTCAGAATGCAACTGTAACTGGCAAAAAATTGTAACAGGGAAAAAAAATTAAAAATCACTGATCAATTTCTTCAAAAGTCTTCTTCAGCTATAGGCAGAAGGAGTTCAAGAAACTAAGTTAATCAAATCTTTTCTGCACAAAAACATGCAATTCTTGTGAGAGCAGCACCAAGAAGCTCTCAGGGAAGCTTTGTTTCAGCTTCCTTCCAGGGGCTTTCTCTTGTCTGCAAGAAGGGTGGGAAAAGGAGCATGTCCTTCAAGCCTTAAGCACTCGAAGGCAGGTGGGAGAATGAATGGACACTTCTTCAAGGCAGCGTTAATTTCAATACCACTGAAGTCTACACTTGAAGTGATTGATCAGCATGACTAATATAAAGGATAGGTTACTTCTGAGGATTCCCAGCCACAAACCACTACCACTAGACAGTAGAAAGTGTAGGAAATGGGCATACCTGATTGTAATCTCTGCTTCATCCCACTGGACCTTGGCAGAGGTACTGCCCTCCTTCACCACCCCCAGCAGGGTGGCGTGACGGCCTGTTTGCTTGTGGACACATCGACCTCCAACCCTGAGCCCAGCATCCACTCCACCAATCACTGCTAGGACAGGCCACACCTCCACACAGAGCATCTTCAGCTGCACCTCTGGGAGCTCCGCCAGGCTATGCCGGCTGTGCTTGCATTTCTCCTCCTCTTTGTTTTCTTTCTCCTCTCTCACCTCATTCTCTTCTCGGCTTTGAACAGAGCGACTTTTCTTCAGTTTTTGACCTGCTTCTTTAAGACATGTTTTGATTTTATTCAGTCTTTCCATCATTTTTTTATTGATGCAGTGTGTCCAGCGGAAGAGAATAGTTTACAAGTTACCTTCTCAATATACCTCAAATAAGCTCTTCTTATCTATACTGGAGTCACCTCCAGAATAGAAATAATTACTAGCACTGCCTTTTATGTCCCTTTGAATCCCTGGGAAATCCACCTTAACACTGAGAAAAACCTCCATCCTTCAGACTCAACGATGCTGAAATTACCCATTTTGTGGTTTCTTACAAAAGACTATCTAGAAATCCTAACACTATGTTCTCCTTGGTTCCTGAGGAATAGAATTTTTTGTGTAGAACATGAAACTTTTAAATCTATTCTGAATAGTAAAATACATTTTAAAATTACAATAGTTAAAACACTTTCAGCAACGCTGTTTTGGTCAGTAATTCAAAGCAGCACCGTACAGGCTGCTCTGATGACTACTGACTTTATACCAGCCTAAACCAGTAAAATGAACTCCTCAGATGAACTTTTAAGTTACCTTCTCTCCTGGGTTACTGCTATAGAACATAACACAAGGATATAATTCAGCTGCATCCACATCTTCAAAAGCTAGTTTTGGTTCCTAGGGAAGAAACAAAACAAAAACCTTTCAATCTTGGAGCACCTTAACAAATAAAAATATGAAACATGGAAAAGTTATGTCTGTATTATAAATCATCTAAGTACTTAAACTGCCACATGTTTTGACTCTCATGCTTACCCAAGCCATATTATTATTGCAAAAAAAACCCACAAAAAAACTAATTGATGTCAAATACCTCTCCATTTTTACCGAAGGAAATAGTTCTTGCTTCCATATCTAGCACACATGTGATGAAATCTCCTTGGGTAAAGCTTGACAGAGTCAAAGTCTGCTCTCCATTGTGATACAGGTTGCCACTGTAGGCTCTGTAGAGCCACATATCTGAGGTAGTGCGGTGGTTGAAGTCATGCACGGGCCAGCGAGACACTCCCACACAAGTGCCCTCATTGCCTCGGTTCTCCTTCACAATGTAGAACTGGCAGGCAAAACAAACACATAGGGAAAAATGTCAGGAATATGCACTTCAACACAACAAAGAAACTAAAATCTTCCTTACACATACATATGTCTACTTTTAACCGCTTTTCACAGAAGCTTTTAATGAGAAAAACAGAAAGTTTATATGGTCAGGAGGTAAGTTTTGCAAAACTGCACATGGATGCTGACTATGGACCTTAGGGACAAGTACTGTTACCTCTAATAACACATAATACAAGTTCACAGTCCCCAATCTGTGTGCCAAAATACTCAAATTCCACCACTCAAAAGCAGCCACAAACTCTTCCCTTAGGACTGAAAATCACAGAATGATTTAGGCTGGAGAAGATCCTTACAAATCATTAAGTCCAACCTTAAATGTAACACTACCATTTACTCAAGAATGATGTCATAAGCAAAAAGCACAGGCAACTGCTGTTAATAAATCACAGCACATCTCACATGAGAGAGAAGGTAAGAAATACACATTTATGCAACCTACCTTCCACTGGTAACACCCTGAAGTAACTCCAGTAGATGCTAAGCCATATCCTTTGCCTCCACTTCCATGAGTTAGAATCTGCCCATTCTCCACTATGCAGCACTGGGCTTTCTCAGGATCAAAGGACACTTCTTGGATGGGAAGATTCTCATCTTCATCCTCAGACTCTCCTTGCTTCTACCAGAAACAGGACAAAACATCTGTGGTAAATGTGATTCAGCTGCATTCAGTCACAAGAGGAAGTACAAGTATAGTTACCTGGAGCTTCATTTCTTGTTCTTTCTCCTTTATTTGAATTGCATGTTTGGCCTGAGCTATCGGAGTCTCCCACATGCAGTCAGACAGAAGTGAGAACAATCGTTCAATAACCTGGGGCATTGGGACAGAATTCAGATAATTTTAACTCCAACATGAGAACAACAGCAACATTATGTAGTTTTACTTTGCTTTGTAGGAACAAGTATCAAAATATTTAGTGTTCTTAGAAAGCACATAGCTACACTCAGCCTTGTTTGATTTGGATTTTGAAACCTATCAAACATTTAGAAGTCTAAGAGACTTTTTGAGAAAATGTGAAAGTTTATAACAAAATATAAAGACCTGAGCCATCTGATCATCTTCAACACCAGATTCACAAGCAGGTAACACAGCTTCTAGTACATGAAGTGCGAGCAGTCTAGTCCTCAGATTGCCAACCAAGGGAACTCCTGAAGATGGAACAATGTGTCAATAATCTTAAAATTACTTCTGCTCCAGGCCTGCCCCTGGCTCCATGCCCCCAGCCTTTAACCCCTGTACACCTGTACTGCAGTTGGTTTGAACTGTTCAGTAGGAATATTCACTATGTAATACATGTTCTAACAGGGCTTAGTTTTTGAAACTGCACTACAGAAATCCAAAGCAGACATGGAGCACATTTTGACATGATCATACCTGAGCAACACTTCTGGGAAGCAATGTTAAGGAGGACTTCTGTCCACTTTGGAGATGCCATCTTGGACTGAATTGCTTTTGAAGACACAACTCTACGCAGGAAAACAAGAAAGTCTCCCAGGTGCAATTCTGCTGCATGTTGCTTTCGGAGGGCAGCTAGGAAGTTAAAGCAAAGTTTTCATTTACAGCCTTAATATTACAACTTGACTGGCAGTCCTGGTTACTGGGAACAACCTGCTCTGCAGGTAAAAGTACAATAATCAGTTATTATGTGATGGCTGGCTGTCAACTTTGGCTGGGTGGCAGGTGCCCATCAAGCTGTGCTCTCACTCCAGCTCCTCAGCAAGACACAGAGAGAAAATAACAATAAACATTTGTGGGTCAAGGTAAGGGAGGGAGACCTCTGTGGCAAGACCTCACATTCTAATTCCTGATTAATTATCTTATTAATTCATCAGACAGTGCATTATTTATAAGTAAAGACAGTTAAAAGCACAAACAAAAACATATGTACAACACTTAAAACAAAGCTACAATTAAAAATTCTCCAAACACAATTTCCACTAAAATTCAAAATGCTCATTAAGGGATTGCAAGCTACATGAGGACACCAGTATTTCAGAAAATGTTTTGTTGAAGATTTTTTCATATGACACAGTTGTGTCACCTTCTTGCCATCCCCTCAGACTGCAAAACTGCATAATACAAATACAATAATTTCCTGAATAAAGCTGTATTTTTTTATAGTTTGAAATTTAGATAATTATGACCACATTTATGAAAAACACCACAATCACAAATGCATTTTTCAATGAAAACTGTATTCTCTTCCTAATTCCAAACCCAATGACATAATTCTTATTCTCAGCCTGCTCCTATCCTTACAGCTTTGAACCTTTGTGGCTCAATTTTATATTAATCTGAACTGAGCACAAAATCATTTGATGACTTTAATCTAATTTACAGAGTTAAAAGTGACCCAACAGAAACCAATACACAACAGAGTGGATGAGGACCTCAGCATTCTGTGGTTTCCTCTATTATGTTTCCTGGTATTTTAGAATCGTAACAGGAATTATGTAAGGTAATTACCTCTGAAGTCTCTCTTCTCATTTTCCCCATTCAAATCTGCCTTTTTTGATTCCACTTCACCTTCCTCACCCTCCTCTTCTCCAAAGGAAGCCATCAGCATCACACCAGCTTGTGATAGCAAGTTCTTCAGCTGGCTGCACAATAAATCCAGCAAGGACTGCACCACCTTTGGGCTCAGTTTATCTGCATAGGTTCTGTACACACACACAGAAAAAGTAAAGTGCACTTGAGAGCTGATCCAAGGAGCAATTGCAGCAGGTTACTTTTCCCCATCCTCCTCTACAGGCTTAGATTCTTTTAATTATTTTAACCCTATTTTTAAAACAAATTAAAACGGTCCAATCTTTGGAGTCAAAGAATAAGTTTTCAGTACTTTCTAGGAAAAAAAGGAACAACTCTGTTAATCATAATTCCACTGCAATTTCTAAAGACGGGGTGCTGTTTCTATGTGTTTGGGGGACTTTTTTGATGTAGGATTTTTGGGCTTTTTTACATAACAGATTTGGCAGATAAATGCAATGTGTTGTACAAAGACTGAAAGAAAGATGAAAGTAGTGAACATCAAACAATAGTCTCACCTCAACTAGAAAATACTTTCTCCACTTTTCTCTACTGAGTAAGACTAAATTTTTAAGAATTGGTAGGACTTTGCATACTGTCCCATGGTCTAGCATGAGAGACCACTATTTCTTAGAAAATTATTTCATATTCTGGAAAGAAGCACGGTGTCCTGCTCTGAGGAACTCCCACATTAACAGCATTGCCTTTACACAAATAACTTTTACACAGCAAGAGAATATGTTCTCACATCAACTGAACACACTTCCACACAAAGCTGAAGTAGCAAAGTGGGGATCACTAGAATACAGTGTTTACAGACCACAAAGCTGTGACTATTCAGGTTCAAACACTCACAACTAAAAAATATTTGTTAGTCTTACATGCATCTTTCTGATGAATAATGATGACTCTTCCCCCACCCCCTTCACTTATGTATTTCTGAGCAACATTTATTGTCCTAATGAAAGCTCACACATTTTTCAAGGGTGCTGATAAGCTCAGTGATGAAGTTTACTGAAAGCAAGGGACACTCACCCTGTGGTGATAGCCAGGATTTGCAGCAGTCTTGTGCTCGCTACTTTTAAAGCTGTGCTGAGCTGAGAAATCCCAGTTTTGGGCAGCAGCTGCAGAGGCTGTCCTAACATGGTGTCTGTGCCACACAGCTGGGACAGCACATTCAGCAGCCCCGTGGAAATGGCCAAGGAGACATCAACGGGCTGATAGTGCACGCTGAGAGCAAAGACTGTCACCAAGAGAAGACGCTGTTGTGCTTCTAAGATTAAAATAAAGTTGTTTTTAATTAATAAGATGTTCAGGGCAAGAATTCTAAGACAGAAGATCAGCAGATTACTTTTAAAATACAATTTAATCAATTAAATTATCAAAGCAAAAAGTAAGTCTTGTCAGACACTTTGAGGTAGTCTTTCTGATGAACCACTTCTTTAACTCAATGTAACTCTGTATCAAAATTGCCCAAGAAAGAGCAGCATGCAGATCTAGTTTGTGATATAAATGTTCTGAGGCTAAATCTCAAACCAGAATCTTCTATCTAAGGTGAAGTACTTAATTTTGTAATTGTTTCACATTATTTCTCAAGGTGAAACACCAAAACAACCCAGGTAACAATGTCCACTGGGTTCTACCAACAAATGCAGATTTCTCTCTTTTAAGAAAAGAAGTCAGATAGGTAATTCAGTGAATTCTGGTCACTAAAATCAAAGTCTGTCTTGGAAAACATACAAGCTGTCCTACTGTACATTAGAGAACATCTGGTTTGCAAATTTGCTTTTCACTTACCTATGTGATGCTTATTAGCTTGCAGAGCTCTTTCCAACGTAGCAGATAACTGCTGGTAAATTTTGTGCACAGCCATCTGAATTTCAATTTGAATACTCCTCTTGGCTGCTCTGATACCATCCTGGGCCAAACAAACCAATAAAGATTATAAAAACTGAGACATTTTTAATGCTGGGTTATTGAAACAGCAGAAACTGCTGAAGTACACACCTGGTAGTGATGCAATCTTACACTCTCTCCTTTGGCCCCTGCATGTCCTACAGTGCCCAGACCAAAGCAGCCAGCAAGAAACTGGAGTCTAACAGAAGTAAGCAGTGCCCTAGAAATGGAAATTGGATTATACTGAACTGTAAGCAAGGATGAATGAGGTCACCATTTTCTCCTTCAGGTGTTTTCTTGTAATAGGGAACACTTTCAGTTTTGTTTTGGAGTTAGTTAACATTCACTGTTCTAGTTAAGATATTTAACAGAAAAGAAGGAAAAACTACTTTAACACATAGAATTTGAACACTGTTTCAAAAAAATTCCTATAATAAGCATAATGTATGAATAATAAGAAGAGTTGTTAAACTAAAATTTACCTCAGCCCTCAACTGCTGCTGTTCCATTGCAATTATTGATGCTTGTGGACTGGTGGACATACTTTCCTCTGGTTCCTTAAATCCTGGGGAATTTCCTACATCTCCACTTACAAAACTGACAGCATTTTCAATCAAAGTATGAACTCCAAGGGATCTTGAGAGATCAAAATCAGACTCAACAAATGAGTAGGAGGATGTGTATAACCAATCTCTGCTGTGTTTCAGTCGAACCCACGAGTCACTCAGAGATTCCATTTGACTGTGTATTGCTCCTAAAGATACACAAAAGGAAGTTTCATCAACTCTAATACAGGTAACACGTTTTGGCAGTAGGTAAAGACTGAGCTGCTGCTACTGACACAGGTGGAAAATGAATATTCATGTTAATTATACCATGCATTAAGCAACTTAGAGCAAAACACTTGATTTAGATTTACAGCAATTTCCTTAAAGAAAAGGCTGTATTTCTCTTAAATGTTAAGCACTATTGCAAAAAGCTGCCATGTGAAAAAACAAAAAGAAGCCACTCAAACTGCTCAGCTTAAAGCTAGAACACCGAATAAAAAATGCTTTGCAGCTAAATGACAAAAGAGTAAAGAAAAAAATTTCTACCAACACAACTTAGGCACCTGGATATTTACTTCAACGTTTAAACATTAAGCAAGAGTGGTTTTGGTTTTAATCGCTGCATTTCATAGTTTTGGAAAACCACAATGTTATTCTGAATGAAGTATTTACAGAATTCATGACTGCAGAAGAGAACAGAATTTTTTTAGACTAACAGAGAACATTTACTTTGACTTAAGACGGATACATGTATATTAAGCACTGTCTAGACTAAGTGTTAGATTTCTTTCATCTGGCAGTTTCACAAGTTTATTTTCAAGTATTTCCTATCATCAGCATTCCTTTACCTGAAACTTTACTGCCACTAATAAATGGACTTCTTCAAATGAGCATCAGTCATCAGACTGCAGCACTGGAATTTATCACCATAAATAACTTTGGTCTCATTTCCAATAGAGTTTTGCCAGAACTCCCTCCCTAGCACAAATGAGTGCTAGGGAGGGAGTCATAACTTCATCAGCAGTTAATTGATAGGCATCAGTCAGTATTTTCCTCCTTTTAAAAGTGCTGTTTGCCCACTTGGAGCCATGCAAAGTACTGCAAGAGGGCACACGCTGCTCAGAAGAACTTCCCGTCTGTACAGATAGACAGTGTCTGGAGACCTCAGTGGAAACTGTATTAAACTAAACTAAACTGTATTTAAACTAACTTTGAAATTTTAGTTTGGATTATTCACAAAATGTACAAAAAATGTTTAAATATTTATGTACTTTGTGTACAGTAAGTTATAATTTGGAGAATCACAACCTGCTCACAGTAATCGTACAAATCTGTACGAGTGAAGAATGTGTTTAAAACTTCAGTTTTAAACATCTTTCTGCAGGGTATCAGCTTCAAACACTATTAAACATAGCCATTTTCAGGGAAGTCACACAAATTCATAGGAATTCATTTGTCCAAAGCTTGCTTTCATCAGTAAGGCTGAGTTCCAATGGTAACAGCCAGATCCAAATCTCATGGCCTCCTTTAAACACTGCCTACCAATATCAGCTGCTCACAGGAACAAGCAAAGACAGACACAGAGGTTTTGAACTTGGACTAAAACTTTCCTAGCAACCTACATAACTTTTTTCCTGAAGTAAAGGCAAAATGCTGTTATTCTGCCACTGAGTCAGCACATGCAGGTCACAATTTGCACCTTCATGCAATTTACAAATTCGAAATACTGTGAAGTTTTTCTTCTCTTTTGTCAATAAGGTTACCTTCACTTAGTTGTCAAAAATTTAATTTTCAGGGCTATAAATTATGAAAACCTGTTTGCATCCCATTTTGTTTTCAGCAAATAGTGTTAATGTGCATTTCCATATTATTCTTAACAGCTGCTACTAAGCAGACTGCTATGGCTTCAGAAAGAACCATCACATCGATCATACAGACTCAAGTTTATTTTGGATAATGCAAAGATCATGCTCAAACACTTCTTTTCAAAGTGCTATCTAATTTCCTAATCTCTGCTACTTTATGTAACACAGTAAGACTACATGGTTTACAGAGAGCAACCTATTTTATCATATCTACTATGAAAAAAATGAAAGAAATTCTGTTACTCAATTTTACAGTTTATACCTGGCAATAATATTTAAAAAAAAGACAGATGACCTTACTCTAATTTTAACATCAATTTTTAGAATTGATTTAAAGCCTTCCTTTAAAATCTAAGTTCCATGGGGAAGTGGTCAGTGAGAAACATAAGATAAATAGACAGAACAGACCAAATAGGTGCTAAAATACTCTGTTTCATGTAGATGTGGTTTCCTGGCAAGTGCATGGTGAACAGAGCCCAGGGGAGAGGATAAATGAAGCCTCAGATTACCCACAGGAAGCACAGCTAAACCATTTCCAAGTCCACAAATGTTGCCTACACAGCAACAGCTCTTTCCAAAAGCCCTCCAACCTTTGTACAGCAGGGGAGCTCAAAACAGCCCACAGTGACTTCAGCTTCCTCCCCTCCACCTGCCCCATACCACACTATGCCACACCACAGAATCAAAGTATTTGTATAGAAACAAAAAACAATTCCAATGGCTTAAATCATAAGCTGAAGGAAACCTTTAATGGGTTTACAGAACATCAGAAGAAAATTTAGTTCTGTTAGGCAACAAACCTTAGAAGAAACCCAACCACATATTAATAAAACCCTAAATTATTTCATATGTGAAGAAACTATGAGGTCTTAGGTAACTGTACAAAATGCAAGAATGTTTAAATGTAAGACCAATGTAAAATTGTTTCTAATTTGGAGGAAAGTGCAGTGATTATGAGTTACAGATTAAACATAAAACAATAGAAGTTATAACTTCTAGGTTATAAAGGAGAGGGTTTAAACACAAGTATGTCAGAAATCAAAAGAGCATAAATCAGAATTACAAGTGTTTAACCATTAGGGCACAGAGATCTAAAAGTAATTTCTTCCCTCTTGAAGATATTACATATCAGCAGAAGAATCAAATGTATGACTACATTGGAGCTCAGCTTGATTCTGTGTAACATCAATCACACAGAATTGATTGCAGTACAGCACTTCCAGAAGCCTCTACAATCACATGAACAGAGCTGCACAGACGAATAAACCTGAAGCTTACAGTAAAGAAAATTTACTTGTCCTTATAAGCCAGCTTGTAATAATGAGTTTTTTAAATGAATGTGGCACAGCTGCAATACACTCTTTATAAAACAAAAAGTATGTAGGGAAGCTATAGAGACAAAAAAATAAACATGCCGTAAGTTACTTGCTTGAAGCTCTTCTTTTCTCTGGGGCTCAACTGGCCAAAAAGGAGTAAATACACTATACCACACAAGAATCAGAAGACAAAAGCAGACATTTGAAACAGCAGGTAACATACTAATAAAATCTCTTCCTCATATTATTCTGACTTAAACAATCAGTCTCATCTCAAGCAATACAATATACCAAGGAGCAAGGTATGTGGAAATTTACTCTTGTTTGGCATGAATACAGCCTAAGACAACAGTCTTTCTAAATTCTCCACCTTCAAGGAAAAAAGAAATAATCCCCTGTAGCACAGCTGTAGGCATTCATGTGTGTATTCTTGTATGTTCAAGTCCCTTCCTTAAGCACAGTTTGTCAATTTTAAAAGGCAGAATTCATAAATATTTCAATTCCATTTCAATTTAAGTTGCTACTTTTTTTGGAGTAGCCCAGTTGTGTCAGTAAGGCACAGCAGTACACTCAAGTACACTGAAATTCACTGAGTTAAGTGGTAGGTGATGAAAAGCCAAAAGTGGAGGACTCTCACTGATCTCTGCCCTGTGGCCTGAGCTTTCCTTACTGCTGTGCACCTGATGTGGTGTACAGCACCCAACAGACACTGTACACAACATGTACAACATCTGCATGTACAACTCTCTGGATCTTCAAAACTGAAAAAATTAATCCAAGCAACAGAAAAAACAAAGGGCTTAGATACAAGGGGAAAAGAAAAATGTGCTGCTCATCATCCCTTACTGCAAAATTGCTCAAAAGGACTTCTTCTGTAGGGATGGAAGGAAAAGTTTACTGATACAGAAATAACTGAATAATAGCAAGGAACAAGATACTGAAAGGATCTCAGACTGAAGTAGGAATAGCCCAGTTCTCTTTCTGAATAGACAGAATAAATTAAGAAGGCAATTAGAATAAAAATTGGACTGAGTGGCTAAGATGTTAATTAAGTTAAAAGAGAATGCTTTTCCTTCCATACTCATCTGCAAGACCATAGGAACTCATAGTATTATCTCCTTTATTCGTCACAGCACACCACAAAAATAAAACTGAAGGGGATTCACCAAACATGCCTAGCTGGCATTTCACTGTGCCAGCCACATGACAAGGGGTGGACAAGGTAAAAAAGCTGCAAGTTACACCTTCACCAAACACTGGGACACGCTTCAGTTCTAGGAGATAACTAGGATTCACAAAACAGACATGTCACAAGAGACAAAAGACCATAAAAAGCACTGAACAGCCCATCCATTTATCACACAAATATTTGTAGATCTTTTCTTGACCTTGACAGACCTATGAGGAACATTTGCCTGTAGGTGCACCCTGCATTCTCTGACTCTGGCATTGGTTATGAACCAAAACTGGCATATATATCACCCAACACAAGCAGACAAGCTTGCAGTACTGTGTGCTAACTCCCAAGGAAGTCTTCCAGTACCAAAACAGAGGTATCTGTACATGACATGTTTGTGACATGTTTGCAAATGGGCAATTTGAGCTTCTTTTAAGGTTCTGGACAGATTTCACTGTATTTACATGTTTCTCCTCAGTGTTCAGAAGATCTTCTTGCTATAATACAAGTTCTGATGAAGTCTGCTCTTGCACTATGCCTCACTTCCTGAGGCTCATGGCTTAAGCAACAGCCCAGGAACCATGATCCATGAGACATACTGTATCTGAGACATAATCCAAGATCATTTCCAAGGTTACTTTTAGGACACAGAGAATATCAAGTACAGAGTTCCATGTCAGAGTAATGGCAAAGCTAAAAATGCTGACTTCAAAAATGACCTGCAGATCAGGGGTTGACAGAGGCCTTCTGATGGATCTTCTAATCCTAAGAATGCCATGATACAGCTGCTGTCACAGTAGAAGCACCTCTAGTGCATTTTTTTATTTGTTCAGCTGTTTCAATTGATTATGCACGGTCAAGGCATCTCTTTCCACATTACTTAAATACTGAAATCTAATGGGTGCTGCCACTGACAGTAACCTTTGCAATTCCAAAGACTTTAAAAGGCATGAAACCTCTGAGTACTCTGCTCAGTGATGAAGCCTTTTAAACCAGAACTCTTACCTTACCCAACAGTATCGAGGCTTCTGTTACTGACACATATCATAACTCAGCCTAATTCCTGTTTGCATAGTCACATGTATTTTACAGATACAGAAGACCTGAGCCATGATTCTCAGACAGATTCTGCACCATCCAGATGGAAGAGGGACTTTTTAGTCCCTCCACCACCTTCTATCAAGGAGCTCACTAAGATTCCCCAGTATGAATCAGTAACAAAGAACAATAGAAAATGTGGTTGCTTGGTTCTATAGGTGTGCTGGTGTTGGATGCAAAGTAAAGCAGTGTCTTCTGAATGCAAGTTCTCCAAGTTCAAGCACATCTTATGGTAAAAGTTCATTGTTAGCACAAGAATAGAATGTCCTACATAAACTTCTTTCACAATTATTTATTCCTGAAGTCACATGAGTGAAAACAGAATGCATGTTTCTGATTCACTCAACAGAAAACCTCACTTGTTTCAAAAGAGAATTACAATTCTAGAAACCAGAATGAAGAGTTATAACCAAGGAAATATTATAACCAAGGCACAAAGCAACAGAACTTCACACAACAGAGAGCAGGTAGCAGTTATTTTAAATGCTATTTTTAAATGCTCAGTTTTAACACCTGTTATGTAACTGTAAACTGTATCAATGGCAAACACAGTTTAACTTAAGAAATTAACATTTATCAGGTTAGTATTCACTAGGTAAACAAAAGAACTTACCCCTCTTCCTGTGTGATGCTGCCAAATCCAAATCAACATTTCGTCTTCCACTCTAGATTAAAATATTAATAAAAGCCTCATTTCCTCAGGTGATCATATGTGGTGCATGTCAGTATTTACATTTCATCCCTCACCCATAAAAGTGAGACAGTTAACAGAGCTACAATTATTTCAATGGTTTTTTTACCACTAGTGCTTTCTCTTAACAATAATGAATTAATGTATCAAAACACAGTGCTAAACAAATGTTTCAGATGTACTTCCCATCTAAACATTCCATTGACAATCCCTAAATACATCATGCTGGTTTACATACCAGTGAATAACCTTCCTCATCCGATTCCGGCTGAGACAAATCAGATTCACTTCTTGACTTCATCAGTCTGTAGCTTGAGCTTGCATGGATTGAGCGACTTTCTGCTGTAAGACTTTCACTCCTGCTTCAGGTGCACACATGTTCACGTGGCACACACACAGAGAAAAAAAAAAACACTGATATTACACAGAAGTAAGAGTTGATAGACAAATTTAGCAGGCGTCACAGTTTTGTCTGGGAGGAGACCATGACAGAACACCACAAGACTACATTGAAGAGGAAAAGAATGGTCTGATGGCTTCAATTATGCTTATAAAGGGTATTAGTAAACTTTGTTACTTCTTAACAGCCTTGCTGGTCAACTAAACAAATGTCAACCTTGAATAAGTGATTGCTCTAGAGCCTTCTAAGTATTACACAGAGTAAAAAGAAACACTCTGAGCTGAGAGGGCAAGAAACAGAGACAGAGTAAGTGGGTGAAAATCAGTACTGAACTTGTTAAAAACCCACTCATAAAATGTATCCTAAAGTTGATATGCTGGAGATGAAAGCCACTTTGACAATGACAGAGGCAGCCACCCCTGGCTTTAGGGACTGGATTTCCAAAAAGAGGCAAAAAGAATAAAAGAGGACTGAATATATAAAATTTTTCTCTCCAACATCTTAATATCTTTCCCATCAATATCTTAATTTAAAATATTGAAACAGGACACCTAAAAACAAAGTCTTACCCATGCCTGTGACAGAAATATTTATAAAAAACAACCATGAACACTTCTGTCATAATAGGCTTTGAATATTTTGTTTTAAACATATAGGTTTGTTTTTTTTAACACCACTATATAGGACACTGGTATGGTTCAAAAAACCACAAATATGGTAAAAAAAATCCAAACACACAGAACTTAAAGAAAAAATAAACAACTTTTACAAGTGTCTCATGCTGTCTGTACATGTGATGATCTGAACTATTTACCACTAAGCCCTACTTTGAAATTTAAATAGGGTCCACACAGAATAAAACTCCTCAGGTTTAGTTAGCATGGCCAAGGAAAATTTAGAAAAATCACTATTTTCAATGGAAGCATAACACTGCTATCAGCAGAAATTTTCTTCTAAAAAAATTGAAATAACCATGAGAGGAAAACTGGGGTTGTTTAATCAATTCTCTAGGGAGCAGAGAAGAGTTAACCATGGTATAGAATCAGCAAAGCCCACCTGGTCATGAGGCCGATGCCCTCGGGAGCAGCAGAGGGAGGCTGCTGGAGCTGCCCATCCTCCCTGCGCTTCTGCAGCTCCTCAATGACAGGGCTCACGCCCAAGATCAGCAAGGCACATCTGTGGATCACAGAGTTGCAGGCAGCAGTGTACACATCCTGCCCTTCTGTCAGATCAGTGCTGATCCTTCGCTCCTGCTGGGACTGAGCAGGTGGATCATCAAGTCTAGTCCCTGTCCCCGTGCTCATCCTATCTCGATCCCGACTGCGAGCTACTTCACGGGCTGATAGGAAACATTGAAAGATTTCTGTAACATGCAACACAAAAAGAAAGTCTTAACTTCTAGACAAAGCTACAGAGAATAAAATATTCATCTACATCTTGGGCCAAAAACTGCCCCACTACAAAGAGCAACTAATATTTTTCTAACAGCAAAAGAATACAATAATAATACAATGCCATAAAGGAAGTCATGCAAACAAGTTAAATGAAGCATTTACACAACATTACTTTGAAAATGAAGGACAATGCACTTTGACAGAACACCAAAACTCTTTCAGTGTCTTACTGCAACCCAATTCCTGTTTGAATAGCATCAAAGAGAAAGAGATTATTTCACGTTTGCCTTTTAGAAGATGTATGCAAAATAATGCTTCTGTGAATCTGTATTGCAAACACCAGAATATCTCCAATTCGATACTGGAACAGTGTCAGGCTTTTATTAGCTTTGGGCAGTACAATGAAGATCAAAATTCTTAGCCTACTTCATTCTGCTGTAGTCTAAAGGGTCAGCTTCTTCCAAAGAGTATGTGTGAGAGACCTCCTCATCTATGTCAAATGAACTAAAGTTCTCTTGATTTAATAATTTTAATTTTAAAGATTCAGGTACCCTTTGGAAAGGCAAAGGTAAAACTAAATACTTCCTTCACTGAAATGAATAGAACTCCACAAGTCAGCTTGAGCATCCCTTAGGAACACAAGTGAGTCATCATCTTCCTGCTTATGTGTACATGTAACACTATTGTCTGTCTGGACATTTCTGGATATATTTATTGTATCCAGAAGTCCAGTGGAATTTGAGAGCTCTGAGCATTTGTCCAAAATAATTGCAAATCTAGCAGCCAAACATACTGCATGCGCTGAGCAGGTGATGTGTAAATTTCCTAGAACAACAAATCAGCTTTTGAATGTGCACTTCAGCTCCACTGCACTGTCCATGGAACAATGCATCCTACAAAACTAAAGGTATAACATACATTTTGATCAATAAGGTCCCAAAGAGAAATGCAGGAGTCCTAATAGGAAACTGTCAACAAAACAAGAGATGACAGCAGAGACTGGAAAAAAGATGAACATTTTAACAGTATCCAGAGGAACAGTATTTGGAAAAGAAAAAGAAAATTGTGCAGCTATGGAAAATATTTTAAGTCAGCCAATTTCAATTTTTAAGCTACATGCATTGTACAGAAATGTTCCAAGGCAGTGTAACACAAATGCTATCTTGGAGAACACTCAGTTCACAACAGAGAAAAAACCAACCTTGTGTGACTGTTGCTTTACTGAAACTGTAAAAATGAAGGATTAACTACCCCATCAAGCTGGACTACAAGCCCAAATCAGTGTAAGAACACTTTGTGAAATTCACCTTTTTCAACCTATCTTCTGAAGAATTAAACAAAATGTTTATAAAGTCCAGGAGAAAATATGACAAATAGTGTTAAAAATACCAAACTGACTAAAACTTCCACATTTTTAAGAGCAGAGATATTCAAAGACAGAAATTACTTCCAACAAAGTCCACTATTATCAACAGTTTTGTTTCCAAACTTCAGAATAGCATTCCCTTCAAAGCTTACCACATAAAATAATAACAGAAACACAGCCAAAATTCTGTATCTAGATACTGATGAAAACTCAGAGGTCTAATGACAAGAACTTTAGAGAAAACAAGATGAAACCAAGTAGTCTTGTAGACAGTGCATATAGAAGTGCTGGTATATGTCAGATGCCCTGAATTGCAGTGAACTCACTTAGTATTCACATTCCTGTGTATCTAAAAAACTTCCCTGAAACATAAAAAAACTACATCATTGTATAAAAATAAACCTCTCAAAATGTTTATGCAGACAGGTCTTTCCTAATCTTTTAAATAATTTTCCAGTTTTCCCTCAGAGTGAAAAAGACACTGTCCATCCGAAGGGCATGGAATTATTGACACACATAACCAGTACTTACTACCAGCTGTCATAACTTCATGTTCTCTTTCCTCCTCTTCATCTTCTTGTTCTGGGTGTCCTTCCTCCCTGTCACGTTCTGCCTGCTCCTCCATTTCTGCTTCTTCATCAATTGTACGAGTAAAAGAATGGTCTTGAGTATCAACATCAGCAGATTCTTGGTTATCTAGAATCTTGATTAAAAATAATACACATATGAAGTGAAATTAATTCTAACCAAAATTAAAGATATATGTACAAGGACAGTGGTATTTAATAAGAGGTTTCTTCCTCTTATTTCCAAAAAAATACCTTTGATACCGTGTGAAATAAACAACAAAGAAAATAGTTTGCATTCAATATTTTAAGTATTTAAGCTGGAAAATTAAATTCTCCTTTTGTAACCATGACTCAGATTATCTGCAGAAAAATGTCTCCATGTAATTCTTACTTAGACACTACAGTCAAACTTTGACACTTCAGCACCAAAGCCTTTAGAAACCATAAGCCTGGGTATACTGTGCAAAAGCAAACCAGGCACTTTTTCCCAATGGCATTCAATCTGAAGCAACAAATTTACTGCATATGTATAGAGGTATTGCATCTGTAAGTTTGAGAACTGCTGGGAGTAACAGAACATACTGCATGCACACCCAATGCCTTCAGAAGTGCTGAGTCTCTTGCAACTATGTTAGACCCCTACCCTGAGAAAGGAAGTGGGCAAAACACACACATCCCCGTAATATTTATGACAAGTAGGAGACATACCTGCATTATTTTAAAGAGCACCACTAGTGCTTTACAATACAGCTAGAAAGCCTCCTAAACCCTGATGTTACATGAGAATTTTGTTCATTAAAAATATCTTGCTTGTAGATTGCAAACCACAATTAAATATCCTATCAAAGAAACCTGCTTTAAGGACTACTTTGTATTGCCAAACAGGCCCCAACCCTGTAATTCACAATTTATTATCTGGCTTAATAAAGTTTTTCAGAAGTTGCCAGTTTCAGGCCCAGTGCTCTCATATCAGACACTCACATAGGGCTGACAAGTTGCCCTAAAGCAATGCTAGGACTAAGATAATGTGACCATGGAGGAAGGAAGGGGTAGGCAAGGAAGGAGAGAGGTTCACAGATCAGAGGCCCAGACAATGCAGCTGGATTCAGGAATGGCAACCAGACAAAGCTGTGGCCTGCTCAACACAGCTGAGCCACCTCCAGCTAAGCTGTAGGGTTTCTATGGCCCAGAATTCTAGAGATGGGAAGAGGGGAAGCCAGGCTTGAGGCTGGGTTGAATGATGCCAACCAATCATTTGCTTTAATTGATTTAATATCACATACTCCAGACTAATGGATTCCAAATTATCCCCTGCCCATTTTCATTTGGAAACTCACAAAGGTTTTTCAAAAGGATAGAAAAAAAAACCAACTTGGCAATTATGTAATATTTTCTTAATAGCCAGTAAAGCCAGAAGAACTGCAAAGAGATACACAGCCTTACCCATCTGTCTTTGGAGGATGACCTGGTCTGAATAAGCTCCATGTTCTTGCAGGCAAGCAAGCGACTCCGAACTTTATACACACAGCGGTAAACTTCTGCCAAGGCCTTGCCAGGCTGGTACCTACAGAAAATCACACCCAAGCCAGAAAAAAAATCACACCAACTTCCTTTCAAAAAGTCAAGCTGAAATTTTAAAAGCAGCTTTAAGTTACTTGCCTGCTCTCACCACAAGCTTGACTAAGTAAACTTGTATGTTTCAGAAGAGCTGCAAGGACAAATCTGGACACAGTGTCTAAGAGTGATTCATTACTTAAAGTTGCAGTATCCCAATCTGAAAGTAGAAAAGATTCATCAAAACTGGCTACAGTTCCCAAAAACCAAAAATTTTTTCAATATTGTATTCAGTATCTTGAGCCATTTAAGTCCTTTTTTTTTTTTTGGAGATGACTTTTATTTAAATTTAAATTTAATTTAAAAAAAACTTTTCCCCACTTTAAAAAACCCACATTTTTTGTATTATTATTATACCATATATTTATATTATTATATATTTTATATAATATGTATTTATATAATATAACTTATATATTATTATATATATTATGTATTATTAATTTATATTATTTAATATTTCATATTGCACCACTATGAAAAAACTGAACTGCCAAGCAAACCTTCACAAAGCACCATAATTTTCCTTTGGGAAACAAAAAATTACTGTCCTCCTTTGTTACAAATATTTTTATAATGTATTTTTCTGTTAAATGTTAGCTATAAATCCTTGTGAACTGCTGTAGAAGTGACAAGAAGTACCTGGCCATAGGTAAGTCTAGTCTAACACACCAGCTCCTCAGCAAGTTCCATGACTTTGCCTGTGATGCTACGCTAACATGACCACACCACTTTAAGTCAGCTGAACAGAGCTGAACATATCAACCTCTAAGGAACCCAGTTCCACAGCCTGAATTATACAGATCAGCCCACTCAACTCAGATTGTACAAACATAACCAGCACTGTTTTAACTGGAATTCCCATTTCTGTGGAATCCTGTAACAGAATTCCTGTGTTGCTCTCAACAGGCACACAATACCATTTGCTCTTTTCTTCATCTGGCTCAGCTTGGCCAGAGCTACAGAAAATGATCTCTGGATACAGCAGTTACAGTACAACTACAATGCTCATCTCATCAAAAGGAACCTGGAAAGCTTGAGCAGGAAACCCAGATTTTAGGCAATAAGCATGAAAAACTATTACTACTGTAAGACCAGCCTCCCAGAGACTTGAAAAACAAAAGATGATTTACCCCTTCATTCCATTCCTAACATATTTTGCAAGTTACTTTGCCTTCCCCTATCTCCTCCCCTTTAACTTTTCTTTTTAATTGTAAGTTTCACCCTGCTCCACTCAGAAAATAGAAAAAACAACAACTGAATAAACAAACAAGGGTTTCTTCTTACCAGTTCAGAGGGAAAAGCAACACAAAGCTACATGCCTGCCAAGCACTGAAATCAGTGTCAAAAATAAGGAACACAAAAAGCAAAAGAAAGATCATAGAACATAATAATAAATTAAGTTTATCATGTTGTAGAATTAAAAATCATTGCCAAAGAAAATACAGGATTCTGCTAGGAGCATAGCTGGAGCATTTAACTTGCTTTCAACATACACAGGTATTTTCAGCACTTTACCTTTACTGACAGCATAGTCCTGCATACTCATCCAGAGGCTCCTTGCTGGCTCTTTTGTACAACCCAAGGCCAAATCAACATAGACTGTGATCTCTGGTCTCAGCTTGTAATCAAAGGGCTTCTGCTCCTCATTTCCAGACAGGGCCACTTCTAACAAGGAGCTCATGCATTTGTCTAACAGAAGGGAAATACCAAAGAAATTAAACTCCAAATTTTGGGGATTTGCATCTATCTAAATGCATTTAAACCACCTTTCACCTTCCTCTTAGTTTAAAAAAAAAAAAAATATCAAGACATGTCATTGCCCTTCCAGAAATTCACCTTACACAGTGACTTAAAATACAATCTACATAAAATCTATGGAGATTTAGAAGCATTATCCAACTCTTCTTCAAGAACATAAATCTGTATCATTAACTTTACCTGAATGCACAGCTATACACTTGAAACTACTGCCTGGACCCATTTCAAAATGTCTCTGTCTTGCAAGGCTTGAAGCAGCCTACTCAGAACCAGAGGGAGGAGGAGATGTGAACTAAGAGGAACAGGACATAAAAACATAAGTGCCCCATTCAGATAGGAAGGGATAACTGGAACACCACTGCTGAGTTTTTGATCTACCAGAATTATCAACAAGAATGACATTTGCTATTGTGTTGTTTCTAATTAATAAAACATTCATTTTGCAGGTAGAATAAAATAGAAGAGCTTTCCCAACAATTAATATAAAAAAAATTAGTTCCTGGAGCATCTGTTAAATGCTGAGCATCTAAGAGCAAAAAATTTCCAAATAACTGTGTGAAGTCTGTGGTCTTTCATTGAGAAATTGTGATTTCTTTTCTCCTACATGGGTTTCCAAGACTACATCATAACCTTAAATATAATTTTGGAATTTTTTGTATTACTACACAAATAGACAACACTAAAAGACAAACCTTAAGTACAGAGACTTATTCAAACATCATCAGAAATTTCCCACCTGAACACATATTTACCCAGGCCATTAGACACTGGCACTGAACAGCTCACCTAAATGAGGAATATCCATCTCCACTCCATCGCTGAACAGTGGGGTTTTGAGCCAGTAGGCCGTGTCCTGCTCCTCGGGGGACACTGGAGGGCCCTGCAGCATCCCCCCAAGGCAGCGCCCGATAAGCAGGGCCACCGTCCTCTCCAGGTCCACTAGCCACACCCACGACTGGGCAGGCTGTGGCAGAGGCACGCCTGCAGGGTCGATCAACTCAGGGCCACCTGCGAGAATTCACTGCCAGGTTAGTCACCCATGCACAGGTGTCACAAACAATTCCAGAATTCCAAAGCTAATGGCAGATCTTGTTATATATTTTATATATATATATATATATCATATTTCCCAGTTAATCGCAGATTTGCCCCCCCAGTCAGCAACTTTTCAACTGAAGAAACAGCAGCTAGGACAAACAAATCGCTGAACATTGGAACTACAGCACAGCAGAAGCCACCACCATTCATGGTGCAGCTGTTCATGAAGTAAAGGCTCTTTTAAGCTCTGCCCAAGAACCTGCTTTGTCTAATACACACATCTCTGTGTTCTGATAAACATGTACAGATTAAGGATACAACTGGAAACAGCAGTCAGAGCAGAAAAAATGTTTCACAGCAAGGGATATTAATACATTAAGGAAATTGAAAAGGAGATATAGCAAGACACATAGTTTAAAAAAACAGCCATCTTAAAAGGGAATTCTACTACAGAATGTGCCATTGTTTAATTTTCAGATTAAAAGTACGTTTGTTATTATACCTACCATGAAGAGGCCACTGTAATTCCTGATCTTCCAAAAGGGCTGCAGCAGGCAAGAGTCTGTTGAGACAATCTAAAGGTGGCAGCAGATCCAGCAGGTAACTCAGCAGAGGCCGGGCTACTGACACGGGCAGCAGCAACAGTGAGTTCACAATTTGAGAGAGCATACTGCCAGCAGCTGATACATAAATCACATCTGCAGAGAAAAAACCAAACCTGAATTAGTTACAGTTATGGAATTATGTAAGCACAATTTAACAAGTCAAAGAATTGTACCTCAGCTATCTCAGAATGTCTTAAACAATAAAGGTTGAATTCATGGGTTTGTTTAATAATTATTAATCTATTATTTTAGTTAAACACTTTTCAGTAATCACAATAACTGAACTTTTAAAAAGAGAAATCTAGAACTAATGAAATTGAAATACTAATACACATTCAGTATTCTGTTCACATTCTGAAGTGAAGGTGAAGAGAATGGACAATTCACATTCTCCAACCTGTGCTTTTCCTGCACACAAAATGTCCTACCAAAAACATGGACCAGATCCATACCTGGGTAGACACCTCATCTCCACCATTGGGGGAGGCTTGGGATGCCTAATTTATGCAGATATAGGAAAAATAAGGTATTTTAAAATACAAACCTAAGCCAAAAAAAGTTCCCTAAGGTTACAAAGCCATCATGACTGATTTTTCCATGGACAGTTACCTCTCAGTTTTTCTCCAACACTACCATTCCAAGAGCTTTCCTTAAGCAGCGTTGCAGAACGGGAATAGATATCCGTAGCATGAGGCAACAAAAGCTGAAGGTGTTTGTGAAGCAGCGCCACGCTGCTGGAATTCTAGAAGGAAACAAATATAGGAACAGTGCTGTAAATACATAAAAAGGGTTCACTATTTAAATCACTTCAGCTTTCAAATACTCAGATTTTCAAAAGGAACCTTACAACATTCTAGTGTTTATGAATACTGAATTATTTTTTTGTCTCCTAAACGGTAAAAATAAGAACACACACCTCAGTAACACTGTTGATGTGGCAATAAGCCAGCAATTGTTTCTGCAGGGAACATAAAAGCTCATGCAGATGAGCAGGTTGGCTGTTTTCTGATGATGATGTACCTAGTAAAAATTTATCACTGTTTTTTTCCAGTTCTCCAAAGGCTTGGTCCTATTAAGACAAAAGGGGATAAAGATATCAATTAACTCTGCTTCAAGCGCTGTAACACTTTACTATCACCTAAAAAGAAGCATTTTCATCTTTACTATATGCAGCTGTAATTACTGAAGAAATTGGATAATGTCAAGTGGATAATGGGATAACCAAACTTGAAATTCTGATTGTTTATAATGTCACAGCAGCTACTGTGGTAGTCATCAGGCAAACACTTCTTAAAATGTTTCTTTTGCATGCAGCAATGTTTTTATTCCTAACCAAGGATAACTAGATGAAAAACCTCACTTCCTAACCTAGCCTCTAAAGCACAATGTGTTAAAATAAGGAATAATTATTAGCATCTCTTGTGGGCTGATGCACAAGATATCTCACATTAGAATCCCTTTTTACACTGTCTAGGTTGGCAATAGAAGGAGAACATAGATGGCTGCTTGACTTCCTTTGGAATCCACTGGAAAAAGTGAGTTAGTTTCAAGCAGCCAATTCAAAGCAGACAGTTTCACCTTGCTGACTGAAGGAGGTCTAGAGAGAAGAACAAAGCACTGCCACCCTGCACTGAGGAGCTCCACACTACACCAGGGAAGTCCAAACCTCTAATATTGTCTCACTGTTGAATTCAACTGGCTGGTTGAATAAAAAGCTGAGTCGGGGATTTGCTCTCGTGCTCCCCAACACTTTCTAAGAACAACAATCTGGCTGACACACTGTGTTAATAAAACCTGTACTTGCTGCTCTATTACAAGGCAGTTACCACCCTAGTGAAGTTAATTAAACAGATTCATGCTCCTGGTGTCTGCTTATTGCTCCCTGGTGGCTGAGATTATACAGACACTGCTTACAACCAATTTACTTCTTATGTTACGTTTTCTCTTCTAAAAAAATCTGAAGGCAAAGCAAGAGCAATAAAAACAGTGTGATATGAAACCAGCTGCATTTACATAAGTTACATTAAACAATAAATACCACTATGGAAATACTAGAACCGTACTGTTAGAGATTATTTAACTGACTTCAGTCCACTTAAATACATGTGGCACTGCTACTTTAGATAAACAAAATGAGCATCATTTCCTTAAGATGGGGGATAATAGTAACGCTTCAAAGTATCAAAAATTAATTATAATTTTAAAAAATATGAAGACAGTACATACTGTATAAAATCCCAAGTTTCTTAGAAGAGTCTTCATTAAGATTTCAGCTAGATGAGTATCTGGATGACTGCTCTGGACAGCATATGCTTGATCAGAGAGGTTTCCATAGCTGATACACAACGAGGAAGTTTCTGTGGTATCGGATGGGGAGCTATAGCCAAGCAGGGAAGCTACGTGGGTGTGATCCTGCAAGCTTGTCAGAATGATGTCCAACTGCATTCTCTAAAGAATGTTTAGACACAAAAATCACTCTTTGTTAATAAAGATAAAATAATGAACTAAGAATAAGAAAGTGTTAGGCATAGTCAGACAATAAAAATATTCTAATGGGACATAGAAACAAGCTGGAGGGCTTTACAAAAATATTCCAGGTTTTCCTTAAGATTTGTACTATTAGAGAGTGGATAAATATACTGAATTAGATTCACCATACCCAGTAAAAATCTGAGATTAACAGAGACAGAAACTAGATTGTCCACATGGTGGGCAATAAGGGCAAGACACTGAACCAAACACTTTCTCCAGTATGTCCTGGTTATCTGATTATTTGGGAAGAGGGGTAGGGGAGACACAATTTCTCTACACTGTACATCAGAAAAAGGGTACAAAAAAGAACCTTGCAGTCATCTTTGCAAAGTAGAGTGAAGTCCATGTAAGGAAAGCATTATGCAAGTATTCATCCCAGAAAACAGTTAATTTTCTCTTACTGTAATTACTAGATTCAATCAATCAATCTAGTACTCAAGTTTACATAATCTCTAAACTTGTCTGGATACAGTACCACAGCAATTGCTAAGCTCTCTGTAGATGACCTCCACTTGAGAAAACAAGCAGTGTGGTCCCTGCCTCACTCCCCTGTGGTTTAGCCAGGCTGCCCTACAGCAGATTTTGTTACGCTGGGGTTTGCACTGCATCTCCCCAGAAATGTGCCTGCACTCTGCAAATGGGGCTCACCTCATAACTCAAAATGCTCTCACAGAAAAACCCAAAGCAAACCACAACTGCTCTCAGTCATGTTTTTACTTGACCTTACCTGTCCTTTTGATAAGCTTTCCCATCTATCAGGACCTTGGGGCAGAAGAGAATGGAGCAATTCCATTCTCTCTCGCAATGGAGGAAGTAGCATAGTTGCTCCAACTGACAGTGTCTCAATTACAACCTAAAGTTAGGGCAGACAAAAATACTTCTTCAGTGGAGAAAGAACATAATCAACCCACCTGTATCTTCAAAAAATACCATACATCACATGATATATCCCAAGTATCTGCTTAATTTCATTTAATATTAGAATTCTACCACACTATAGCACACTAATCTTTTATGCTGTAACACAAACACATGCAGTACATTGAAGGAGTGAAACAAGACCAACAAATGTTGCTATTTCCTGTAAGAGTGCATCTTAGGAGAATTACTCAACCAAGTAAGTTACTCAATCCACAACAATAACATTTAAGGTTCACTATTACAGGGAAGATCAATTTGAAAGTTACAAAATTAAGCAGCTTTCTAAAATTCTAATGAGTAAAAATGGCAAGTCAAAATCATTCAAAAAGTCTGATAAATATCCAACTACACACACAAAAAAAAGAGAACACAGTAGTACAATTTTCACATGTAAACAACAAGGCATTACTTACTTCTTGAATTTCGTCAGGGACAGAAGAGTCCATCAGTCTGAACAAGAGATTTCGAAGAGGACCAGCCTGCCGACCGAGAATGCTGGTGGCTACACCTCCAGCCAGTGCAAGTGCAAGGTGATTAGAAAGCAGCTTCAAACACAATTTAAGAAAATTGTGATGTTCCCTATAAAAGGAATATATACCTGTTAACCTCTCCTATTATTAGCATTGCTCCCTTCCACTTATTTGTGTGCAAAGCTTTTAACTCTCCTTTGATTTTTCGTATTAGAAAGGCAAGTAAATTCCAACCGGGAGTTTAAGGAAACTCCTCTGAGGAACTTACTGCCAGACTGCTTAAAAGAACAAAAACTGAAACTAGAATAGAAAAGTATCTTTGTGGACAACAGTTGCAAGAGATGTTTACTTTAAATTAGTAGTTTCATGAATTACGAAGCAAAACTGTCCCAAAACACCAAAATAAACAATAATACGATACACAGAGGAAAACAAAAATCTTTAAGTAATAAATGTATTCTTTTCTAAAAAGTCAGGATATTCATTTCTAGTCCTCTTAAAAAAAATTTGAAACACGGCTTACAGGAGTAAGAACTGACAACACAGAAACAATAAAGGCATTTCAACTACATAGAAAAGTATGTTTCAAAGGAAAACTCAGAAGCACTTAATTCTTTGCATAATGAAAATTAATTTCAGACTAAAGATCCTGCTACATTTGAGACACTATAAAGCTCCTCTGTTATACAAATGCACTAGAGTAATTTACACAAATGGCACCTGAATGAGCAAGTAAACCAGACTTATGCTTGTTAAGGAATAGACTAATCCATGCACCACTGCTGTAAAGAAAAAACAAATATAAAAATCTGTAACACACATATGCTGTATGTACCTTGATGAAGGAAAAGGAAGAGGAGGAATTTCACTGTTAATTTTGTCACAGTAGTGCTCAAGAAAAGAACGAAGATGTGAAAAGGTGCTTTCTTCAAGATCAACACAATAGGGTCTGTGCCATGCCACAACTTGTCTGGAATCAAGCATCAAAGAAAATTACCTTCTAGAAATCTTTAACCACTTTAATAAATTAATAGTTTAAACAGGTTGAACACTGAATACACTTAATTAAACTAGTTTCTTTCTTAGAACAAAGTAATACAACTATGGCAGACCTGCTTCCTGATCCAGACAACTTCCTGATCCACGAAGGTATTTTCTGCTCTCTTTTCTGTACAGCTCTTTACAATCAAACACTCCACATTTATGGACAAAAACACCTCAATGCCATAATTCTGAAGCCATATACATTTAATCTGATTCATGCAAAGGCTGACCACTACTCATAAAGCTGGTTTTAGTACAAATGTTAGAGACATTGATAAAACGCAGGGAGAACTTAAATGCAGAAGTAGCACTTAGTTCTATTTGAGTCTATCAATCAATTTCCTTAGTTGATAGCTCCCTCAAAAACAAGGCATTTGAAATTCTTCCTCAATTATCTTCCAAATATTAAGTTTTTCTGTTCCTTTGTGTTAGTCCATACATAGAAGTTGGCCAGTTCACTTCAATCACTTGCAAACATCTTTCATGTGAAAGTATTGTTTGAGTTATTGTACATTAATAACCAATCTATTTATTTAGGTACCTATTTTCAGTTTAACATGTAGCCATAAAGAAATTTTTTAAGATCTTTAAATGCACCTCAGTAATTTGCCTGAACTTTCCAAAGTTTCCTGATTAGTGTACTACTTATTACACTAAAAGAAACTTCTCCAGCCATAAAAAATACCCTCAGAAGTGAAAAATGAATACTGAGTTGTTTCACCTCCCACTGACCACCTTGCCAATATTTAGTAAACAGAGGTAGGTTTTGTCTAACTACATGGAAGAAACATTCATATATAAAGCAGAATCTTTGGTGCTGATACATTTTCACTCGTAATATGCAACAATTAAAAAAGAGGGAAGAAAGGGAAGAGGAAGACTACCTTCCAAACCAAAACCTTACAACCAGAGTGCTCGACACACATGATGTGGGAACACCTTCAGGAAATAGTTAAACGTATCCCAAAATGGACTTGCATAAAAGAATAAAATGATACCTGTCCCAAATGTCATTGTTACCTGTCCCTTGGAAGAGCCGTCCAGGCAAGGCTATGGGATGTTCCAGCTGAAATCTGTTGAATTGCAACTCCATCTAAACCACTTACTTTCTTCGGTTTAGTAATGGGGCCAGTAGAGTTTCCTTGACCACACTGTCCCATTGAATTGTTACCCCATGCATAAACTTCATTATCTATAAACACAGATAAAGTAGAAAACAAAAGCTGAGCTACAACTGCTTTGATCAAGAGGAGGATTATGTATCTTTACATCTTATTCTCTTTACCATGAGAAAGTGCCAGACAGTGACTGTCACCAATGGAAATGTCAACTATTCTGGTAGCAGACAGCTCTTCGATGAGCTTGGGTCTGAGAGCAGTCGCCTCCGAAGAGCCACAGCCAAGGCAGGCCCCGCAGCCCCACGCATAAACCTGGAGCAAAGAAACCACAGAACAGCTACAGGTCACACTTGTGCTACAGCAAACAACATCCCAGCAAACCACCTGGACAATGACTGCAATTACACTTTCAGCACAATGTGCTTTCCTAACTGAAATGACTTTCCTGACTGAACACACATCTCATAAAGTGTGCATTCCTTCCCCCAACCACCGAGGTGCCAAGAGCACAGCAAAGGGGGAGGCTGCTGCAGGAAAACAAACTGCTACAGTGAATGTCAACATGGCTAACCCCTACTTTGAAAACCCACTGCCCCTGAATCACAGAGCTGGGGATGGGGAAGCCAGCTGGGTTACACCTGTGGAAATGCTTATTGGATGACATGTATCCATCATGCCAGGAAGGGCCCTCGTTTACAACCTCAACATTTATCTCCAAGCTCTCCTGAGATTTTTCAGAGTAGAAATAAAACTTGTAGTTAACACCTATATTCTAATATACACATACATTTAAAAAAACTATTAAATCACTTAATCACCTGAGTTGGTTACTGTATTACAAATTACAAGCATTTCACTTCTGTTTGTTTCTTGAATCCAATTTGATTTCATGCTGGTTACATTTATTAACCTAAAAATATTACATTTTCTATGACTAAGCAAAAATCTTGAAAATTGTGTTTTAAATGACAGCACATTTTGAAATACTCTTGTGCATTAGATACTTCAATCTCTAATCAAGAGCTTCATTTCTACTTAAGTACTAGTTGAACATTTTTTCAACAGTCAAAATAATAAATGCTGAGGTAACGTGAACGCAGGCCCTCTTCACCAACACCTGTAATTTGAGTGAAAATCTGGTTTTGCCTACCTGCCCTGTTGATGTCAAAGCAAGCGAAGACTGACTCCCAGCACAAACTTTTCGAATAAACATTCCTTGCAAGGCTTCTATAACTTTAGGTTTATATACTCTATTTGTATCACCATGACCAAGTTTGCCTACAAAAAGAGGAAATATTACTGAAAGGTATTTTCAATAGATAGACAGCAATTAAAAGCACCCCAAAAGAGTTTATTTTGATTTTCAAAAATGTCAGAGTGGATTTTTATTACTAAAACATATTAATATTTTTTATAAAACATATTCTCTTTCAATTACAATAATTACAGATTTAAATAATTATATTTATTATAGTTTATTTTAAAACTGAAATACTAATCCAAGGCAGTTTAGATGTAATAGTTTGCAGGACATAGAAAACTATCGTCATATCATGAGTGAGCTTATTTGAAAGTCATCTGCACGGCATTTTTTCCAGAATTGCTCATCCAGTCACTGATCTTTCTGCATTGTGAAACCCTTCCCCTGCTGATAATCACTTTTTTAACCCTATAATCTTGCAGGTGAACTTCAGATATTGTGTTTAGATGTTTTAAGAATCCCTTCCTTGAACAGCTACTAAGGGAATAAAAACCAGAACCAAACTGCAAGGAGTACTGAAACTATGAGGCGGATGGAATAAGACAAAAATTATTACTAAAACATTCATTTTACCCACCATTGTCTCCTCCTCCAAATGACCACACTGTTCTCCCATCTTTGGATAAAGCTATTGTGTGGGAACTGCCACAGGAAACCTCTCCTACATTGCTAATATCTTTTACTAAAGTTGGAACGTTGCGGCTGTTGCTGTCACCGTGACCTAAGGAAAAAAGAAAAAAAGTATTTTCTTTTTGTGAAGATTAAAGTCCTATTTCTGTTTTGTAATCAAGATTTCGCAAATTCCACATATATTGCAGTCATCACAAGTCATGATTCTGTCTTTTTGGAAAGGTTTGTAGTAAGGTTTGGAAGACATCTGTCATAAAGTTGCAACATTTAATCTTTACAACATACTCCAGAGCACCTGTTCATATCTCACTGCCTCTAAAACTTATGATTATTTTCTACCTAGCTGAAAAGAAATAAAAAGAACTGCTAGCACAACTGCCTTCAACACCAGCTGATTAGGTAGCTAGACTTCCCAATACTGGGCAGCAGGTGTCCTGCACAGCATGAGGAAGATGCAGTGAGGGCCCTGTTGTACTCCTCTCCATACAGCACAAACTGAAGAGATTAATTTAAGAGGGAAATTAATAGCACTGGTATGCATAACTGATTAAATATGAACAACTTCCCATAATCCAATGAAACATTACTTTTTAGCTTCATTCTGGAACTCACCATTGTACACCCCAACAAAGGACATCAAAACTCTACAATAATCTAAACCTCAAGGAGAACATTTCTACAATTCCCAACAAAATTCCAGTTAAACATCTAACAGAGCTCTTTTCTTAACAGCAATATGCTCAGAACTTCTACTGATTCCCTTGAAAGCTGTGACTGTCAAATGGTGTCCTCATATTCCACCCCTGCCACTTGCTTGCTTTCACCCCTCTATACTTGATGATTGTGACATTCAAAGAAAAGAAAACAGAAGGGAACTAAAGCCCAACTTTAAACAATTTTCTATGCAAAATCTGTTGGTTCAACTGAACCTGCTCAAGAAGAGTTGTTTTATACCAGGCATAGCAGCTCTACATCATCTAAAAGATGATGAAACAGACAAGTGAACTTGAAGCAAATACAGGGTTTCTTGTTTCAGTTAAATTGAACTTTTTAGATGTATTAAGGTAAAAGGACACTAAGTCATTCTGGCAAACTTAACACCAAGTACCCTTATTAGAATCAGACCCTTGACATTATTAGCCAGTTATTCCTGACTCTTCAAAGAATCATTCTACCATCACACTAGATAAGGTTTATCTAGAATTCCAGTTTATTTAAAATGTCTACTGTTTACATTCCAGTGGCATTAGCAACCACACAGTCTTATGAATGAATAAAAGCAACTTGGCTTGAAATGAAAAATCTTTTTAAAAAATCTTTGTAAAATTAACTGCATTCAAAATTTTTAAGAGTCGCAGCACTTGCCAGCTGTACACAAACACCTAAGGTAAATGTGTATGTGTACATAGAGGGGACAACTAGAGAACAAGGCAAACAGATGTATAAAATCATTACTAGACACAGACTAGATGCTTTTTTCCAAAAGCATGTAATGAAATTTTCAAATTACCTAATCTTCCAAAGTCTCCTTCTCCCCATGTGTACAGCTCTCCATCTTCTGTAACAGCAGCACTGTGTCTGTAGCCCGCTGATACACACACAACCACCTACATTACATACAAAAAGAAAGATGAAGTTTTTACACAAATCGAGTGGCAAGTTCAAAAGCTTGGGAGAGGTCCAGTTTCAGAAGGAGTCTACACAAACTAACCTGCTCATGGATCAAGTACACACATAACCTTTACAATCTTTTCTATTTATTTGGTAAGGGGAGACAAGTACATAAAAAGGCAAGTTTATATGTAAATCTACTAATGATTTCTTTATCAAGCAGCTTTAGTATCATGATATCTTAGTCTTACAGGAGAAAAAAGCAGCATCAGTGGATGTTTAAGACACTAAACAAGCTGTATGTGAAAGCCTTGATATTGCAACCAGCAAAATTGAAACTGCAATTCAGCGAAAGCCCCTAAACAAGTTTGACTCAAGACTATGAGAAGCTTTCCTGACAATGGCACTGCCCAAATCATGGGCCTACAGGCAACCATAAGCTCTGGTGTTTTGCTGACAGCAAACCCAGCCTCAAAGAGAAATCTAGAAAAAACACAGAATTTTTCTTAGAATTTATCCATTTCAAATTTTACACAACATCTCGGCTGAACAGAAGAAAAACAGGAGCTCTATTATACAAAACATACCTTCCCTTGTAGGGGACCCTGAATAAGTTTGGGATATTTCTGAGTAGAACTATTTCCATGTCCCAGTTTTCCGTAGTCACCATCACCCCAGCTGAAGACTTCCCCTTCTGTTGTAAATGCTAAAGTGTGACCATCAGATCCTTTTGAAGATGACACCTTTTTAATAGACCTGTGAGGCTCAAAAGTCAATTTTTTCAATGTTGACTGATTGTTGGAATCTCCCAGTCCCAGTCTCCCATAGCTGCCTTTTCCACAGGCTCGAACAGAACCATCCGTAGAAATGACAAATGTACAATATTGTCCAGCTTCAATCTACAAAGAGAAAAAAGGATTCAACAGAGAAATGCAGAGATTAGATAAATCCAGAATTTACATATAGGTCTAGAAGTCTGTATTTTTTTAACAGAACTTCAGATTTCTTCATATAACATGACGTAAAAATTAATTTTATTTCAGCAAGCAGTAAAACTAGAATTCTTGGGAAGTATGTTATGATTAAATTTAGTTTCATAATAGGATGCAAACAGTGATTATTTTATTTATTTGTATCTCCTTCTACAGACTATTGAACTTGAGCTGCACTCTGATCTCCAAAACTCATGGATGGAAATCTTAGTTTTTTAAAAGCAAAAAAGACAAAGTAACAGCTTGATAAAACACTGTAGTTTTTTGCTTAATTTTAACCAGTATCAAGAGGTAACATTACAGAAATAGACCAAATGCTAAAAATCCATTCACTTGAGACTATAAACTTTAATTACGTGAACATCAAAGAAATATGATTAAAAGCTCTTGAGAAAATAAGAACTTGCCCCTATTGGGAAGTCAGTGCTCAGCTGACAAATGACCCAACAACAAACAGATTAACACAGAAATCATTCCCTATAGGAATCTGAACACAGCAGAAGTGCATATCAGGTTCCATCTGAAGCATAAAACAGCCCCAAACAGGTGGCCACAGCCCTGTTTAATAGGAATTAATGTCTTCATACAGATAATCCTACAGCAATCATCAGTGAAGGCTAAGTGGAAAAATCACATAAATTTGTTGTATAGTTGTATACAGTACTATTAAAAGAGTAATCCATTCATTCAGATCATGCATTTCATTCTTGTGTATTAGTATTTTGAATGTTTTGAAAGTTTTCTGAATGCATAAACTTGCTTTATGATGTCCAGTCCTATAGCCCTTTGGAATATAAAATACATCAATGACGTCCATACACAATTCCAGAAACACACTTAAATTGTCTAGTGACCAAAAAGTGATTTTACTTAAGTCAACACTGCAAAGCCAATATAGTATCAGAAGAGCAAACATGACAAAACATAAAATACATATTTTAATTTTTAGTTATTTTAATTTAAAATGTAGTTTAAAATTATTTATTTTAATATATTAATACTATTTTTATATTTTAAAATTAATTTTAATTTTTTTTATATTTATCTCTATATAAAAATATTCTGGGCCATGCACCAGCAGAAGTTGCTCAGTTGCAACTGCAGAATCTGTGACTGAGAGCAGGAAGAGAGTGTACACTGATGTTCAGAAAGCTAATTAGGGTTGCTGTGTCAGCAGCTAGCCCAGTTTGAGCTTCAAACTCGGCAATCTTGGGTGTGAAAACCATCAATGGAAAAGAACATGGAGTCGTTAAGACACCTTTTAACCAGCAATAAAAACAAAGAAAACACAAACAAAAATCAAAACAAATCCACCAAAAAAAATTACAGACAAACTACACTTGTTCCCACAGAGCAAGTCAGGCAATTCAGTCATTCTTGTTACATGGATATTTATCTGTGTGTGTCACTAACAACAAACCAGAATGTTTTTCCCAGGCATCCATAAAATTAGAGAGAAAGTCTCAGGAAAATAACTTGTGTGACCAATTCCAAGCATCATCCCTTCATTACAACTTGACACTCAGCAATAAAGCACTATTTTTCAATTTCTTACTGTGACTATGAAGCTGCTGAATGTTACATAATGCACCACTAACAAAAATCACTCACAGTCTGTGCATCAGAAAAGCTTGGTGCGAGCTTGGGTTGAAGTATTTTCTCTTGAGTTCCTTCTACCAGCTGGTGACTGCTGTTACTGCCCCACACATACACCTCACAGGTCTCCGACACAATGGGAGCATCGCCCGTTTGAATGCTGTCAGGGCTGGCACACGTCCTTGAATAGTCTGAAGCCATTCGACAAACCTGTTCAAACCAAAGCTTTGTTACACAGTAGTATTTTATAGTTCCTTTCATACAGTTATAGTGTTTAATACAGCTTTAACTGCTCCTCAACATGGTAACTGCCTAAAATACAAATCACCACAGCTATATCATTAGCTTGCCCAAATGACTTTATCTCAGTACATCTTAGTTTTTCAATGTTTTTTCACCTCTTCTACCCCAGAATAACACGGCCAAGACTGGACTACACGCACATGTGCACACCAATCACATGTGTGAGGAGGAAGTAAACTACAGTAACTTCAAAGTTTTTTCAGACATACCTCTTCAAATAAGCACAGAGCTGCCTCATACAGAGAACATAAGCCATCAGATGTTCTTGTTGGCTCTCTCCATTGACTTCGATCAGCAGATGATCCCTACAATATTTAAATGCTGTTATTAGGAGAGACACGCTTCCAATACAGCAGCAGTCCACCTGAACAAAATTCATTTGGGATTTGTTCTTACTGCTAAGCAAAAACTAATGGCTCTTTCTATTAGCTTAAGCATACTACCTCTCTCCTGAGCTGTGATACCTGCATACGCTTCAGGAAAACACAACTGTCACAAGTGCTAGTCCAACATTCTTACTTGATTCAGTTTCGTGAAAGTATCTGGGTTCAAAGTTAATTTCACCCAATACTATTTTGTAATTAAATGCATGTTATTTGCATTTAACGTGATAATTATTTTAGAATTACCAATCATGATTAATTTTCTGTTTTCATATCTCTCATATTTTGGTCTCTAATTGTATATATAGCCCAAAACCAACAACAAATAAAATTGTTCATCACAACATTTAATCCAAATCAGATTCTGCTACTGCCATGCTCTTCTCATGGACCCCATTCTCCAAACCATTTTTTAGATTTTTTTAGAATCTTTTTTAGCTATTAAAGTTTATGTTTATTAACAAGCAGTACAAGCCTGAAAGAAAATAATGACTACTTGAGGGGAAAAGTCATTCCCTGTTTCAGTCTGAACACTATGAGGCAGAAGCTTGCCACAGCTTCCAACTGTGTACTGTGCAGTAATTTCATACCTTTAAAAGCAATATTCATCTAGCACCAGCAGTAAGCATTCAATATACAAAGCAGTGTGCCACACTTTCAATTTAGCTCATTTTCTATCACATTAATTTCTGAGCATCAGCAAAACTGCTGAACATCCTGAAGATTTATAAGCAGAGGCCTAGGTGAATGGGAGAGCAGGAATGTGCAATGAAAGTAACTAACAGGAAACAAGGTATATTACAGAACTTTAGATTTTCTAACTTTTTCTGCTATGAACTAAAATGTACAAGTCCAAGTGGATCAAGTATGTCCTCAATTCTTTCCCTGAAGTTAGAGCATAACACCAAAAAATGGCAACACAGAGATAGTTTTGCTGTTTCATCTTGACCTATCAGAAAATAGGTGGGCAGGAAGGGAGAGGAGGAGATGGTGGGTAACAGAGGAAATACAGGGGAAAAAAATTCATGAAAGATTCCCCTTTCTAACATATTCAGCAAACTGGCATTCAGTGTGGAGGAAGTATTCAGTAAAAATGCAACTACACTGCAATGCAGAAAAGCCAGAGGTGGTTATACCTACCAGAGATCGTCGCATCTGGGTCAATATACTCATAAAGCAATCAAAGCTGATCATCCCTTCTGGACTTTGCAGCAACTTGGATTTCTCCATGGTGTTTACTACAGCTGAAGCACCTAAAGCCATTTCTATCCATTCAAGAAGGTATCTCAAGGCACCTCGTTGGGCAGCCAAACCAAGAAGCAACTCAGAAGCTAATCTACGACCTAGAGTATCTGCCCCAGAGTTTGGAATCGTTACTCCTTTAAGAAAAGTTGTTACTTGTGATAAACAGTCCAAACCCATTGGTGGAATCTTGCTTTCATTTGCTAGAGATAAAGGTGGTAAAGAGCTAACAACTTCTATTGCAGTGTGGATAACATCATTGCAGAGGCTGAGGCCAGGTCCTGCTGCAGGCATCATCCAGCTTTGTCTCAGCAGTGCAAATAACAAGCTCAATCCAGTCCGAACTCCCATTTCTATCAGCGCGTCTGTGCTTGACCTGGGGCGTTCACTGACACAGTGCACATCTGTGGATCCAGAACTGCTTTCTGGTGAATGCTGCTGTTGTTTCACCTTACCCTTATCATGGTATTTATTAGAAAGTGCATAGAAGACACGCTGCAGCACAAGGAGACGCTTTCGAAGAGCTCCAGCAAATGGAGAGTCTGAGCACACCATCTTTGCCAGTGCCAGCTGGCTGCTAAGAAGGGCATCCAAATAGTGGTCCTGTTCATCACTAGATAGAGATTCCCGCTCAAAATCTGGTAACTGAGGTCCTTTGAGGCACAGAACCTGCTGGGGCAATGGCACTACTTCTTTATTGCTAACTAACTTAGCATACAAGACAGAAACTCCCTCCCTTGTTGCAATAGATTCACTGTCTTCTGTGATCCAGGAGCTGTTTAGGTGTTCAAGCCATTTCAGCTTCACAGGTGGGACCATAGCTGCCATACTGGTTTACTTCTTTGCCATTAGTCCTGAAGATGAAAAAAACTGTCAATAGGTAAGCAGTATTATCTACATATCTTATTACTTACAGCAAGACAATCCCAAATAATCCTTTCAGAAGGTAAACAGCAAAAGATAAACCACCAAGAATTATCAGTTTCACCATATGGTCTACATGTATGTGCAACTTATTTAAAATGATGTAAGAATTTTAGTATAAGTCATTCTGAATTTTCTAAATCCATATGCACAAAAATCCACACGAAGCAAATTTAATTCTGCTAAGTGATATGAACAGCATTTAACAGATAAGGCAATTGAAGATTTAGATGTTGAGAACCACAAAGGTGCAGCGCTGATAAGCATACCTCAGCACTAAGATGATTTTTATCTTCAGGATCATCCATGTAACGGCATGATATTCTGCTGTTTTATATTAATAAAGGATCACAATTCCACAAACATACACTGAATTCAAAAAATTTCTCACATACAAGAACACAGACTGATAACAAATAGTTGAGTCCAGGGTTCTTCTAAATCTATGTCTGAGGAAAGTTTTTAAAATTAATAAATTAAAAGAACATTCTGATACCAAAGAGTTAGTAATTTTAATGCCAGAGGCATTTAGAACTTCAGTTTCTTTAAGAGAATTCTTAATGTCAACTCAAAATTTTGCCAAGGTAGTTTATAGTTTAATATGCAAAGAGACCTCCTCAAAGTGAGTGTTTACAAACTGCTCATTTTAAAAAAAATTCTTTAAAGTAATGCTTTACCTCCTATTGTACAAAACAGATCAGTTTAACTCCTGTTTTATAATCATTAACCATGGGTTACATAGGTTCTGAATGATCACTTTCTGTTCTTTGACCCTTTAAGTCCTAATGTATTACAATTTCACCAAAAAGTACTATAATTTCCTGAAGGAGAGTGTTATGTCCTTTGTAAGCTCTATTTGATCTAATTTCAAATTAAACTCCTGAGGGTGGAGGGAGTCTCTGCCATGTAGTGAAAGCCAGTGCTGCTGCCATGCCAGGGCAATGGATAACAGGCAGTGCAACTTGGTCCTCGTTTTGTCTTGACATTTCACACTTAGAAAACAAATAAAAATATAAATTACTATAAAAGTATAAACCACTACAGTTATTCTGCCAATATATCTGCCAAAAAAGCACACTATGTGCTATTAAGCACCTGCTTTTATTTCTGCCAAATTTTCCCTACAATAAATACCTTCATAAAAAGCTTTATGTGAGCCCCAGTGAGCCTTACCCAAGTAACTTCTGTTGTGCTACAGCAGCCCATTACCCAGGTCTATCCCACAGAAACTGGAACCATAGCTGTTAAACACCATGCAGAGCAGGGAGCATTCCTCACATTTCATACAAGACACACCTTCTGTCTACTCACACCACAAAACTCCACAGCCTCCAAGTGACACAGATAGGAACTATTAGGCTCAGGACCCTGTTTACTAAGACAGGGCAACACCATCTCCTTTGTCAGAAAGGACTGGCCAGCTACCATTTGATCCTAACAGAAACTATAAGGCAAATTAATGAAAACATCCTAACTCTGGTCTTATGTGAAGTTTGTGCCTTCTCAAGAGGTAAAACATGGGGATGTAACTCCATTAAAAAGTTCCCTAAACAGACTCATTCATGGGCTTTATGCTTTCACCAGCTACTCTTCTTTCAGAAACTTCAAAATGTGCTCATGTACCTCAAAGGTGCCAGTACTGCTGCTTTTCCTGAAAGCTAATAGATTTTTTCTCTCCTGCTCTTGTATGCACCTCTAAAAATAGAGACTGAAGCTTGAAGCTGAGGTCTTAGCAGTGCCCTACTCTCCTGCAGCTTTCAAAAGAAATCCATTGGTGCACCTTGAAAATAACATTCAGTTTCATGTGACAGGCAGAAGGCTTTAACCAGACACTGCTGATAATCCTGGAAATGCTCTCTGAATATAAATGTAAAAGATTTCTCTCTGCATGTAACAACTACAGATCACTGAAGTTAAGCAGAAACAAGGTAACAACTACCACAAATACATGGTTTATGATCGCTCCAGAGCCTGGACACAAACATCTCAGTTCTTTTTAGGGCAGACCAAAAGAAAATACATTTGGCTTTGACAACTCAGGTGAATACTGGCTGCTGTTTCACTCTATGTGACCACTGCTGGGTCAGGTGAACATGTGGAAGGTATCTAGTGTGCAGGGTGGGCCAGTCCTGCAGGGTGCAGTCCCAAACACTTTCTGAACATGCTGATCACATGGCCAAGCACAAAGGGAGAAGCCAGAAACATGGGACAAGTGGAGAAAAGTAATTTTTGTTTGTTATCTTAATCCTAATAACAGTCTAAATGTACACAACAGCTTTATAAAACTATTTCAGACTTAAAACACTTAAAACACTTCAAACTCAAGTACCCAGAACTTTCTGGGATTTGTATTTAAAAAAACTTTAAAAATTTTTTTAAAAAAGCCCATCTCACCTGCCCTTATTCCTCCCTTTCTCCTCCTGCTCCTCAAGGGGAAAAAAAAAAAGCAAACTATGAGAATGTGCAACACATTTGTCGTATCTTTTAGAACCACAGTTCCTGTTTGAGGAAATCACCATTTTGGGGGAGTAAGTGTTTGCATATATTTTACTGTTGCCTACTGATAAGTCAACTAAAATGGGACTTAAAACAAATAGCTGAACAAGGATTCCAACAACAATACCAAATTTAACACCTATTTCAAAAGCTTACTCCAGGGAACAGTGGGGACAAAATGTATACATCAAACCCTAAAAGCCAAATTCTGTGTATCCTCCATGCAGAATTTTTCTTTTAAAATAGCAGTGGCAGCAACTTGAGCATCAGGGGAAGATGTGAAGGCAACTAAGCCTGCCTTGAGAGCTTGTTCACCCTGAAAACCACAGCCAGAGTTGCAACTGAACTCAGGGAAAGGCTCAGGTTTATCAAAACCTCTACTGGAATATGTGCACAAGTTCAGGGAAAGCTGTTGTTACCCAGCACTGCACTGAACACCAACTGCTGTTTGTTTCTCTTACAGGAGATGAAAGGGAATGTAAGAAAAAGAATTTTAAAATTAAACCTGTGAAAACTCAAGGAATATAATCAGGGAAGGCTTTTGCCTGAGCTGAGAGTAGAACATTTAAATAATGGAAGGAAATATTCTTAAGAGAGCTCTCTCTCAATGTTATAAGAAACACAGAAATTACCTGCAGCAGAGACAAAGGTTCTTTTCACTTTTACCAATCCATTGCTTTAAATGTACCTGAAGGTGAACCTGTAACTTCCAAAGCTGAATCCCAGTGCAGACTAATTGTGTATCCCTTGAGTTTCAGATTCTGTCTCTTCAAACTCAAAAGTCAAAACTGGGTACTCTGGATCTGTCCATGGTTTTCCCCATGTGCAAACAAACACATCACACAGCCAAAGTACCATTCAAATTCTAAGCTCGGAATCAAGTCTCCACATCTTGCAATAACTAGTAAGCACAGACAGGAGGTAATAGGATTCATTTCAAATTCAAAGAAATCAACTCACAAGCAGCCCTAATAGTTGTGAAAACATAATAATTAAATGATTGGCATGTGTTTCCACACAGCCAAGAACTCAGAAAGCTGATGACAAATTTCATTACCACTTTATCCATTTATTTCTCTTCATCTATATAGTAGTTCTAGGGTTTAGATTAAACAAATGCTTAGAATTTAACAAAAGCTCCTCGGAAGTTGCTGTGTGTAGATCTAAGAGAAAGATTGATGGGACAATTTAAGGAAAGGTGGACATTGGGCTGTGACTACGTCACACTCTGTAGCTCCTTTTGAGGAGATCAAGAACAGCTCTAGGCAATTCCAGAAAGTTAACTCTGAATTCCTGTAGGAAGGGATATAAGTATGAAATTCACAACAAGAAAAAATTGAAGGGTTTATGTTTTGTTTTAAAGAAAGTTATAGAAAAAAATCCTTAAAAAGTAGAAGACAGGATTATTATCTCACTGTTTTAAGTAGAGAATGTGACAGCACAGTTTCCCCACAAAACAGGTTTTGCTTTTTTAGTCCTAAGCACAGAAACTCAACTTATCAACACACAGAAACCACCAAAACATGTGGAAGGGAGGAGCTGATTTTAGAGCCCTTTTTTTTCTTTTTTCCCCAAAATATCATCATCTCCAACACAGTGGCTCTACCTCATTGCCAAATGCAGGTATTCACTAGGATTCCAGCAAGAATAATACAATTCCACAGATGAGGACGAAGAAGGTACAACTGCTGCTCAGGCTGTGAAAAGGAAAAACTGAACAATCAGCTCAGAAATGTAAGGAAATCTTGAAGTGGTTTTCCATTGCTTGTACAAACCCGAATCTTGCAGCTTAACTGCTGTTTTACAGCTTTGTGCTTTCCTCCCTGTACAAGGCCCAAAGAAGTAAACATTGTAATATAGGGATAAAAAGCAAAATTGATCTTGCATAAAGTGCTGTCAAATGAACACAGCAAACAAGGGGAATGTATTTTAACCTAAGTCTTTAAGCTAGGCAGAGCTTCTCACAGTCCATGGAGATTTTCAAACACATAAAATGCATAAAATTATATACAGTATCTTCAATCACTATGAAGAAAATCCATTTTCTTAGATCAGTAACACTAGCATGCACACTGAAGCTATAACAAGGACAGAATTTAATAAAGCCACATACTACCACGTTTTTCTTTAACTTAGCCTGACTCGAGCAGAAATCAAGCACACACCAAAACAATTATTCTGACAGAGGCCAAGTGCTCAGGCTCTTAGAACTCCTACAATAGTAGCTGAAGGCTTTATTTTCTGCAAAGCTCTTGAAAAACTGCACCTATAAAGCTGTAAATATTGTATCTCCTAAAAATCGAAAGTTTTCTCAGAGGAAAAATAAACCTCACAAGCACTTACTCTCTCCCTCTCTGCAATCCACAAGTTCAGCAACCTTTGTAAGATGCTGACTACATTTATTTTATGGGAACCTAATTACAAAAGCTTGTGA